AATATATTTTCACTAAAAATTATCACTAAAATAAATCTCTATCACTAAAACAGATTCCAACTCTACTATTGATAATTATCTTTAACATACTCCCTCAAACTGAGTCGGTGCTGGAGACTCAGTTTGCTTTGATTGTGTTGACGACTTTCCTCACCATTAAGAACCGCAGTAGTGAAAAACATGTAGATCGATTCTCAACCTTGAGTGATTCTGGTCATGTCTTGGGCAACTTGCTCGAAAGTTTTGTTGTGTTGTTAGATTGTGGTATGACAAGTCAAAATCTTTCTTTTGGGAGAATATTAGACGTTTGTCATAATGAGGATTTTTGTAGATTGTTAGATTTTTGTATGAAAAGTCAAAACTCTTCTTATGAGAGAATGATGAGACTTTTGCCATAATGGAAATTTTTGCGGAATGACTCATTGGTGTCTTTTCTCGTTGTGAGAAAGATAAATTTGTGGATCAATTGAAGTTGATTTGTGAAAAAAAAAAATTAAAATGATGGTTAATGGAGATAAAAATTGTGATTTTGATGGGATTGATATGTGATAGATTTTTTTGAAGATTGTGGATATTTTTGAGAGAAAGTATTGAATCAATAGTATGTGGATATTTTTGGGAGAAAGTATTAGATTAGTTGTAGAGAAGGAAGGTAAGACATAAATTTAGGATGAATTTGAAATTTAAGCATATACATCTGCTAATATCTATGAATGAACATGATTATGAAATCAAGATCATGATTTTTTTCTTTGAAGATAACAAAACAAAAAAAATGAAAAGCGAAAGTATGAAATTATAATTTATTTTTGAAGAAAAACAATAAAAGAAGCAGGAAAGAATACAAAATAAAGGTAGATAACATATTTATAGCTATGCCTATACTATTGGATAAAAATAACTTTAATGATAAAAACTACTCATGATAATTGATACATTTTCACTAGAAATTATCTCTAAAATAAATCTCTATCACTAAAACAGATTCCAACTTTAGTATTGATAATTATCTTTAACAGTCATGACGCGCCGAGTTCATTTTATGCCATCCCCTTGGGGAGGCTTCCACGCAAGCCATCTTGACTCCCTAACAATCACCGGTGCACCCATGCGTTTCTTATGCACCAGGGCAGCCTTAATCCCTTTGATCTTATGAATCACTTCTCCCACCTTTTTGTTGATATGGGAGACTTCATTCTGAAAAACAAAATTGTTTCTCCAATTCCAGATTTTCCAAACGACAACGCCATATGGAGTAATTCTTTCGCTATTATTTATCGATCTAACCGTGAATTTTTGGTATACTTTTTTTTTTTTATATTCAGCAGTGGAAAAACGCGCTAGTTGTTATACTTATAAATTGTATCAGCGTAGTTTGGCTAGATTAAGCATGAATTTGGACAGTAGAAAAAACAACTAACAAGCGATATGAAACTAATAATATAAGAATAAAATCTCTCAACCAGGTTGTAGTTATAATGCCGCCACAGCCTGTTATTGGTAGGGTTACTTGTAATTAATTTTGTGTAGCTGATAAAGAAAGCGTTACATTTATGATCAACCAAATTACTCAGCTCCAATTAAATGTTAGCCAGCAGCAGCCCATACGTACGTGGTGTGTTGACTTTTTAAAGTTTTATTAACAGCGTGCACGCCAGACTATAGTTACTAATTAGTAGTACAAGTGATTCCAAGTTGATATACAGACGGGTAATTTCTTTTATTTTTTGGGTTTCGTATCTGAATCATCGTATGAAATAGTCTAAATTAACTTGATAGTAAGAGCTTACTTTCTCAAAAAATCTGTTTCCCTCATAAAAGAGCTTACTTCATATATTTTGTACCTCGTCCGAGTATGAGCATGCATGTAAGACACGCTTTACTTACACAAAAAAAAAAAAAACACTTTAATTTTTAAGTATTTGATCCGTTTTAAAATAAGAATCTTTACTTATTGTATTAAAATGGTTTAATAAACATTTAGGACAAAGATATATATAAAAATGTGATGTAATTGTGAAAATAGTTTAAAGGATTTTCATAATAAGATCCAAACAATGATTGTCATTTCTTGTGCTGTGTATGGTGTATATACACTGGAAGTCTAGTACCACCCACAAAGTGCTCGGGGAATTAGTTGTGTAATTTGAACTACTTTAACGTATAGTTTCCTAATCGATGACAATTTGCCTTCAAGCTGTTTTTCCTCCATGTGGATCGAGCAGTGTCGCCACTGATATTGTCTGAGACACTCCCTTAGTCACTATTTTTGTTAAAGAGTTACAAGGTAACTTACAACTCTAGTTAGGATACTTATGTATAAACTAAGTCTATCCGATAAGGAAGCTGTTAGAGGTTATGATCATTTTTACTACGACAATTCGCTGAAACAGCAATCTTAGGGGTTAGACCAAACAATATATCAGATCATGGTCCATAAGTATTATCTACATAAATGTAATAGAAATGCATACTTTAACCTATAATTAATGTATGCGTTGTAATAGTCTAGGTATCCTTTAATTAATATATAGGTACTTTTTTTTTTTTTAAAAAAAAAAACATAAGTTAAACTTAACTTGGACCCAAATATAAGTTTCTGAATTATTTCCTTTGTCCCAAAATTATTGTTTAGTTTGAGTTTTCAATTTTAGTACAATTTGAACTTAAAAAAAAAACTAAACTGGACAATAATTATGAGACGGAGAGAGTACTTTAAATTAAATAAATTACTCCCTTTGTCCCAAAATTATTGTCCAGTTTGAGATTGCACTTTTAGTGTAATTTGAACTAAAAATGAAAACCCAAACTGGACAATAATTATGGGAAGGAGGGAGTATTTGATATAGGAACACTCCCGCTACCATGAACCGCGAACTCTGGTATATCTTTTGTGTCCAAGTTCAGGTTGCAATCCATGAGTCACATTCAGGAGGACTAAAAGTATTTTTGGTCCAGCTGATTTATTTTTCTTCATTAATGTGTAAGGATAGTGTTATTTAATTATATTACTCATAATGGAAAAATTACGTCTTGACTTTTAAGATCCAGCCCTGAAACTTTGATAAGGTATCTTATATGCATAAACTCATCAAGGTTTGTCATCTTCACTTTCTCAACACTAGTGAATCATGACTTGCGTTCGAAATTAGTTGAATTTTGTTATAAATTATTTAATCACCGGCATAGCTGCTTAGATTACTTAGAAATAAAACTTTAACAGTTCGGCTATTTTCTAAAGTGGATAGACATTGATGTAAGATTTATGAACTCAAACCCCCCCATCGACACAATTTTAAGAGTTCGAACCAAATCCGATGGAAAGATTCAATTATTTCGAAATGCATCCGAATCCAATTAAGAAAGTATCTTTTGCATGAGCTTCGATATTTCAAGCTTGATTCAACGTTACCATACTCATCAAGTGCAGTTCCACAAGTATGAATAATCTAGATATTTATCAGCATTGATTGGAATAAAATTTCCTTTAATTCTACGAGTTCATTTGAATTTTTTTTGTTTAATACTGAGAAAGCCGAAACTTAACGTACAAAAACAATTCCTTGGGAAAGCCGAAACTTAAAAATCCACCTTGCTTGTAAACAAACTCATACATATGGGCTCTGCATATTGGGCTTGAAACTGTTCCGGAGGCTACATATTGGGCTTAAAACCTGCTCCCTCTAATCAGTTAATATTACGACATGTATGATTATTATTAAATAAATAATGATTGAAATTTTAAGTTATATATTATTGTCTCTAATTAGAAATATTGAAACTGAACAAAAGTTTGAAACTGGATTCGAAAATAAATACTTGTCATTAATACATTGTATTAAAAGTAGAGACATATAAGGATGGAATTGAAAAAACTATATTTAATACTATATTAAAAATAAGTGTAATTGGTGAGTTCACTCTAATGCAATAAATTAAAAAATGGAGGTAATATGAATTTACATAAAGTTTTTTTTTTTGTCAAACGATAATCATATATTATTTTAAAAATCAAAATATAGAAAATTATACAAGAGCTATATAATGATCAGCTAAATCTAGCCATGGTAAAGAGAGCAAAAGTTCTATTACATGAACTATTGTAGATCTAACTAACTTCACCAATTAAATGGAAGACATTTTACAGTCTGAAAGTACAAGATGAACCTTTTAATACAGAGATTTTGAAGATCTAACTTGCACTGCTGATTTCGAATTAGTTTTCAGTCTTTAACGCCTACAAAGTTAGATGAACATTAAATCTGTTTATTATCCTTTTGTTCGCCTTCTCCAAAACTGTTAGAAATCTGTTCGAAAATTCACCGACAAGTGTTCCTCCGTAAATCGGATCCGTGTACGAGAATTTATGCTAAATATAACAAGAAGATCTCTCTTAATACTAAAAAAACAACCCTTCTAAATGTGAAAGAGAATTTCAAATCGGAAGATGAAAGCACCAAAAAATGAGTGAGCTAAAACTCTTAACTAACAGAACAAAAGAAGAAAAATTTTGATTTTCCATCTTTTATGTAGAATATGGAAGAAAAAAGAGATTTTTTCGGAGAAGAAGGGTTGATGCCCGCAAAATAATTATGCGGGCGATTAATATTTTATTATATACATTCTTGTATGGGTAAGGTTAAGGATTTGATTATCACATTTGCAGTTAAGAACTTCACTTGTTACAACAAATTATGTTCCTTGAAATGAAACCAAGTGACAAAGTTTCTGTAATTAATAAGTACACCCTCGGTTATTTATTTTTTTTCAAAAAAAGAAGAAAGAAAAAGGGTACACCTGGAAAAAAAAATAAAATTCCGAAGATCCGACCGCCAGACAAACGGGCATATGCCGCAAAAAAAAAAGATTCCTCATTCTTTCCAACCTCGCTTTCCAAACGCCAGACACAAAAGTTTTCAAGGACACACCACCCGCCGTCTTTCCCTAAACACAAATCTATTTTCGTCTACCCTCTTCGTTCATAATCAATTCTACCTCTCATGGCGGATTCAAGACCTTCTTCCGATCCAGGTATTTGTACATCTTCCCTTCTCAGGTCTGATCTTCAATTTTATCATTTTCGCCGGTTTCAGTCTTTCCGAATCGCAGTTCCATTTCCATCAGACGGAAAGTAAAAGCAAATTTTAATTAATGGATGAAAATTTCCCAAATTGTAGAAAGGGTCCACGAGAGAACTAAGGAAGAATTTGATGATGCACAGAAGAACCCGTTTCACCATCACAAGGAAACTCATGGTCTGCGGTCTGATATTGATGAACAAACCTCGATTAGTGATGTGAAGGCTCCGAATGTGTTTGAAAGAGCCAAAGAGGAATTCGAGGCTATTGTAGAGGCGGTTCATCCTAAGAAAGAACATGATCAGGCCGAGACTCATGTTACCTTTCCCAACGGTGAAAAGAGGTTACTAAATTGTTCATCTGAGTTGCTTCAATTTAATTGGTGAAATTTTGATAGATTTGTTACCTTGTTTTGTGGGAAAATTTGCAGGAATTCTGCTGAAAAAGTAGAAACAAAAGAAGGAAGCGCCGATTTAGGTATGAACTGCATTGTGGTTCTTTTGATTGTTTGTTTTCTATAAGTATGTGTTTTCCTGTTTTCTCTGCTATGTTGTCATTTTGTGCCACAGAATTAGGGCGCTTCGCCATAGACTCCTCACAGTAAGAATTGACGCCAAAGTAACGAAAATTAATCAAGACCCTACCAATGTTGTTTGCTTTTGTTATTGTTTATGAAAGTAGCGGTACTATGTTGTAGAATGTTTCTTGTGGCAGTATACTGTTTCAGTATCTGTAATCAGATTAAGGTATGTTCTAGAATGCATTATGCAATTGAATGATGAAAAAGTTATGGTCCTAAGGGGGTATTGTCTTTCCTTTGCTTAGCTACTAGATGAACTAAGGGTAACGAATAGCCAATAGGGATGATGTCTATAAAGCTTTGTCTAATCTGATTGGTGAATGATGAAAAAGTTTTGGCCCTCTGGAAGTATGGATACACTTACCTAAGCTACTAGAAGGACTGAGGGTGGTGGGAATAGGGATGATTTCTACAGCACAGATGCTTTGTCTGATTGGTGAAAACTAGAACTACACGGGAGATGAGGGTCTTTACCACTTTCATTCATATAAGATAGTAAACTAATCTGCAGTTTTGGTGATCTGAACACTGTTTTTTTGCAATGCCTGTTTAATTTGTCCCCAATTATTTTTGAAGGGAAGGGCTTTAATATTGCCGCATTCGTTTCACTTGTATTGTATGTGTTTACTGTTATGTAATACTGAGTATCATCGATTTATCAAATACCTTCTAATCAGAATTGATTTGTTTTCAACGATTTTAAAGCCTTACTATGAATAAAATGTGTTCTTCATTCTGCATTTGTCAGAAAAGAGCAAAAAGTCTCCTAATCTTATTGAGAAGGTTAAGGGAGATATGGATGGCCTCATACATAAGAAGAAGCACGCACACGGTCATCATAAAGAAACTCATGGAACAAGTAATGACATTGACGAGAGCACTCCTATTGATGAAGTTAAGGGTCCAAATTTGTTCGAAAGAGCTAAGGAAGAAGTTGTGGCCCTTCTTGATGTGATTCATCCGAAGAAAGATACTGGAAGTTCTAGTCCCTCAAAAAAGAAGGAAGGTGGATTTAGGATGTCCGTAGGAAAAGGGTTGGAAAAGATTTGTTCTCCCCGGAGCCATAATGAAGATTGAAAAGTGACGACTCACGAGGAACTCAAATTCATTCATGTTATGTTGTTTTGACTTTGACGAGGTTAAGAATGTGAGAGCAACTGTTAAAGATTTTCCTGAGCTTTGAAGTGCCCTCCATTTGCTGCTGGTGGGAATTCTAACATCCAGGTTGTTAATAGGATGAGTGATATATTTTGTCCAGTGATTCTTGTACGCTTTAACTAGATTTATCTTTTACCAAAGGTTCACATTCCAACCATGAAAGAGTAACATTTTGAACCGAACGAGGACCTCAAAACTCTGTAGCCATCTCGCATAAATAACAATCCCTTGTTAGCATTCACAATGGCTTGGTCCCTCAACCTCTATTGAGAAGAATATATTCTTTCTCTCCAAATTGACCATTATTTTGGAACAAATAAACGAGTAAACATGTTGTCACTTGGACTCCTTCGCATTGGATACAACTTTCTGCAGAATTTTGCAAGTAGTCACTCTTTAGCCATACCTCAGGTGCCAAATTCTTCGGGGTGAACAAAATACTCTAATTTTGTTTCAATTCCGCCAAACGTTTTGCTCAATACTAATACAACAGCCAAAAGATGACCACTCTAAAAGTTTGATTGCGAATTAACATCGACCGGAAAGTTCAATGGAGATGTTAGTCTTTAGTTTGCAAACAAGCTTTTTTTTTTTTTTTTTTGAATTGAATGATAGCCTAGTGATTAGGTTGTTATCTTTTCTAACAACAGACCAGTTCGATTCCCACCAAAGGGTTCGATTCCCACCAAAGGGTTTGTAAAGGGGTTTTATATCCACATTTAAGTGAGGTCTACTGGTTTTTATTTAAATTTTTTTTTTTTTTGGTGAATAGAAGATAGAGAGACTAACGTCTACAAGTTACATTATAGTATTGTTCCTACTATCATGCTCTAACATATTATAATGTTATTCGTGGGAACATTAAAAGAGTATAACCCCATATCTAAGTTAAGTGCCGCCTTAACAAGAGCAACGGCGCACGCATTGTTAGTCTTTAGTTTGCAAAGAAGCTTGAACAATGATGATCTCTCCCTTAAAGTTCACTTTTTGTTTCATTAAAAATTTGCAACAAGTTTGAATAATGATAATTCATTTTGGAGTGTTCACTAACTCATCTATCTAGAGGGGCTATAAATCACAACTAAAGCAAACAATATCGAAGAACCAATTTTACAGCATATTATTTGATAATACGATTGAGGACGAGTCTTTGGAGAACTAAATGATGTGAAAACTTTATGGGTAGGAATTTCTATTATCTTTTGTGTATAGGCTTTCTAAATCTAAAGAAAAAAAAAAAAAAAACCCTAAATCAATGTAGTAATACGTGGTCGTATAAGAGCATACACCTTTTTGTTGACGAAAGCAGGCACTATAATCACACATGTGATTCCTGCTTTAGTCTTTCCCCCATCGTCACACTCGATTTTTACCCTCCAAATCTCTCTCTCTCTCTCTCAGTCCGTCCCCATCCTTCTCCCTCCATTTTCACACCTTCTCTCTTCTGACCGTTTATTTTCCCCTCTTCTGCCCCAGACTGACTCTTGACTTCCTCTTCTTCTTCTTCACTATTCCTTATCAGTCCAGTTCCAATGCCATCCTTCTTCCCCTTACCCATTCTCAATCTCCCTCCTTCTCCATGGATTCTCAGTCCATCTGAAATTCCCCCTTATTCCGCCCCTTTCCCTCCACTCCCGCTGCTTCTCCCTATTATAATCCCCTTCTCCATTACTTGTTTCTTATAATATATATAATAATAATATAATTATTGTAATAAGATCTTTGATTTGAAGTTCAATTTTGTTCTCTGTATGATGGTAGCTCAAACTGCTTTCTCCGATTCCAACGATGTTGACATCAGCGGCGTGAGCAGTAGCATATGCTGTGCCGGCGGCAACAACCATACCACCGCCACCGACTCATCGCTTTCCCCTGAATCTCTCCTCCATAATCCCCCGCCCGACGTCGTTGCGCTTAGGCGGCTCTCCGAGACCTTGGAATCGATCTTCCTCTGTGATGCCCCTGCCGCGTCTTCGACGGAGTTTGACTTCTATGCTGACGCCAGGATCGTTGCCGCCGGAGGCAGGGAAATCCCCGTCCACCGTTGCATCTTGTCTGCTCGGAGCCCGTTTTTCAAGGGCGTTTTCTCCGGTTCTGCTTCCAAGGACAAGGTTCCGGTGAAGATTGAGCTCAAGGAGTTGCTCAAGGACTATGAAGTGAGTCCCGACGCGCTTGTGACGGTGATGGCGTACTTGTATAGCGGCAGAGTTAGGGCGGCGCCCAAGGATGTGTGTGTATGTGTGGACGATGATTGCCCCCACGTGGCTTGCAGACCTGTTCTGCAGTTCATGGTTGAGGTTTTGTATGCGTCTTTTACCTTTCAAGTTGCCGAGTTAATCGCCAAGTTTCAGGTAATTTAGTTCCTATTTGCATTTTATCTTTTCTGTTACTTCCTCCATGTATAATTTGGCTTCAATTTCGAATTTATGTTGTTAATTTCTTATCGTTTAGGAAATTAAATGAATAGGTTTAAATCATTGCATTACTCTGTTCGGTTATTCGCAGAGGCACCTACTGGAGATTATTGACAAGGCTGCAGCAGATGATGTATTGTTAGTTCTGTTAGTTGCAAACATTTGCCGCAGTGCTTGTGAGAGATTGCTCAGTACATGTATTGAAATTATAGTTAAATCAGATGTTGATATTATCACTCTAGATAAAGCATTGCCGCATGATATTGTTGAGCAAATCATGAATAGCCGTAAGGAGCTAGGTTTGGTAGGAGCTGATGTTATGAATAGTTTTCCGGATAAGCATGTAAAAAGAATTCACAGGGCTTTGGATTCTGATGATGTGGAATTAGTCAGAATGCTGCTTAAAGAGGGGCATACCACGCTAGATGATGCGTGTGCGTTGCATTATGCAGTGGCCTACTGCGATGCAAAGACGACAACTGAGCTTCTTGATCTAGCCATTGCTGATGTCAACCATAGAAACCTTAGGGGATACACGGTGCTTCATGTTGCTGCATCGAGGAAGGAACCTAAAATCATAGTTTCCCTTTTAACAAAGGGTGCCAGACCATCTGATCTCACGGCGGATGGAAGGAAAGCCCTTCAGATCTCTAAAAGGTTGACCAGAGCTGCTGATTATAAGAAGCCCACTGAGGAAGGAAAAGCTTCTCCAAAGGATCGCTTATGCATAGAAATTTTGGAGCAGGCTGAAAGAAGAGATCCATTGCTCGGCGAAGCTTCAGTTTCTCTAGCTATGGCTGGCGATGATTTGCGGATGAAATTATTATATCTCGAGAATAGAGGTATAGATTTCCACCTTATGATCCTCTCAAATATTCGATTTCGTTGTTCATTGACTAGGCTTTCTTACGAGGTCCTTTTTGACCATCTTTAGTTTGCTGAATGGAGGCTTATAAAGAGCCAAACGATTTAAGCTACTGCCTTTCTTATGAAATATCACCATCTAGTGATTTGTTCTTTTTGGTCAACTACGATATTTTATACTGGAAATACAAAGAGTACATCAGAGTCTGCTCTTAATACAATTTAGCCAGGAAATAAAAAGAAAAATGGTTGTCCCCCATGTGGCACAGTTTAGTGGTTGACTGAATGCAATGAGTTTATTTCGAGTGCTATATGAAGGCTGTATCTGCAATGACATATGGATCACTTAAAAATTCCACATTTGCATGTCTTATTGAGCAGCCCATCATGCCCTATGTGGTTTCCCTTTCTATATAAATCAATTCTGAGTTCCAACTTTAATTATTTCCCTCTTGGAAGTGTAGATAGATTTGATGGTATGTACCTTAGAGATTACTGGCATAGCTAGGAGTACATCTGTTATGGGGTTCCTTGACCTTAGTATTTTGTTGGGAGAACGTGTAAATGATGGTCATCTTTTTGTCTTTTGTTTCAATGTATGCATTAGATCCTCCATTGCTCCTTCCCAACCTTTGCATGCATCCTAAGCACGCTCATTCATATTCTTTGAGTATTACCTAGACAGCTACTGCACACAGGATTGTTGTTGTTCGTTATATCTTTGGGGTGCTTATGTAAAGCTTGAACCTATATAAAATTTTGATGATATAAAATACTCACGTATGCATTTGACTTCAATGTGATCAGCTCTTTGGCAGTTCTATGATGTTAACATCTAAGTTTTAAAATAAATAACCAGTGTTTGTGGATCTGTTTAAATTTTTGTATTGTCATGTAGATCACAAGCTTCAGAGTTTCTGTTTGGACTACTGTTCATTTCTCATTTCGTACAATTTTCATATTTCCGCAAATAATAGTATTCTTGGACTTGAATTATACAGTAGGACTGGCTAAACTTCTATTCCCCATGGAGGCCAAAGTTGCCATGGACATTGCACAGGTTGAAGGCACTACTGAATTCCCATTGGCTGCCATTAATCGGAAGGCAGCTCTTGCTCAAAGAACAGCTGTTGACCTAAATGAGGCCCCTTTCAAGATCCAGGAAGAACATCTGAACAGAATGAGAGCTCTCTCCAAAACTGGTAAGCATAAGAATTCAGATCCTTTGCTGTCTGTTTGTTTCTTGCTTGGTATAATATGGTTTGTCACATTTTCTTCTTTAAAAATGTACCGAGATCCAAGAATTTTGGAAATTTTTTATATGAAAGATCAAAATGAGCTAGAAGTAAGACATAGTTTTATTATGTTGATATTTTATTAACTTCCTTTACGAACAAGATTGGGGAAACTAAACTACATATATTGGACAGTCAATTTGGTTTCATGCTAGGGTCCAATCCAAGAACATAAGATGTACATATGGTTTGTTGTTTCTGAAAGCATCAGCATATATGTGGTAGTTATCCGAAACACACTGGAAATGTTGGCAAGTCAAAGCCCGATGTTTGTGCTAGGTAAAACCCTGCGGAAGGCGTGGTAAATTGAAAACCATTACATAAACGATTTAGAGTAATACATGAACAGGGAGGCTGTGTACGATGTTGTTCCTACATTTTCTCTACATAAATCCTTTTCGACACACAGTACAGTACGTTAAACAAGTAATAATAATAAGAGAAGAAAAAGATGAAGCGAACTCGAATGAATCAATATAATATAAAATTACTAGATTGCCATTTTACTATCTGAAAAATGAAACAGGAAGTACAGTATGTATGCATTTTAGCACATTATATCCTGTGTTGATTTCTTCACTACTTTGTAGCCAACCTTACATTTTAGAATAATAAAGCTTGATGGTTATTTTCTTTCCCATAACTCGGGTAGTATCTGAGAGCAAGCATATTCTTTGAATTTTGAACAGTTGAACTAGGAAAGCGCTTCTTTCCTCGTTGTTCTGAAGTACTCAACAAGATTATGGATGCTGATGACCTCTCTGAGATAGCTTACATGGGGAATGATACCCCAGAGGAGCGTCAATTGAAGAAGCAAAGGTACATGGAACTCCAGGATGTCTTAACTAAAGCTTTTAGTGAGGATAAGCAAGAGTTTGATAAGAACCACCATTTATCATCATCTTCTTCGTCGACATCCTTGAGCATGATGAAGTCCCGTATTAGCAAGCTCAATTTGAAAAAATAGGGTATTGCGGAACTGTAGATAGGAAACATAGGTTTTCTTGTATTATATGTTTTTATTATTTTAGATCTCATGAGCATTAGTTGTTTCACAGTGCCCTAGTTTTGTATGCTCTCCTTGTTAAGATCATAGGAGATATTTGAGTGGATAGGTCTCTGTTGTTGTAATCTTAATGTACAATTTGTGCATCCGAAAAAAAAAGGAAAATACTGTATCAAGTGCGGCTCTCTCTGTAATCATCGTCCCTTTCTTTTCATCTAGGGTCGTAGATTGAAAATCCTTGCGCCAACTAGTAAGAGCTGTACTCGTTGCATTGTTTCGGAACAATAAACAAGACTTTTCCTTCGGGAGTTTGAAATTCTACAGTGATGCAAGATTGGGGCCTGTTTGATGTGGCACTTTTGGGATCTTTTCAGGTAAACCATTGCCAAACGTTTGTAGAGCGTTCCATCGGACAAGACCCAACTAGCTAGCTCCAGATTGAAGATGTGTAGTTTTCAGACTAGCTACATAGGGGGACTGAAATAGGTAAGACGCAGTTAATGAAGATGTGGTCGAGATTTGGCCTAACCTTACTACACGTGGATGTTCCTCGGCGGGTTGAGTGATTTGTTTCTCCGAATTAGAAGATTTGGAATGAACAGTAGATTTTGATTGGAGGTGTTGGTCATAATCACCGAGTTTATAGATTTCTTTGAAGTTTCTAGTGTTCACCTCTACTTTGGCAATTTGTCACTTTATACTGTTTTCATGGGGCCGTTCTCTTTACAATTGAAAGGAACAGATTTTGGTGATCTACAATGTCCAAATTTGGGGAACAGACACCAGCTTGGCTTTATGATTGCGAGAAATAATGTGAGGTCTAAGATGCTTTTAAATTTGTTAAATACGAAAATGGATTGCGTGAAACCAATGGAGAAGAGGAAAAATGAAGTGTGCTGCAATAAAAAAATTGTGCAATTCCCCTCTTTGATCTTTAAACTGCTATTGTCTGTGGGGCAGAGTCTGTAAGCTCACTCGATACGACGCAACAGAATAAACATAAATTGATTTTTAAGACGAAAAAATTATTTCTCCAAAAACACTCCGCGGATGAGAGTCCATGAACCATGATCTGAACATACAATGTCCGGGTCAAAGTTCCGAAACCTGATGAACTGGTTATACTACGAAATTGCAACTACCCTTTGAATCAGACCCTCCAACAAAGGAGAAACAGGGGAGCAATTTTTTTTTAATTTTTTTTTTTTAATTTTTCCATTTTTTTGGGGTTTTCTGATGATGACAATAGTCCATCTGTACAACCTAAAGAAACTAGGCCTAAGAAACTAATAGCTTGCAAGAGCAAAACATATGCACAGGAGCAACTCCTAAAGATCAATGTCCCTAACTTAAAATCTCCAGGATTTGTACCAATTGATGCATACACTACTACTGAACTCCTGCGTATTATACTATATACATAATTATTCCTAGTTGATCCTTTCTCTTCCCAGCTCAACAGTTGTATCCACCTTACCCTCAGCTGGCCTGACAACAAGACAAGGAGAACAATTAAGAGTCTTAACAAAGATGTGAGATGACTGATTAAAGCACAATATTATTACAATCATTTAATCTACCTTCAGAAATGGAGGAGCTTATGCAGTTAATCCAGGGCAGTGAGTTTGATCTACCAATCCCTTAAAGTGGGTGGCCCAGTTTGTTGGCTTTGAGATCAAATCCTCCAATTCAAGCACAATCTCAGCCTGAGATTTAGAAGTTTCTGGTCCATCTTCATATATCATGTCATCCTCCATTAGCTTCTCCCACAGTATGAAATTCTCAGACCCTGTCTCTGCTGCTGCTGTGTTGGAAGATGATGTACCAGGTTGGTCCTGAACTGGACTGTCCGATTCATTCTCAGGGGAGAATAATGTCCGAACTTCAGGGTCAATTGTTGTCAGCTCTTCCTGATGCTGAGGGGTTCTAGATTTAACATCTACGGCCGGCATGCCGTTGGCGGCGGTGTCCACCTTCCTATTGTCACAACTCTGATCAGGACCCGCCAGCCTCCTCCTCTTGGCAGGTGCGCCACCACCAGCTAGTGATTTTTTCAGCTGGAGTTTCTCCACTAAATACTGAACAAACGTAGGGTTCTTGAATGCCTTCGCCAGGAAAAGCGCCATGTAATTTTGCTTGGTTTCTGTTGTCCTCAGGCGCTCTTTGATTGTTGCCAAATATTTCTCAGTGTTCAATTGCTGCTGCTTCATCCTAAGAAGCTCCATTCTCAGCATGTTCTGGTCATTCCTGAGTTTTTGAATCTCTGATTCCGACCCGTATTTGGAACCATCAAGCCAAGGCTGTCCAGCTCCATGGTGATGCAACATTTGGGTGTTCTGTTTCCTCCTCTTGATGTTCTTCAGCAAATGCTTCTTCCCTTTCTGAAATTCCTCATTTGCAAACTCCCATCTGTCTGAATCAACCTTCCTAAAACGCTGTCACAGATTCAAACCCAACAGAAAAAACCCAGTGAGATTTAGGAGGAAACAGAAATAAGGTGGTCTGGGACTCTGGATACACAAAAAAAAAGAAAAAAAAAAAAATCCCATTCCATTGAGTCCCAATTTTAACAGCTCAAATTGGCATGGTAAAGAATTAATAAGAAGCAAAAGGGCACAGAAGAACAAAGTGAACTCCAATTTTTAACCCACACTTCCCAAAAAAAAATTAAATAAATAAAATTGAAAATAAATCCCCCAAGAAAAATTGGTAACCACAGTTCTGTAAAATTTGAACAGAGTTAAGAAGGCTTTAGAGCTTACATAGGTGTTGAGCTGACGAACAAAGCTTGAGAAATTGTTGTGCTTAAAATGCTTAGGAAGGAGATCCCTGGAGAACTTGTGAGGATCCCAAACCACAAAGCTGGTACAGGTAGAACTCCAGGAGATAACGGAGTCGGTTTCAGGATCATCCACCATTTCAAAAGTCTTCTTCAAGAACGGCGGTGGGCCAACCTCATGAAGCCCTTCAATCGGCTTCGGCGCATCGAAGAACTCCCCATCGCCGCCGGAGACAGCGCCGCCGCTGCCGGTGCCGGCATTTGCAAAAGGATCATACTCCTCATCGAGGTACACCAGCGGCTCTTCCTTCACACAAGCCGGAATTTCAACTCTGGGAACATAATTACTGTTCATATTCCCGAAATCCATGTTTGCTTGCCCCATATTAAATTAAATGGTTTTCTTTTTCTTTTTTTTTCTGTTGTGGGTTGCGGCTGAGAAATTGAAAAAGGTGAAAATTTTCTGAGAAACGGAAGGGAACTCAGTCAGACAAGGAAAAGGGGGAGAGTGAGAAGATTTGTGGGGAAAATGAGGGTGTATATATAGTGTAAAAAAAAGATCAGAAGCAAGCAGGAGAAGAAGCAGCACACAGGATTAGGATTCACTGCTGGGGGCTAAATTGAATAGTGATTAAACCAAAAATTGGGTGAGAAGAAGAAGAAGAGATAGAGAGAGAGAGAAAGGAGGCGGTTTGCGGTGCGGTGTACAAAAATTAGCCAAATAAGGAAATGAGCTGACAGTGGTCGCACTGGATTTTGCCATTTGTTCACTCACCAAAGCCCCCCCACACACACTCACACACTTCCCCTCTCTCTTTGAAAACGTACAACCAAGCCACTTGCTTCCACCTCACTTACTCCTCCAATTTTCTGTTATTTGTTTTTCTAGCCCCAACCTTTTTACTCAAGTCATACAGTAAACCTCTCTTCTTAAGTCTCCTCAAGGATAAGTTTTACGAGCACAAAATTATATCAAGAAGGTAAATATATTAAATATATTACTCCCTCCGTCCCAACAGAATAGTCCACATTGAGTTTTTAAATTTGTACTAAAAATAGGACAAAATTCAAAACTCAATGCGTACTATTTTTTTTTGGGACAGAGGGAGTAAAATTTTGAGAAACCCCAAGTTAGAGAAATTATGTTTAGTGGTGAAAAGTGTTTTTACGAGACACACATAAAGGTACAACATTTATTTTTAAAAAAATGCAATTCAGTAAAATTCTCTTATAAACCCCGTTGAAATTAAACTCAGATCTACTATCAGAAAATACAGTATCTTAATCACTATATTGTTATTAAATTCCCAAAATATATGGGCATGATTTGGTTACTTTGCAATGTTATTATATCATTGAATGAACTCATTATCTTTGAATATGCTCTCTAAATATAGTTGAATTTATACAGAACTTTACCATCATCATATTAGTCACATATCAGTTAATTATACATAAGTCTAATCATTGTAAATTTTCAACTTAAGAAAAAATCTACTATTTGAAGTTTTATGAAACAAAAGAGTTGGTAGGTAAAAACATGAAAGTAACTGGACTGGTAAGTAATTTACAATATGGAAGGTTTTTGCAAAATTTAAGAAGAGATGAGGACTAACAAACAAAAAAGTGAAAAAAACTGAGTTTTTTTTTTTTTTTTTTTGACAAACAAAAAAACTGAGTTTGGTTTTGCGAGAATTGAGATAAAAATGTCGGTCACTTGTCAGTTACCATTTTCACTTTTTGGGTGAAACTCCTGCTGGTTTTGGTACATGTAAAGTGGTAAATGGTAAAAAACTAAAAGGGTATGGTAGCAGCAGTGACTGCCTCGTCAAAGTCCTTATCTCATACTGCCTATAGATTATATCCACCGCTTCGCACAGAAGGAGGATAGAAGAGGAATTTCAAACGTAATACTACAACAGATAGTGCTAACCGTTACAACACAAATTCATCCTTTAGTCCCGAGGATTAAAAGTACAAACCAAAATTTTCTTCTGTTTCTTAATTCTATTTTTCCTATTTATTAACGTGACCGTGATCACGAAATTAAAATTATGCGATCAACATGACATTTTTCTGGGTTGAAACGAGTATAAATTTTGACGTGTGTTTAAAGTGTTTTCACACTGTAATGCCAGAAAAAAAGAAATCCAACGGACACCAAAGTTAGCGAGGCGATGAATTTAAATGACGGGGAAGGGAGTGTAAAAATTGCTGCTAATAAGAAAGATGACAATATGAAGGTGGACACATTGAAAAATGTCGATGCTAGGAAGTGACAAATAGTATGAATGCAGATAGTTTTGAGCAAAGGGTTGTTATAGTGTAAACATAAAATATACTAAACACTTTTTGGGAATCTCCAAACGACATCATCACTGACGCCGGTTGCTGTTAGCTTCAGCACTGGGTTTATCGGTTAGGATTCTGGCGGGAGGCTCACGTTATAAATTCCGTGTTTACCCCCCTCCATCCACCGTTTCCGGCTAATTGGGCACTTTTATCTTTTTTTGTTTTTTTTTTCTTCACACACATTCACACAGTTGTGACTGTATCTGATTTTAGGCACCGAATGGGACTTTCATTTCCCCAAAAACCATATTTTTAGTTCTTTGAATGGTTTAACCAACAAAGGTATATTGAAATTTTAGTAGAAAATCATTTTTTCCGTCTCAAAATAAAATGATTGTTATGGTTAGATTCTCAAAATAAATGATTGGTTTGGGATGGAAAAAATATATGAGTAAGTCCATTCGTATACTTACTTCCAACGTATTGTAATCGGATTATTTGTTTTTAAAAATCCTAAACATCTTTTCTTTTATGAAAATCTTGGCTACGTTACTGATTAATCAACAAAAATGATTAGAATTAGTTGGTAAGTGAGGTGATGATTCAATTGTGTTTGTGATATGTATCTACAAATTAAGCTCTGGTTCAATGAAACTGGAGCAAAAATCCAAGGAAAGGAAAAGTGCATTATTTCAGCTTCTCAACCAAAAATGTCACCACGAGCCGAATGAATGAGATAATGATGATCGTCTTCGGCAAAACTCTGGCTCACAAGCATATTACATCCGCCCATTCATTTATTAAAAGAAAAGAAAAAGACAGAGGTCTTATTTTATAAAGATTTGAGCTCTTTTTTTTTTTTTTTTTTTTGGAGGAATCACACGGATGCCTGTTGTGACTTGTGAGTTTTTGATTCTATCCTTTTTTTTTTTTTCGTTCTCTTCTTAATTACATCAATACCATGATGAAGCTTATCCTTTGATCAACAATGTCACAAACAAAAGTCAAAAGGAACTGAAACTATCAATGCGGTGGGAGGAAAAAAATTGTTCTTTTAACACTCCTTAAGTTTTGACACGTAATTTTACATGAACTCTATATCTTAAGGATTCATTTGGTGTATTGAGCTCTTGTTTGAGTTTTTTTTTTTGTTATTTATTATATCGATTTTAAGAAAAATATACGCATAATTTGTTTAATTAGTGTTACAGTACTAGTATTAAGAAAAGTGATTTTTAAATTTTTACGGGAACAAGAAACAAAACGGAAATGGATAACTATTCATGTCTGATGAAATTCTCCTCAACCGTTACTTTGGGGGTGGAGTTTGTATGTATAGTTTACATATATATGGTTTTTGTTTTATACAATTCTTACGAGCATCTATACTATTATATTTGTGAGTTTGAGGGAAGGGATTTACTACTAACCTAGTCTAGAGGGGAACGACTCCATGCCTGCAACGCTTCTTTCCGCGCGTCCAACTACTAGCCTAGTCTAGAGGAAAACGACTCCACGCATGCAACGCCTCTTTCTGCGCGTCCATCAGGTGTTTGAAGAGCTTCTATCTGCAATCTGCAAAGAAAAACAGCATTTTCCTGCCGTGGGATTTTGAACCCAGGACCTCCGGATTAGATGCCTAACCCGTTACCACTTGGGCCACCCCCTCTTATATTAATAGCATTGATTGAACCACAAAACATGTCATTAAACTATTCGATAATTTCATTACAGGTCACCAATCAAATTTATTTGCAATACATGTCACCATACTAAGCAAAAATTCATCTGAGATCATTTTGTTAATTTTGACTCCATTATAGGTCATTCATCAAATTTATTTGCAAAACAAGTCGCCATACTAATCAAAAAATTCATCCGAGATCATTCTATTAATTTTGACCGTTAAATATTGACGGGAATCCTTTTTTCACATTCGTTTGGGTTCAGGGGTATTTTTTGTCATTTTGTTATTTTAATTTTTAATTTTCTTTAAAAAGAATTAATTTTAATTTATTTTTTTTTTACAATTCTTCTTCTTATATTTCTTAACTTGTATATGTTTGTAATATAATTTTTAAATTTCAAAAATTAATTTAAATTTTGTATTTTAACTTAAGATTATAAATTTTTTTTAAAAAAATTAAAAATAAAGAAGAAAAAATCGAGTTGAAATAAACATGAAAATGAATAGTTTACCATTTTAAACTAAGGGAGAAACTAAAAAAATTATCTAAGACAAATTGTTTCTTCTAGATTATTTAATTGTTTTCAACTTGATTTAATTGTTTAATTATTAATATTCACGTTGACTTCAATTTGAATTTTTCTTCTTTATTTTGTTTTCTTCTTCCTTTTATTATAATTTACAATTTAAGATACAAACGACAAGTTAATTTTTGAAATTTAATAAATATACTAGTACTAACATATACATGTTAGGAAGTAAAAGAAAAAGATTTGCAAAACAAATTTCTTTTAATTTTTCATAATTCTATATTTTTTTAAAATATATTAACATTTCAATTTTATTTTTTTAACTTTTTTTTATTCTTTTTTACTTCTTAACTTGTATATATTGGTACTATAATAATTATTAAATTTCTAAAATTTATTTTTCATTTGTATCTTAACTTCTAGAATATTAAAAAATGAAGAAGAAAAAAAGTGAAGAAGAGAAATTCAAATTGAAGCAAAGGTAAAAATTAATAATAAAATAATTATATCAAGTTGAAAATAATTAAATAACCTATAAGAAACACCTTGTCATAACTAATTTTGTAGTTTCTTTTTGGTTGAAAATGATAAACTATTAATTATCATATTTACTTCAACTCGAATTTTTCTTCTTCATTTTTCTAATTTTTTTTTAAAATTATGATATAGAAGCTAAAATACAAAAGTTAAATTAATTTTTGAAATTTAAAAATTATACTATCAACATATACAAGTTAGAAAATATAAGAAGAAGAGTTTTAAAAAATAAAAACTAAAATTAAAATTTTTTTTTAAAAAATAATAATGACAAAATGACAAAAATACCCCTAAACCCAAAAGCATGTGAAAAATAGATTTCCGTCACTATTTAACGGTCAAAATTAACAGAATGATCTCGGATGAATTTTTTGCTAACTAAGGTGACTTGTTTTGCAAATAAATTTGATTGATGATCTGTAATGGAATTACTGTATAGTTCAATGACATGTTTTGTGGTTCAGTCAATAGTACTTAGGCAATACAAATAAAGAAAGAAAAGAAGAATAATTTTCTTTTCTTTTTACCTCATCGCATATGTATCGTTGTATGTATAGACAGATTATTAGATAACAGAACAACACAGGTTTGCATGCCAAGTGTTTCTTTAGCTCTTCGGTGACGTGGATTTTCGGTTCAAAAATGAGGTGGCTTTTATTGTAGTATAAACATCATGATAAGAGATATGACCTACAAAGTAAAGTTATAGATGGTAAATGGTGTGAACCGTGACATAACAAGATCGAAAACATAAATATTCTTCACAATTCTTAGATGTACGTTTATGCAATTTCCTGGCTCTTATCAACGAAGTTTTTTTATTCATTAGAGGGTCAAAATAAATTCATTCCCCATTTTATTTTCCAAGTTTATAAAATACTATATTTGGTCCTTATTATAAGTCGATTTATTCAAAATTTCATTTATTGTGTTTATTTAATTAAAAACATTAAAATACATTTCCATATTCATTGTGTTCTTTAAATCATTACAAAATATGTTTAAGATTTCATTATCAATTGAAAAGGCATAATAAATAAAAGTTAAGAGAAATGAAAATGTCTTATACAGTAATAAGAATCAGATAGAGGTTGAGCATTGATTGATTAATCGATGCTTAATTATCAGTGTACTTTTAACCTAGTCAGCTGAACTTATATGGTGTCTCTAAAATCTTCCAAAGAAAAGTAAATTATTGAAAATGATAATGAGGGTATAGATGGCACAAATCACAGAATATTTGAAGTCACAAGGAGGATCATCATGAGATTGTCACATGAACTTCCCTCTATTTGCAAGAATTCTTGATAGCATTTACACTTTACCATCATGAGTATTTGATGTTATGCACAAGGCGCCGTAGACGTGGAGGAGTCTTCATAGTTTATCTTTCCCTTTTATTTCATCATAAATTAGGGAAGCTAAATAAGATTTGATACTCCCTTTGTGCAAAAATTATTGTGTAATTTGAATTTTACCTTTCATATAGTATGTATTTAGAAGTGAAATCTAAAGTGGATAGTCATTTTAAAACTGAAAAAAGATATAAAATTGTATTTTGCTCGGAAATGGAAAATTAAAAAGAAAAGAAAAAGAATAAAGAAAACAAATAAAGAAAAAATGAGCTAAAATAGTAGTTTCTAATTATTAGACCCACACCTTATAGTCTTGGCTTGCAATGGTCAAATAATATACTACATGACCATTGATCAGCTAAAAGAAATGAAGTGATTACATGTAACAAAACAAATTGCCTTCAACCAGACTACGGATTGAGAGGTTCTCTTAGTAGCTAAACGAAGTTAACCACATTTCAGTTGTGGAGTAATAGAGTTGATCAAATAATCAGCCGTGTACTTGTTGGTTGTTTGAGTCAGGCTCATTCCATCCCAACTGATATGATTGTCTGGATTTGGGCAAGGATTAATGCAAGGCATCCCACACAAGCTCCCAAAATCAAAGTTAGAAACCTTTCCACTTCTACAACAAGCTGAAAACTTGTCCTCGAATCCAAGTTTTGTGTATTGGATAAAACAGACAATTAAGCTTGAAAGTAATCCGCATAAACAATCAGCACGTCGGGGTATTCTCTCTTTAATTGTTCAATAGCTATTTTTAGAATTTAATTGTGATGATCAGCTATATTGTTCCATCCCACCATACAATGATTAGAATCATAATCTCTCAAACTGCATTCCTCAAGGTGGAAAAAGCTCATAGAAACAGGAAGACAACCATGTGGAAGATTTCCAGGAACAACAACTCTTTTGTGCCAAAGCCGATGATTGTTCTAACAGCTTGTAAAATATTTTAAATTATTAACCGAGGCAAAAACATCCCACTCTGCATCTCTAAGCCCATGATCCATAACTGTTATCCTTTGCTCCGACGTCTCCTATAAAAAACAATGAGTTTTTCAACAAGTCATGACATTCTTCTCTACTCTGACAAGTTTGGTTCAAGTGAGACGACAACCACTCTAATTGCACGTTGAGCAAACTATTGGTGGCGAAGTGAAGATGAAGATCTTTGGTTGCGATCCAACCCTCAAAATTTTCATCGTGAGGTAGAATACCCTTAGCTTGTAAGGTCTCAACTGGTAAAGCGGTATAGCTCCCCCGACAACAAAGTTGACTCCATGATCAAAATTCGCCCCTTCATCTCCTCTCTCGTACAGATTAAGAAATTGTACACCAAATGTAGATGCTGCATTATCACCAAACAAATTTATTTGTTAGGTTCTTCAAATTGTGCATATTAAAAGAAAAAAGGCTTATTGTAGCAACTTTAAAAACAAAACACTACTAGTCTACAATTATATTGCTTGAATTAAATAAAATGAGATAATGGAGGGAAAATAAAAACGTACCAAAATATTCGATCATGAGAAGACTATTAGAGGCTCGATCGGTTGGTTTTCCAAGAGTGATCTCATGAGGAAACTTGTTGAATAAACCGTCAGGCACTTCAGCAGCTTGGGTTCTCGTATCTAATGTAGTATCTCTAAGACTGTAGATTTGGTCGAACTTGCAATTATTCTTGTATGCAACATCAACCTGATAGCAACTTTCGAGCACAGCTAAAATATGGTTGGAGGATAAACAAAAACACTAACATAACAAAACCAAGAGATAACTTATTCGTTCTGCAAACCATGTTAATTTATGCAACGAAGGAAAAAGAAGCAGCAAAATTACTACAACAACAATTGAGAAAGAGAGACCTAAGAGGATAGAAACTTAAGACCAAGAGAGAACGAACAAAAGAATAGATTATCGACTATCTTTGTATGTTACAAACGCTTTGGGGAAGATCATATTTATAGGAGGGGATTAAAGATGCTGAAATAGGTTTGGATTTGGAAATAAAATGCATAATCCTTCGGTAAGTAAGAAAAGGAAATCATGATGATATTTAAACTTTATTCAAAAGTTCAAGTTAACGGTTGAAAATATCAATTAAAACTAGGAATAAGAAACATTATTGATTTAAAAGTTTATTTTTTCCCCTTTAACGTGCCACTGTACTTGTTGTTAGATTAATTTTAGATTCCCAATCGAAATAGAATTAGGGAATCTATGGCGGCATTTTGTAGTTAGCTTCCAAATAGTTTTAGGACTTACTTTCTGTGGGTTGGTTATACGATTCTTATTGTCTTTGAATTTTTTTTATTGTTTTTTGTGAACTAATTTTGTGATTAATAACCATGTTTTTGTTGGAGTACTTCAGCACTTTTGCACAACACATTCTCAAAACTCCCGCAATGGCACACATTTCCCACTTGCACTTCCATCAATTCTGTCCTTTTTTTCTCACAATTTTCATGAAATGCTGAAAGATCACATCTATGTTTTGAAAACCAGACCGGATCGGACGGTCAAATCTGTTCAACTGGAAATCAAAGGTCTCTTTGGTCCAATGTGGTTGAAGAACTAGCAAACATAAAAACCGATCAAATTCGGTCAAACTCGAACAAAACTGCGGTCCGACCAGAAATCGGTACAGGTTAAATCGAATTTTTAAAATTTTGTAAATAAATTATTCTTTTAATATTTTTTATAGCTAATTTTGACCGGTTTCAAAAACCGATTCAAACCGGCTGAGTCAGTGAATCAATTAAGTTATGGGTTCACCTTTTGATCAAATTTTCAAAACATAGAATCACATCAGGGAGTTCGAAAGAGACTTCTATTTGCTGCTCAACATGCTGCGCCTCTATCAAATATAAGACATTTATTTTTCCCATTCCAGGTTTCTAGAAAGCATATTAAATTGCTTCGGGTTTCCTTTGCAATCCCATGAAAGAGTTACAATGGTCGGCAAACTGCTTTGAAGAATCCACATAATCAAGCGTCTCTTTACATTGTAACTTCCCAAAATTGTGTCTTTCAATAGTACATAGTCAACTGTCTCAGCTATGATTCAATCCAGCCTTTCCAAATCCGTTGGTCATCATCATCAGCTGCAAGAATATGAACTTTGAGAAGATCATATAGATAAGCCTTGCTTTTGAGTAACACTCTCCAATGGGTCTTCTTATTTTCAGCTCAATTTTTCTCAAGTACAGATCTTGTTACCAAATGGAAACTGTTCCATCATTGCAGAAACGTTGTACTCCCTCCAATTCTTAATAGAAAATATTTTGATTTATCCTAAATTTCACCTAATACATATTTTTAATTGACAAACAAAACCTTAAAAATATTTTTTAACAATGAAGAGAACACAAGAATGTGAAAATATATTTTCTTTAAATTTTTTTCAATTAAAAATACATATTAGGTGAAACTTAGAACAAATCAAAATCCTTTATATTAAGGACCGGAGAGAGTAGCTTTTGAGCCTTGAGTTTCATAAACCAAGAATCAAGAACCAGTGAGATGCGTGAGAATATAATGTTGTTAATTTTTTTTTTAAAAAAACGAAATATTTGTACCAAAAAAAGAAGAAAAAGAAATACGCACTAAAAAATATATGTATCCTATTCATATTTTGATTTAGAATCTAACTAGTGGTGGACCCGTGCGTTGCCGGGGATGTGAAAATATTTCAATTTACTTGAGCGGAAATTTTTTTTAATAATCTTTAAATGAATTTTTTGCCTTTTGCCTACAGCCACTATTTCACCTATGACATCTGGAAAAAGGAGAATTATTGGATTAATTTGTCTAAATATTTAGTAATACTTGTGGAGTCATATATAATGTAGAAAAGACAATGTACCTATCAGTAAAGATTCATTCACCCTTTTGTTTATGATATCAGCAAATTTCGGGAACTAAAAACCATATTCACCAATATAAGGCCGATCCACAAACTCGAGAATTGTCGCAAATCTTGGTACTGCATTTGAATATTATTTTGTATTTATTATCACTATATCTTTGGAGCTCTTTGTCAGTAGTCGTACCAAAATGGCTTATTCGTTTGTACTCTCTCTCCTTCATGGGATCTTGAAACTTGTATATTAGGTCTTTTTTAATTTCAGCAACGGCCCTATTGCCCTGCGAAATAATAATACAACAAAGAAAATAAAATTTTAGGAATCAAATAATCACAATGATAGGTGTATATATATGAATATATATATAATATTTTTTAATAATAGGTGAAATTTACCTTTTCATCGATTAATACGCTCTCAATCATGGAGACTTCATTATCATCATTGAAATCCATCTTTGTCCACACGCGTAGAAGACGAACTCGGACATTCCATCCAACTCCTCGGCTATTATCGAGCTCGTTGAGAAAATCAAATTTGGAAGACATGATATACAAAACCAATACGGATGTGAGTGTATTTTGGTGTGTGTTTTGATTCAAATCATATGCTAAATATTTATAGGTAATGAAAGTTCCGTAATTTTTTTTTATTTGGATAATGCACCATTTTTTTCGGATTAGGGGGGAATATTTATGTGGTCAAACCGTGAAATTTGTGTGCCATGATTGGCGCGCTTAGATTATATTAATAAAGATTTAATTTGATTTCAATTTTTGATATAGTAAGAATGTCCAAAAAAATTTTTATTTAGTAAGAATGGGAAAATTTAATGATTATCCAAAAAATAGTAATCATGGTATAATTTTTGGGAAGATTGGCCTGGGACCTGGGCGTCGTCTACGTTGCGTAAATTCCTGAATCACATAAGCCACACGATTCACGCCTAATCTTTGCTTCCAATAATAATTAATTATTTTGATTTCCATTTTATGATTTAGTAAGTATGGGAAACTGATTTTGAAATTTTGGTACATTAATTGTAGTTTGAATCTGGACGGAATTATGGGTCATAAGATTTTTTTAAAATGGTATTTGAAATGGGATAATCAATACATACCTAAAATAGTTAAGGATAGGACAATTGTGAAACTGAAATTTCATCCATGTTTATTTGCATTAACGGATTGTCAGAAATATTTAAATAGCAAAGTTTTATTTTTCTATCCAATTTCAATAATTATTATTTAAATTATTTTTTTATTACATGTTTTTATGTCTTATGAATTAAATTGGATTAAATTTTCTAATGTACTTTTTTCCCACGTGTTGTTATTGGCAACACGTCTATCAACCAAAACCATTGCAGTTTTTTAACTTATTAAAGACTTAAAACCTTTTAAACATGAATATGAAAAGTAACATGGTGTTAAAAGTGAAAATAAAGATGAATTAAGAGCTGTGTTTTCTACTTTTTTTTTTCTTCTTTTCTTTTTTGGTGTAACGGCGTGTCAAAAATACTAAAATAGCAAATAAAACCATTACAATTTTTTAACCTACTACAGACTCGGAACCTTTTAAGTGAGATAACACGGAGTGAATTGTTGCTAAAAAAAAAAATGAAGATTAAATGAGAGCCACCGGTTCTTTTTTTTTTTTTTTGGGTTCAACGGGTTGTTATAAATTCTATAGCAGCTAAAACCATTGCAGATTTTTAACTTACAAAAAACATGGAACATTTAAGCACGACGATACATAGTGACATGATGTTAAAAATATAAATAAAGATGGAATGAGACCCGTGGATTTTTTTTTTCCAACGTGTTGTCGAAAATACTAAATTATTAACTTATCGATAAGTATCATCTTTGAACAAATAATCTTTGATTAAATAGAAAAATTTTATTTTTAGTTCTATTTTCAATGATTATTAATCAAATTGTTCTTTTTTTATTACGCGTTTTTATGTCTTCTGAATTAAATTGGATTGAATTTTCTAATGCATTTTTTCTCAATGTGTTGTTATTTGTAACACGTCCATCAACGAAAACCATTGCATATGTATTATTTTATTAGTAAATAAACAATACATTTACTGTATGTTGTAACCTACTATCTGTTATACACCTTCGTTTTTATTCTTATATGTTGTAATTATATACTCATATTTTACGTCAAAAAACATAGGACAATATATTACAAATTTGTCCACCGTGCAATGCACGGGTAAAACACTAGTATGTAATTAAGTGAAAGGGCTATTTTATTTTTTTACCTGGTTAGATAATCAGGTGTATGCGTAAATAAATAAAATTAAGTTGTTACAATAAAAATTTACTATATCTAATTGAGTCTAATTTTTATGAAGGTTTTATTGGACATCTCATTATTTGACACGTGTCCTAAAAACTTATTATCTTAATATATAGGATTTAATCGACATTGTCGGTTCAATCAATGTTTCCTAATCTTATATTTTCGCAAAGGATCCAAATCCAAACCGGTTTCCCCGTTTTTATTAATCTCCACTATAAATATGACCTACAGCCGTCCGCCGTGGAATAGGACTAGATTGCCCTTAATTCATAGTTATAGGGCTGGAATGTAATTCTGGAAAATAGGTTGGCCATAACTAGTCAAACTGCTGTACTCCAACGATAATTGAAGATTGATGAATAAAGGAACTCTGGAAAGTGGAAACCCCCTTTCTCTCCTGTTCTTCGTCAGAGAACCCTAATTCCCAAATTCAACGTTGCTGTTCTTAAATTTCTTTCCCTTAATCTATGCCTCCGAAATCCAGTACGTGACACATGGTCCTTTTATTTTCATAGGATTTTTGTTTATTTATTTATTTGCTCCTGAGGGAAAAATCAAAGAAGGGACAGATGAGTACTGAAGAACCCAACCTTGTTGAGGACGGGGATTCAAGCGGCGGAGGATCACCAGGAGGTGGTGTTCCTGAAATCATACAGGAATACTGTTTCCAGTGCCAAGGCACTGGCGGGAATATTTAGAGGGGAAATCAATTGCTACAGAGAAAAAGCCGTACCAGCTTCCTGAATATATTGCTGTCACCGGAATTGAGAGAATCAGGCAAGCTTGTATTGAGAACGAGGACAGCTGGAAAATTGATATTGACGATCAGGTTATGCATGATGCATTTTTTAAATATCAGACCAAACCGAAGCTCACTTCTCATGGTGATCTCTACTTTGACGGAAAGGAAATTGGGGAGGATAAAAAGTTGGAGGAAACGAAACCAATAATATCCCTGGCTAAGCGCAAACACTGGGGTGATTTAGAAGCAGCTGAAGAAGAAGAGGAGGAAGAACAAATTGAGGAGGTGGATAGCCCTGATGCTGAACCACTTGAAGATGATCTTGGTAAGCATCAAAGGGAAGAGCCAGAAAGAACTCTGTCGCAGGTTCCTGTGTTTTGCATCGGTTTGTTTTCCTTTGTTTCTGCTCTCAATCCTTCTGATTCCTTTGCAGGTATCTTGTAACTTGCAAACTGTCTGTAGTGTGTGTAAGCATAGATTGAAAAAGATCATTCAGATGTTGTCCAAAGTTATTCAGTGAACCTCTATGAAGTTCAGTGGTCGTTTCCCATTATGAGAATTTTATCAAGGCCTGCAAATTTTAAATTATGCTCATACCTTTTCATAAAGAAGAACATAAACCACAATTCAACTGCAAGCGGATATCAAACACTACTACAACTGAATTCTCTTTCTAATAACATAATTAATTATTTAGGGGAAGAGAACAATTGATCCTGACTTCACCTTGAGAACCCGGTTACAGTAACCAAATTCGACATCTTAACCAAGGCTCTGGTGAAGTCTCTTTGAAACGTGGTTTCATCGTCTGAAACATATTCTTCAACCACGCTTCGCGTTTCTTCGTTAAGCATTAACTCCATATCGGAGAACTGTAGGCCCCTTCCTCTGGTCAGCGATTCGAAGTAATAAGTTCCGAAATGGGATCTCAGCGGAGAAGATGAGAAGGACAGTCCAGGCTCCATCATGCTGAAGTTGTTGTTTGTGTCCTCACACCTTTCTAGTATTTCCTCTTTGAAATGTTCATCAATGTGCGGATCGCGATGGTTGCTGACGTTGACTCTGGACACTATAAAATCACAGTTGATGAAACCAATGCTGTGTCCTCCCAGAAGTGCGACAGTTTCCCTAACTGTGAATCCTCGATCGGCGAATAGCTTAAGCGTCACATCGATGGTTTCGGTCGGTCTCAGAATCTCATTTGCGGATTTGTCGAAGTGAGAGGATCTGCTGTCTCTTCTCCCGGTGTAGAGAGGGTAGAAAGGCCCGCCTGACGAGCTGATGGCATCCCTGGCGGCAAGTGCCAGGATATCCGAACAGGACACTATGCCAGGGCATTCTTTCTCCAACGCCTCCTTGATTATATTTATGATTTCAAACCCTTTCAGGGTATGGTTCGGTACTGCTTTTATTTCGTCTTTAGCGTCCCCGGTCCTTAGCAGCACGGAAGCGTCGCACCCCTGGATGAAGCAATAGTGGAAAAAGAGGCGGAGCAGCTGCGCAGGGGCGTTGTTGAATTCGGGTCTGCGGAGAATTTCCTTCATCTGGGCGAATACGATTTTCTCAGCATTTGGGCAGGTTTGATCATAAAAATCAATCCGCATCGAGGCTGATGCGGATCTCTGAGTTGTGGCGATGAAAGCAGCAATCAGTGGCCAGAAAACTATAACAGCCATCATCAATTGGACATCCATCCGGGCAAAAATCATTTTTTTGAACTGCGCGTAAAGGATGTTGTGGTATCTTTGGGACAAGGCGTGGATTTCAGTTGAGGTATGTGGTAAGATAAGTGCAGATTTCTGATGGTTAATTGGGAAATAGAGCTGAGTTTTATGATATAGGTTTCCAAAAAAGAACTTGGAAGAAAAGTTGAGGAAGAAGATACAAATCGAATGAACAGTTATTACAAGTTCCCGCAATCTTTATGCTTCAAGATATGCAGAAGGAATTGAGCCGCTATTTGTGTTTTCGCTCCTTTTTTAAATGCTCTTCTTTTTCTTTAAGAGCTGATTCAATTCGCATGCTCTCACCTACTCAGCTTCTAACTCAATATCATAACTTAAGCACCAACCCAATTTCCTAACTGAAATCTTTTCACACTGTCACCAACGCCACAAAAACTGTGTTTGTTCAACAAATGAATTTTCCCCAATGAAATGTATAGTATAGGATTTTTCTATTTTTCTGGCTACAATTCATTCTGCTTCTCAATTTTGAGTCCTGAAGCACAGTAGAAGAAGAACACACCCCCGAATGCATAGTTGAGGCAGTTTCAATGACCACCTGTTCTTGACCGGGTGAATCCTTAACACTAATTAGGCATTCTAAAACCTTTTAAAATGTGGAGCATAACTGCATGATGATGATGATGATGATGATTAAGGATCTCATATATCTTCAAAGGATGGATGATCTTCAAAGTTTTGGAATTTAAACTATTCAAATCTTTTCTCTTATGCCGATTTTCATCTCAGTGTGTTTTAAAATAGTTATGTTATACCAATTATAGAGGATAGACTAATTTGATCTTCTACTAAATACTTTTTCTTTTGTATTAACCAATCCCAAAAGCTCACACTTTTTGAACAGTTTTTATCATTGGACATGACTGTAAAATGCTTCAGTGTCTCTTAGTGATGATGATAATGACTTCGGAGTGGTTTACATTTGTGGTGACCTGCTGATGAAATTTACTCTTTGATCATATGTTCCAATTCCACTTAACAGTGATCATTTGGATTTTAGTCCGGCCCTTCTCCCTAAGACAAACTATGCAAAAGTTGTATAACCCTCTGGAGTCTGGACAATCAGCAAGTGGTGCCCAATTGTTTACTTGGTGTTGATGGTGGCGGGCTTATTTTTTTAATGTGCTTCATGCTGAGCTTAATTCAATTTCCATAGCTCTCATTCAAAGTGGTTTGGTGGTGAATTCTTTTTAAACCCTTCAGGTTTTTTCTTTTTGTGTTTCGCGCTGTTGAAGCGGAAGCCTTTCTCAGCCGTTTATTAAGCGCGCTCCCCCAATTATTGTTCTTTTTCTCCTTGCGTTCTTCTGGGGTGAATTCTGCTCTGGCGTTTGTATGTTTGAAAGATCGCGCAGGAAAGGTAATCTATATAAGGAAGGGGAATGAGTTTGGTTAAAGGTCAATGTTTGGTGCATTAAATTTTAGATGCGAGGATATACCTCTGTAATGTGTTTGTTTCTACATTTTCTTTACAATAGATATACATCTCATTGGTTGGCATGCCATTCTTTCTTGTCTGAAACACTTTCTTTCTGACGCCTTTGGCCTTTGGGCCTTTGGCGAAAGAAAAATCCTTTATTCTCTTGTTATTTCTTTACAAGAAAAATTATTGATTAGTTCATTAGATTACATGGATTATCACCTGAGATTTCTTGTGATAGGCTGTTTAGATTTCATACTGAGATCAAAATTATAATTGTTTCTTATAACGGGCTGTTATAATTTTTTTTTTGGGACAGTTTTCCCATTGCTTCTCTTGTGTTAGTTGTTAAGAGTTAGATACTTGAAAGAAGATCTTGAAGAAGATGATGGAAAGTTTGAGATTTTGAATTGGTGGAAGGTTAATAGTCCTAGATTTCCCATTTTATGTATGATGGCTCGTGATCTCTTAGCCATTCCTATATCAAAAGTGGCTTCCGAATCTTGTTTTAGTACAAGTGGAAGAGTCTTAAATGCTTTTAGAAGTTCTTTGACTCCAAAGGTAGTTCAAGGACTTATTTGTGGTCAAGATTGGCTCCGTGATCCTACAGAGAAGCCAAAGATTGTGAAGGTTGAAGAAACTTGGGAAGAGCTTGAAACAGTGGTAAAAGGTAACAATTTAATAATTATAGAGTAATATTTAAAGTTACATGTGTATTCCTTTTATTTGTTACTTACAATAACTTTTTTGGTTTTGTGTTTACCTACTGCAGATTTCATTCCAAAGGACAATGGCATAAATTTAGATTTGCCATGATTCATTATCTTTCTGTCAACAGGTGATTTTTCTCACTCTTGATTCTCTCTTCTGATTTGCCAGATTTCATTAGAGATTTTGTTTACCTCTTTTCTGAGTTCTGATTTCATTCTCGCTTCTGCTTTTAGAAGTTCCAGGAAATTGGCTTAAGACTATGAAGAAAAAAAGCCTGTTGATGTTATGTGATGACTGATGAGTGATGACTGATGATTGGTTGCTTATCAAATTTAAAAGGGCCTTGCTGAATGTGGAATGTGGAACTAAAAGCATCTAAGAAGACCTTGCGGAGTTGCTGTTGATGTTTTTCTTTTATTTGTTGTTGAAGAAAAATTTTAATTCCATTGATTCATTATTCATGTTGAAATTCGTGGCTATTTTTGGATCTTATTTATGTTCGGATCGAAATTTTTAAGACTTTTAATTGTATTAAGCTACTGATTCGGTTTGAACAATTTTTTTTGTTGCATTTGATTCGGTTTAATAGTAAACCGATCGACTAACCCGATTGGTTTTTCAGTCGGTTCGGTTCGGATTTTTGTACTGTCAGTTCGGTTATTGGACGGTTTAAACAGTCTCAAAAACCCGATTCAACCGAACCGAATAATGGCCGAACCGACCGAACCGACCGAATTAACATCTCTACTTATTCCCCTTTTCTACAACTAGCAAGCACAAGTTTTATTACTGAATTATTCCCTCCCATTTTACATCTGCTGAATTCACTTAAGTTTACTTGAAAATCTCGCTTCAACTTACAAGTGGTCTGTCTTGTTGTTCTTCGTCTTACAAAGTTAGCCTGACACATTAAGAGGCCAATGTCCAAGAAAGTCCAAAAAGACCTCATTGTTATCAAGCTCAAGAAGTCAAATAAGAAAAAAGGACAAAAAAAATGCAAGTAAGAATTTCATGAGGAAAGGAAGGAAAACTAAAGTTAAAACATAAATAATTTGATTTCATGTATAATCCTAAAATAGATGACTATCTGATTATTGATCAGCGAACAAATTCATTACTTCTAACAAAAAAATAAGCTTGAATCTGAATAATCAAAGTTAACCACATTTCAACTGAGGAGTGATAGATTTGATCAAATAATCGGTCATGTATTTGTTGGCGTGTTGAGTCAAACTCATTCCATCCCAATAGATATGATTGTCTGGATTCGGGCAAGAAGCAACGCCAGACATCCCACACAGACTCCCAAAATCAAAGTTTGAAACCCTTCCGCTCCCACGACAAGATGAAAACTTGTCCTCAAATCCAAGATTTTGCGCATTGGATAAAATTGACAAGTAAGCATTGTAGTAATCCTCATAAACAATCAGTACCTCGGGATATTCCTTCTTCAATAGCTATTTTTAGAAGTTGATTGTGACGATCAGCTATATTGTTCCATCCCACCATACAATGGTTAGAATAATCTATCGAACTGTATTCCTCAAGGTGGAAGAAGCTCAGCGTAACAAGAAGACAACTAAGTGGGAGACGTCCAGGAACAATAACTTTAGTTGCTCCTAAGCCGATGATTGCTCTAACAGCTTCAACAATGTTTTGAACAACTTCGGGAGCAAAAGCATCCCACTCTGCATCTCCAAGCCCTAAGATTCTGTAAATGTATTCCTTTGCTCCGATGTCTCCTACTAAAAACAACGAGTTTCTCAACAAGTCCTGGCATTCTTCTCTACTTTGACAAGTTTGGTTGAGGTGAGATGACAACCAATCCAATTGCACGTCGAGCGAACTATTGGTGGCGAAGTGAAGATGAAGACCTTTCGTCTCAAGCCAACCCACAAAGTTCTCACCATGAGGTGGAAGACCTTAGCTTCTAAGGTCTCAATAGGCAAAGCAGTAGCTCCCGCGACAGCAAAGTTGGCGCCATGATCGAAATTTGCTCCCTCTGCTCCCTCGTACGGATTAAGATATGGTACACCAAATGCCGAGGCTGCATATCACCAAACAAATTTTATAGCCCTTATAGTCAGGTCTTTAAAATTGTGCATATTTTAAAAAAAGTTTATCATAGCAAATACAAAAACATAACACTATTAAGTCTACTACTATATTGCTTGAGTTGAAAATAAGAGATATAATGGAGGGTAAATTAGAAAACTTACCAAAAAAATCAATCATGAGAAGGCCATTAGAGGCTCTACCGGTTGTTTTTCCAAGGGTGATCCCATAAGAAAATTTGTTGAATTAAACTCTCAGGGGCTTCGGTAGCTAGGTTTCCTGTGTCAGATGTTGCATTCCCAAGGTTGTAGATTCGGTTGAATTTGCAGCCATTCTTGGGAGCAACGTTAACGTGATCATCACACAATAACTTCCAGGCACAACTAAGATATGGTTGTAGTAGAAGTAAAAGCACCAAGATAACATAACCAAGGGAAAGCTTATCCTTTCTATGAGTCATGTTTATGCAACGAAGTGAAGGAGGAGGAAGAAACAAAATTACTTACTGCTACAGTAAGGAGAGAAAGAGAGACTGAAGAGAAAAAATCAAAACCGAGACACAAGGATTGTACTAGTTCGTATGTGTTATAAAAAAACATAGAGGATGATCATATTTATAGGAGATTGAAAAAAACGTTGGAACCGAGTTTGATTTGGAAGTGATACTACATATAATCCTCTTCTCAATAAGAAAAAGAAGAGTTCATCACGATGGTCAAGGTTTTCTCTTATTCAGGTTCATTAAGCAATCGAAACTATTGATCAATTGAATTTAGGAATAAGATATGTTCATGTATATCCAAATAGAACTAGGAAATACATGGCCGCGTTCGCTTTAGTTAGCTTCCAAATAGTTTTAGGATTTTGTATTTTATTCTTTTCCTCTAACTATAAGATATCTAGAAAATTGATTGATTTGAATGATACTGTTTTGTTAGGTTGATTCTTGATCGAGATTGTTTGTGATGGAATGTGCACTTCTTTGGGTTTTTCATCTTTATAGCTCATGGGAACATTTAAAGGGGAAATCACTTGGCATTGAGAAAGAGCCGCACCAGGTTCCTGAATTTATTGATGCCACCAGAATTAAGAGAATCATACTGTTGGAAAATGGATTTTGACGGTTCAGGTTCTGTATCATGCAGTGGCGGACTGGGGGTCTCGAGCCCCCCGGCCGGCCGGAGAAGCTCAGGTCATGCTTCTGATCTGGGATCTTGGTGGCTCCGCTTGTAACTCTCAGCCCCCCAATTACGGAGTCAATGGCTTGAATAATACTCCCTCCGTCCCATAATTATGATCCTGTTTGACTAAGTTGGAAGATTTTATTTTTGATCAAACTTAACTATTTTTTAGCTTGAACTACAAGATATGCCCCTCCGTACATAATTGTTCAACCGGTAAAGATTTTTCCACATTCAAATATTCAAACTTCATTCGTACTTCACGATTGACCCAGAATCTTTAAATTTTCATATGATGAATAATTTTGAGTCTTTTCTCTAAGATTCAATTGATGTTTCCAGAGAAGTGGGAAACGAGTTGGAGCCAATTAAGGAGCCAATAAAAGCTTTAGTCCAAGGAGTGTTGCCGGCAAAGTCGTCGTTGGTGAGTTTGGCAAAAGGATTGAGAGTGAGGAAAGAAATCAGTATTTTTAAATATGAGAAACAAGAAACAAAGGCACCGTATGGGAGGAAGGTGGATATATGGGTGGCAGCGTTCGAATTGTCGGATCCGCCGGAGGAGGCCGAAACGGAGGTGGAAGCGGCGCCGTCCCCATCGGCGACTGTGGGCATACGGTGGAGGTCTGAGGCTCGCTGATCGAGAATTTCAAGATAGCCTTTCTCTCGAATCCATGACTAAAATGCCGGGTCGGGTACGCTTAACACCAACGGGTTAGAGGAAAACACCATTTCTTTTAGCTCTCTAGAATTTTGCTGATTTCTTTTTTGGCGGCTTTTATCTGGGAAGAAGAAGGGGGGCTTCTTTTTGCTTTCACTTCTACTCTATGTAGCCAACGGGATAAAATGGTTAAAGGCCAAATGTGTAATTTATTCCATAAAAAGTCAAATTAGACAATAATTATGGGACAAAATTTTTATAACAAAGTAAACAAAATTATGGGACGGAGGAAGTAATTCCCAACCGTTAGGAGCTGGGGGATGGGGTTCAATTTTTTTTTATTATCACCGCCGGCGGGAAAATCAAGTTGCAGTAGTGGGTTGAACGAAGAAGACAACCCCAAGTTCAGAATATTTGCAATTGTAAAGTTAGTACTATATCTATAATAATATTGTACTCCCTCTGGTTCTTATTATAAGGCATTTTGATTTCGTTATAGGTATAACATAAGATTTCTTTTAATTAAAAAAAACCTTAAAAATATATTTTCACATTCGTTGTGTTTTCCTAATAATTGTGAAATATTTTTAATGTTTTTATTTCAATTAAAAAACATCTTAGGTAAAACCTAGGACGAAATCAAAATGCCTCAAAATACCTTATAATAAGGACCAGAGGGAGTACAAAATGCCCACATCATGTAATACTTAGAATATAAGGCCTAAAACTTTTAAATAATTATAAAATAATCCAAAATCTAAGTCTTTGTACTGTCAATTTAAACAATTTAGTTACGTTCTTTCTAAATCGAATTTAACATAAACCATTATACCACTATTATTAATCTTTCCATAAAGAACGGCCACTTTCTTAAACTAAAATAACATTTGGGCTAACCTTCTCTTATGGAGGGATTTATTGTTATGCATTGAAAATGTTTTATAATATGCACCAAATTGAATTTATTAAATATTATACGGAGTTAATTATGAATTTTAATTATGAGAAGAAATATTTTAAGATACTATTAGTATAGTTTACATTGAATATTTACTTATTTCTAGCTAAACCAGTGAAAAAAATTATATCTTCAGTGCCAGTCTAATGCACACTCAGTCCCTCAATTGTCAAAAGCTGGTTCCGCCACTGTATCATGCATTTTTCAAATACCAAACCAAATCAAAGCTCACTTCTCTGGGTGATCTCTACTTTGAGGGAAAAGAATTTGTAGATTCCATGATTTTGTTCGTACAGAATCTAATCACGTATGCTTCAGATTGCCTTGCGGGCCTATGGCCATACTTATTTGATTTTTAGCCTTTATGCTCACACCTCTGCAAAAAGGAGATTCCTCTAAAAGAAGTGTGATCAGAAAACAGTAGAAATCATTCCTGCAGGCTGCAATTACATCCGACTATGAAACTAGCTAAAATTTACAAGATAATACATCTTCTCCGTGAGGACATTAACTAAGTAAAAACTAAAAAACAATCAAATCTAGCCTCCATAGCAAATAAACTGTAAAAGCTAATGTCATGACTGTCATTATCAGGAAGAATCCAAGAATACCAACACTGAGGGGGTGAAAGGTGAAACAAAGCAATAATCTGCAGGGGGTCTTCCATTGGCCGAAATAATATCCAGGGTCAAGGAAAAGCTCTCACTAAACATTAATATCTATTAATAATTCAGCTATAGTATGTGGTGATTGGTAAACCAAAAGAATGCATACCTATCACGCAAAGGGGCTATTACTCACTATTTGACTTGGAATGAACTCTTCTCTGCAAGGGTTAAGAAACACTTACCTAGCTCCATGCGACAACACAAAATTTAGCTTGATTATAATGAAAGTTCATTATGTAAGTGAAAATAAAAAGTTTTACTACTAAATATGAGCATAAGAAAGAGGGACCAAAATTTGATATTTACATTGGTCAATCTGTGGTGTGTAAAAGTAAGAATACAGCACAAACACATACTGGACTCGGGTATCGTCGAGATCATTGTTCCAGACTGGCTATCAACTGACAAGTAAGGCAGACTTCCTGTTTCTCACCAAATCCGCCAATTGAATATCGATCTAATCATTTTCGGCTCAAGCTAAAAGGATTACCTGCTGGTCGGTTGACCTTTCTTTCAGATTCAATTTTACCAGCAAAATCTAAGGCATACTGAACGGGACTTTGTACGGATTTTGGTGTGCCCGAGAGAAGTGAGGGCTTGGAAGAGCTGCTGGAGTTTCCTCCCCCAAAAATCCCAGCACCATGATTCAAAGACTGCCATGGAGGATGAAACGATGAAGATGAGACATTGGCAGTTCTGCTTACAAAATTAAGTGCTTCAACAGAGTTTTGCTTCCCTTGAATGTGTGCCTGACCACTGTTCACATTGTTGGAACTATTGCTTGATTGATTGACAGTGCTATTCACAGTATTTACTGCAACACTTCCGACTGAGAGAAACTTGATGCCCTCTGGTGTAGAACTAGGTGGAACTTCCATTGCCATTTTATTTACTGCTGACGCTGATTCTGAACTACTACCTATGGCGGCTTGATTATCAGTTTTGACATCACCATCACTACTTGGAGAGGAACCCACAAACCCATTCTTCGTTAACAGACCTGACAATGATCCACAGGCTCCCATTCTCATATTGGCAAAGTCATCCATAGGACTTTTGCCAAGTGACAGAAAGTTGATTCCTTGTGGTTTCACTGGAACACTATTCAGTATCTCATTTGACTTCTTCTTGCTGCTTGAGAGATTACTAGCCATTTTATTGCTGGTTTTCACATGATCATCTGGCTTAAGACATAGAGGATCTCCTTCGCGATTACGGATATTACCTGTTGGCGATATCACCTGAGAAAAGAAGGGCATGCCTTTCGGGACATGGGCAACAGATCGTTCTAGATTCTTATGCACTTGATACCCAGATTTTTTTCCAACAGAAATATCTTTTGTGGGTAACTTTGCATCAATTCGCTGATCAGTGATGCCATCCTTATTCACTTGAATCGTGCTAGAGACCTAATCATGCAGAGAGGTTTTTTAATTTGCTTGCCCAAATTTGGTTCATGTAACATGTTAAATTGATACAGAACAAGAGATTAAATGTGACAAAAAAAAAAAGAAAGATTAAATGTGATAAATAAATCTCATTGAACTTACCTCATGGTTAAACAAACAATCAGCTCCTCTGCTGCAGAAGCCTGTGGTTGCAATGTTGTTGCAAGGATATTTGGAGAGTTGATGATCATAGGGGCAATCATCACCTTTCATACAAGTACCTCGAGCAAAGAAGGAGCATGGCTGCAACCAGGAACAAAGATTGAAGTTTAACCAACCACCAACCACTATACTGTATACTGTTCAAATTGATTTGCCACGTTTAAAAAGAATATTAGAGAAGATTACAAAGAGCTTTCTGGTCTGAATACAAATGGTCAAAGAAACGAATTTTTACATTTATCATCAATTTAAAAGTATTACAAGCACATGAATGTCTTCGTTTATGCACTTTTCAGGGTTTTGCACACCATTGCAGCAATCATTAAAATTGATCCCAAAACTTGCTTCTAAACACTACAGGAGTCAATTTTAATACATTTTGATAATCATTTAAAGGTGGTTAGTAATATAAATAATTTACATAAGTACCTTATATGATATTCATAAAGAGGAACTAAATGAGATCTGGCCAATATTAATATAACAGAAATCAGTTCAGAAAGATGAATAAGAAATTGGTCCTAGTATATAGCTGCATTACTGAAATGATGAAGCCTGAAACTAACTTCTAGTAGAATGATAAGGGCCAACAACATGAGTAGGATTAAATTGATAGAAAAAAAAAATATGAAAAACAACGGAGAAGTACAGATGTGTACCGTAGATTTTGTTTCGGGCGTTGTGTCATGGGAAAATTTACACTTCTCACCCTGCATAATTGAAAGCAACCGATGTAAAAGTTCAAGCTTCCAACAACTCAAGCAAAATTCAGTAAAAACAATAATAACACAAGAAGAAACTTAAATAATACCTCCTGACATCTTCCCCGCAGAAAGTGCCTGCAGTAAACTACTTTTTTTGGTTTCAAAACTGGTTGCAGCTTAAGCCTTCTAACGCCAAGCTTTCTATTTTTTTCTGCTCGATTGATTCTATATTTCATCTGCATCATGAATTTCTCCAATTATTAATCAATACATAACAAGTCAATTTGCAGACTTTCACTTCCAAAACACAAAAATAACAAATCAGAAAATTATTTCACTTTTATGAATTATTTTCCTCAGTGTACCTTTTTCTTTGCTTTTCTTTCTTCGGTCAAAGGACCCTTCTTCCTCTTCTTGACACCACTAACTTCCTGCAAGGAGTAAGACAACAAATCATGAAGAGCTATTTGAACAAAGCATGAATATCAAGAGAGAGGCGTACTGCAGATATAAATCATACAAGATAAAATTAAGATATGAATATTTAGTTATCTTACCATTGGAGCAGTTGCTGAACCTTTGTTTTCAGAAATATCTTCATAGGTTATTTGTCTACGTCGAGCAACATTCTGTGAAGAGATTTCCAGATTATTTGACATTTCGACTACACTGACTTGCTTTGTGAACCAACCAGTCTCCATATTGTAATCATACCCATTGGCATGGTTTAGTGAGACATTCTCTCGAGAACATTTAGGATTAGCATTCTGTTCTTCTCTGGTAGTTGTTCTCATGACATCCTTGCCATCTTCAACTTTCCCCAACAATGGAGAACTCTTGATATTGTCTTTCCCAATTCCTCTGTCTCCATCATTGTCATTTACTAGTTCTCTTACTCCAACTTCATCTAACTTCTCCTCTAAAGATATATCATCTTCAAATAGCATAGCAATTGCCTCATCATCAACTCCGTTTCCTTCTGGAATTTCTCCCTCTTCAATGTGTTCATCATCAAACTCATAAACAGATATGTCCAAGTCGCCAGAAGCAGATATTAATTCCTCAAGTGTGCTCTGTTTAAGCTGCAATTGGTGCTCGAATTCATCAGGGAAATTACTCTCAATAACAGGGTTCTCTTCATTAAGGCTTCCGACAGGTTCTGGCAGATCGGCCAGTTGGGAGGCAGCCTCATAAACTTCATTCCCCAAGGGTCTACAAATTTCATTCTGCTCTCTTCTGGGACTTAACTTGCTTGGCATATCAGTAATTTCCTCCAACCTAGTAGGTTGATTTGCAGCCTCATAAACCTCATTAGGTACATTCTGCTCTATTCTAGGACTTAATTTCTTGTGGTTTTCCACAACAGTAGACAGGTTGCTCAACATGGACGAGTTTGAAGGGTTTACAATATCACCTAATGTAAGTTCCCTAGTCCCTTGCAGTAACATAAGATTTCCTACATCCGTCAATGCATCTTTAGCCCCATTTATAGGTGACATTTGTTGGATTAATGAACCCTCTTTCTCCATAGAACTATCATTGACTATGTGCTTACCTACTTCTCCCAAATTAATATCTTTAGCCCCGTTAACAGGAGGCATTTGTTGGACTAATGAGTTCTCCACCTCCATAGAACTCTCATGGACCACGCCCTTGCCCGCCTCTCCCAATTTGCCACTTTCACTACCATCTGAAGAAAAAGACAGTATGATGATACCATGTAATTAAAGACATCCGGGAAAAAAAATTTGCCAGAACTAATCTATCCCACATCTGAGTTCAATCAACTGACAAAAGTAAATTTCCGCAAGGGAAAAAAAAAAGGAAAACGAAAATGAACGAGAATATCAAAATTGCGCACCTTCACCTTGTGACTTGGAGGAAGATTGAAGTGCATTGCAATGAGACAATATTCTGACGAACGTACGGTAGGTTTGGCTTTGGAGTGGCCGCCGACGAGGAGGAGGAAAATTGAAGGTAGGGTTTAAGCAGGGTTTTAGGGTTCCTAATTCTGACTTCTCCATCGATTCTTTTGAGTAGAGAAACGCAATTCAAATTTGCAAGGGTTTATGAGCCGATTCATCCGTAGGAGCTTGGCCGATATGGGTCTCCGGATATCATATTGCCTAGCTCACCAGCTAGAAAAAAAAAATTCTCCGATTACCGGAAAGATTCATGGCTGAGTCACGACGGCGCCGACACCGGCAAGTCGGTGGTGGACGGTGGTTGAGAAGAGCTTGGCTAGCCTTTGGGTGACAAAAAGAACAAAAGGCGCGGTATGATTTTTTCCGCCTTTAATTACTACTTATATGAAAAAGAGGAAAGTACTTTTCTTGCTTCCAAACGGCGCCGCTTTAGTTTAAGTTACAGAAAACCCCTAATATGAAAAACCCTACTTCTCTCCTACCCGATTTTTGAACCCAGAGTAAAAAACACACAGTCACACACTTCACAGTTCTTTAGAATCGGAGGAAGTTAAAATGGTGGTGAGGCTAAGGTTGTCGAGGTTTGGATGTAAGAACAAGCCTTTCTATCGAGTGATGGCCGCCGATAGCAGATCTCCTCGTGACGGCAAACATTTGGAAGTTCTGGGCTACTACAACCCTCTCCCTGGTTAGTGTCTGTATCTCTTTTCCTGCTCTCTTCAGCAACTTGCGATTACATCAAACGAGTTCTTTTTCCATCCTATAATTTTGTTCATATAATGTTTTCCATCAAACACTTTGTTCTTTCTGCTTCCTGTCTTTGCAAAATCTTCTTCGCCCTAACGGAAGTTGGTCGATGAGCTGTTTAATTCATTTCTGTTTGGGGTATTACATTTTGCGTGTTTACCTGATGTATATTTTATATTGGATTTTTAAATTGCCAGCAGCAGCTTTGGTTTTTTGAGTAGAAGTTTACGGCACCATGGAACTCTTGTTTGCATATGTTAATAGCAGATTCCCTTATGCAGGTCAGGATGGGCAGAAACGAATGGGTCTTAATTTTGATAGAGTCAAGTAAGTTATTTTTGTTGATTCTCTGAACAGCCATGCCCTTGATTTTCTTTTTGCAATGATCGTTTACTGCCTTGACCTCTGCCTGTTTGGTAGCAGAGTTCCGCCTATACTGTTTCCTGTAGGTATTTAAATTTGGCAGTTTACATAGATTGTTTGTGTGCGTCCATCTCTTCATGGAAATTTGCTGCTGGTAGGTTTTTCACAATTGCGGTAGTTTGTTACATTTTTCCTTTGAAAATAATTTTTTCTCTGTAGTGGTTGGTACGCTCTTCTGCCTTGTCTTGTCAGATAATGTATCCTGCACATCACATAAAATAAACTACCAAAGAATGATCAGATGTAGTTGCTTCCTGTGTGGATTTCTTCCTGTATTTCTAGTTTATCTGTTAAAGAAATATTTCTAAGTGGAGTTTAATGTTGAATTCACTCTTCTTTTCCGATTGATCTGTCAGAAGCGAAATAAAGAGAACTTTTTTTAGTGTTTGAAAGGTGTTTGACCTTAGATACACGTGTACATTGGAAGCTATGGGGTTTTCTGTAACCATAGTGCAGCTTTTGCTGATAACAAATCTCTCATCTGATTCAAACTCTATAAACATAATCTGAAACTGCGTAGGGACTGAGCTTGGCTAGGGTGTGAATGGACCATTTCATCTTTTTGCGAAGATGTAAATTGTGGATGAAAATCTTCTGAGCGCAAATTCTGCAAGATATATAGAAGAGATTTAGTAATCTTTATTTTGCGAAAGGAAGTAACCGTGCCAAAAATTTAGAAAGGGCAAATAACCTGGGTATAGCGAAGTTACAAATCCTCTTGAGAATTAGGACTCGATGAGTATCGATGTTATCCCGTTATTCATCCATTTAGGTTATTAATGCCTTGTCTTCTGTTCTGGTTGTTTTATCTTTGTTCCCCGTTGGAGATTTTGTTCTTATGTTTAACTATTGCTTTCAGATCTGTTTTGTACAATGCTACACTGAACACTCTTTTCTTTTCTTAGAAAAAGATTTCTCCTCTTCAATAAAAAATAGGAGGTGAACCGATAAAGTTTCTTTTTCAATTCATCCCTGGTCTTATTCAAGACTTCGAAATCTATTACATCTCCTGAGCTTAGTTATTTGTTTACCCCCCACACAATTAGATATTAAGAATTGTTGAAGAATCATGTCCCTTCCTTGTCTGCTTTCTTTTCTGAGAATTAGTGGATAGGTACTTAGGTGGTATGAAAAAGCACTTGCAAGCCTCAAAAACTGCAGTTGGAATAGTCACTCTGCATAGGAACCATTTTTTTGGGGGGATGTTCTCTTCTCCTGCAATGATCATCAGAGCCTTATTTGTCATTTGTGTAGTGTTACAGTGATTTCTATAAGAATTACATGAAGCCTTTCTCTAGATGATCTGGTTTATTTATTTGGCATACTAACCATCTTTATCTCTTATCACTTGTCAATTGAAGTCATCAAGGCTAAAAGTTATTCGCTTTCCAGGTATTGGTTATCTGTAGGTGCACAGCCTTCAGAGCCGGTGCAGCGTCTTCTTTTCAGATCCGGGTTGTTACCCCCTCCACCAATGACGGCGATGGGACGAAAAGGAGGACCAAGGGACACACGTCCAATTGATCCAATGACTGGAAAGTTTTTAACACCAGAAAGCTCAAAGAAGGTGGACCTTGAACCCAATGTTGACCTGGATGAAGATGAAAGTACAAGCAGTGCATGAACCCCACTTACTTATCCCTGAGCTTGCCAGGTCAAACTTTAATTTCTGCTTTTAACCACTGGCGCATGGTAGCTTAGGTACAAGAGGGAATTGCGACTTGCGAGCTTATGTTTCTAAGACCTAAAGGCCCCTGTTTTACTTGTGTAATTCCAGGAAAAGAAAGGCGAAATTCCAGTTCATATTTGTTTAGACTAGATCATTTGAATGTGAAAAGCTAAAAATTTCTTTGGAGGAGCAGCCGTCATCAGGAATCCAAAGGCAAAGATTCTTCTGCGCCTGACTTGTTTTTGTTTTCCTACACCCGGACAGGGATGAGCAGAATTACAGGATTTTGTAGTGTGTTTGTTAGCTGGACTCAACTGGTAGCCCATGCCATGAACAACTAATGTTGTCCTTTCATTATTGCCTTAAAATGCTTAAAGTTGGGTTTTCTTACCAATAAATTAAATGGAAACCGTATTCTACAGCTTAGAAATATGATTAGTATTTTACAAAGTCAAAATTATTCAATAACGCACATTGTTTTCATATGTGAATAAAACTATACACTTATTTAGAGACGGATTGTTTTCATATGTGAATAAAACTATACACTTATTTAGAGACGGAAGAAGAGGATTGATTTTCCGAATCAAAAACCAAAAACACAAATGAATGAAAAACCCCAAAAGGCCGAAGAAATGGGACCCGACTAATTAACGCAGTATATAAACTGGAGCCCAAGTTCCTGCGGGCTAGGTTTTTAATTTTTAGAGAAATAAAGAAAAAGGAAAAAAGAAAAAGCTCTGTTTTTTTTTTCAAGTTTAAAGAGGGGGGCGCTTTATTAGGCTTACCAATAAATATCAAATATAAATATAAATACTATCTAATCTCTTCTTTGCTCCTTCCCTCTCATTTTCCCTCTTCCGAGCTTTTTCTAGGGTTTCTTCTCTTTACTTCTCTTCCTCCTTCGTCTCTCTCTCTAAACTCGGTTCCCTTACTTCGTGGAGAAAAGATGAGCAACGCTAAGGATAACTTCAACGTCTCCGATCTCACTTCCGGTACTGCTTCCAAAACCCCTTTTGGTTTCTTTCTCGTAAACCCCCACTGTTTTTCTGACGGCTTAAGCAACTCTTTAACAGTTAATTTTCTAGTATCTTTTGATGAATTTTTTCTGGGTTTTTGGTTTATTTGGTTCTGACTTCTGATTGTTTGTGTTAAAACGTTTCTTTTTGTAGCTTTGAATGCTGAAGACAGAGCAGACCTAGTTAATGCTCTCAAAGTAAGTTACTCTCCATTTGGGTTTTTGTTTTCTGGGTTTTAGACTTTGGATGTTTGGAAACATCCTGTAAATAGTTCTAGGTTTGGTTTTGGTCTTGAGTTTCCATGTATGCTAAATTTCTCCTTCTTTAGTAGTAATTCATGTGTCTAATAGTGAAATGGCCTTCTCCATGATGCAGAATAAGCTTCAGGATCTTACCGGGAAGCATTCGGATGTGCTGGAAAACTTGTCTCCTGCTGTGCGAAAGCGTGTTGAGGTTCTCCGGGAGATTCAGGCATGTAGCTGATGCTTATCTCTAAACTTGAATTGATATGGATGTGGGAGAACTTAGGTTTTGCTGTTTGTTTAACTGTCTAATAGTAACTTGATGTTATACGCTCCTTTTTCCTGTATGATGATATTGTTGGTAAATAAGTTCCGGATTCTGGAAAATGTTGATTTCTCATTTGTGCTTTTTTTGGTTATAAACAAGTTTCTTCTTGGTTCTGATTGTGCTTGGATGTTTACTTTCATACCTGCTTATGCTTACTGTTTCACCTATCTGCTGTGAAACAAGCTTTGAACTTTTAATTTTCTGGGGAACATGTGAACTTCCTTTCTTAGTAGAAGTTGGAAGATTTAAGTTACATGAGGAAAATAAACTTAGGGGTCCTTGGGTGATTAGATTCTCCCAACACTTCTATTGGTAAATTAAATAGCATATTTGACATTGTTGGGTAAATCTGCCCGTCCTTTATATTTTATATCCCATGCGTGGTTTATAGTATCTCAAGCGTCTTGTCTTTGCTTTGAGTTGTGAAACATGAAATGTTTTGCCTTTTATTGCTCAGATGTGCATTTGAATTATTTTCACGTTTGTCTAGGTTGTTACGGTGCTTGCTGAAATGCATTAAAATTGTAATGGAAACTGTTGTTTTGCTACTGTATTTTCTTCCAGTATTTCCTAGCTGAATGTTAAAATTGTTTACTTAGTTTTGAACTTGGGTTCTGGTCATTTTGCAGAGTCAACATGATGAATTAGAGCAAAAGTTTTTTGAGGAGAGAGCGGCCCTTGAAGCCAAGTACCAGAAGCTGTATCAACCACTTTACTCCAAGGTATTTCATGCCTCTACTAATTATTTTCAAATGCTAATTCTCTCCATCATATTTATTGCTCATTGGATCCACTTTGAATCTTGTAATCTGCAGCGTTATGACATTGTGAATGGAAATGTTGAAGCTGAGGGGGTAAAGACTGAAGCAGCTGAAGGTGCCAAAGAGGAGGAGGGCACAACTGAAGGTTTACTTTTATGCTAACATTAGTTCTTTTCTTTATGACAAGCGTTACATTCTTTTCCTATGTTTGTGTAGGATCTGAATTATTTTTCATTCTATGCAGAGAAAGGAGTGCCTGATTTCTGGCTTACGGCGTTAAAGAATAATGAGGTTATTGTTGAAGAGGTTAGTCTCAAGCATATTTACCTTTCTGTTCAATATTTTGATAAATCTGGTTTTCAGCTTGTAACTTGTTTACTCTACATACGTCCAGATATCTGAACGTGATGAGGCAGCTCTCAAATATCTGAAAGATATAAAGTGGTCTAGGATTGATAATCCCAAGGGTTTCAAGCTTGAGTTCTTCTTTGACACTAATCCATTCTTCAAGAACTCTGTTCTGACAAAAATATATCACATGATTGATGAGGATGAACCTATCTTGGAGAAAGCAATTGGGTGAGTTGCTCTCTGCCTTTAGACAACCTAGAGTATTATTATGAAATTCCCTGTCGATTTCCTTAACTTTTGTATTTTCATTGTAGGACGGAGATTGAGTGGTACCCTGGAAAATGCCTGACTCAGAAAATTCTGAAAAAGAAGCCCAAGAAGGGTTCCAAAAATGCAAAGCCGATCACTAAAACTGAGCAATGTGAAAGTTTTTTCAACTTCTTTAGCCCGCCACAAGTCCCTGAAGATGATGAAGACATTGATGAAGATGCAGTAAGTTCATTTATCCTTTGGCCTCAGGGAATTTTCCTTCTGCCAGATTGTTTATATGTTGACTTTTTGTTTCTCTTTCTTGGGGGGAATAGGCTGAGGAGCTACAGGCCCTGATGGAACAAGATTATGACATTGGGTTAGTGACAATGTTTTTCACCGATTTGTTTTTAATCCTTGATCATTGGACAGTTACCATTTTCTCCTTTTGTGAAGCAATGATGTTAACGCCTCATTCGTTTGTGCAGGTCCACTATCCGTGACAAAATTATTCCACATGCTGTTTCATGGTTTACCGGAGAAGCTGCTCAAGAAGAATTTGGAGATATGGATGAAGATGATGAGGACGATATTGATGAAGATGAGGAAGACGAGGATGATGATGAAGAGGAAGATGAGGATGATGATGAGGATGATGACGAGGAAGATCAGCCCAAGAGCAGGAAGAAGGTATATAGTTTGAATGTCATCTTGTTTGAACTAAACTTTGGAATTTCCCTAATATGCTTTTTTGTATGATACCCTGCTGTTGTTCACTTTCAATTTACGTGGTTGGCCTTCTGTAAACATCTGAAGTATTGCTGTTATTATAGTGGTGTGCATCCTGATGGCTTGTTTTACTCTTAACTGCAGAAGGGTGGAAGAGCACCTGCTGCTGATGGTCAGCAAGGTGAGAGGCCTCCAGAGTGCAAGCAGCAGTAAAATGTTTTTTGGGGGTGACTATTATGATTTTGGAGTGGTTGGGGCTGCGCAAGAATGGTTATTGCAGTAGTAATTATAGCGTCAATTTTGTGTGTCATGCTTGGGCCATTTATAAACCCTACTGTTTAGCCTTTAGAGAATCTCGCTTTCATTTGGATTCATCTTTGTATTCTTTCTTCCTTCCTGGTTTGGTGATGTTGTGGTCAAATAGTTAGGGACGATGATGAAATTTGTTGGATTCTGAATCTGAATGAGACTTAGAAGTATAGCCCATATATTTAGAGGTAGTCACTATTGCAACTACCCCTCCACATGTTTGTCCTTTGAGGAAGCGTCATGGTCACTTCAATCCATCTCGGTATGAACCCATGTACGAAGTGAGTTTTATACAAAAAGCGTTTTTTCTGATTTTTGAAGCCCTTGGAATTGGAAAGTGGTTTTAGATATAGAAAAGCACACAAGCATTCTTGAGAATGCCCGTTTTGTTTTCTTTTGAACGTTATTCCATTAAGCATTAGCTGGTATTCAATCAAATCGACACAACAAATCTGGTGTTTATGTCCTATAGGATTGTGGCTCACTATCTACAGTTATTTTGCTTTGCTCCAATGAGGAAACGTCCACCAGACTGGCTTTCACTTTCATGCCTAAGCATAATTTGTAACGACAGAAAGTAAAAGAGTATAAGAGACAATGCATGATACACCTGAAATAGATTCCCCAACTCTGGAATCTGTTAGAAGAGGATTGTGATCCAATGTTTCCCAGCTAGCTGCATGTTTTTTCGACTTGTCTTTTGTAGAATAAAGAAAAGAGACAAGAGTAGATTACATTACAGGCTGAGGAACCCCTTTTTTTTGCAGTCCCTGGATACCAGGTGGTCCAAACTCGTTTACCCGGGAAAGCCCACTTCAACGACTGAACCACGACAAAACCCCGAATCAACCGGAACACGAACTCACGAACCGACATTAGCGTTTAAAACTCTTCACATTTCACACAATTAACACCCAAAAAAAAAAAAAACAAATAAATAAAAGAACTAATAAAATTTGAACACTCAAATAAAAGTAAAAATAAAATAAAGGTTCCCCAGGTTCCACTGTCCTACGCACTGCTGCGGCAACGAAGAGTTCAAAAAGGAGGGAAACCCCTCATTGAAATTCCTTAAACCCTAAACAAATTAAAGAAATTTGTGCTGGTGGAGACCAAAACCCTCTTTCAGAAATGTTTCTTGCTTTGTTTCGTTTATTTTGTTATGGTTGATTATCTGTGGTGACAAAGAAGCGTTTAAGTTCACCTCAACTGGAGGCAACTGTCAAAAGGGTTCTGTCATGGCGAGACTTCTTCGAACTGCTTCTTGTCTTAAACGCGCCCTCTTTCTACAACCACCGCCTCAGGTATTCTCTTTGACCTTTTTATCATATGGAGTCCATTGAAAAGTTCAGTTCTTTCCTGCTGGGCACATAAGAATTTGGTGGGGAAAAAAATTTGATAATTTATGGGCCTAGATTAATGTCTTTTTGAATGATTCTCTCATTTGCTCAAAGGTTAAAAGCTTTTAACTTATTCCTGTTGTTGGAGTTGCTACACAACAGCGGAAATCATGTTACCTTGACTCTGTTTCTGATAAAAGTGTTATGTTTCTCTGGCCTCAGTGTTTGATGTTTTCTTATGCAGAGTCTTAGGAATGGCACATTAGGAGCACCTACTCAGCTATGCTACTTTGCCTCCAAAGGTGCCCAGATATTTTGCTTCGATTTTCTACTGCTCTCTTTATCTGCAATTTTGAGTTAACATTTGTTGATATACCTTGTATCTTTCAGAACAATTAGTTTTGTGCAATTTGTTCCTTGTGGGGATTTGCTTAGTGTTTAGTTTAATTTGCTTTTTCGTGTGCTGTTAAGGGCATTTTGGCAATAGTTTCTCCGGGTAATTTTTGTATGTATTGATCAGTTCCCTGTTAAAGAGTCAGTTTTTGCTCTTATAGTGGAGGTTTTCCGAAGATTAGCCTCTCCCTTTGTCTCTGTTGACATGGTAGCAGGGAATGCAGTATTCTGTATTGGCAATTGTTACTTTCTTTCTCCCTCTAGTATTCAAATGCTTCTTTCTTATAGTGTTTTAATTATGTAGCTTTTTTTGTTTTTTTAACGCATGCAAACCCGCTCTTTTTCTTCCCTTCTGGCCCTTAGGGTCTGGTAAGAGGTATTTACTAGTGCATCTTACCCACCCCTACTTGATTGAAGCTACTTCTACCTGCCATTGCATTGAAAAGCGCCAATTGTTTCATTTCTTTTGTTGCATTATGTTGTTACTACCTTACATTTCATTTGTGTTACTTGGGCAGGTAAAAGGAAAACCAAATCAGATGGAAGTGACTCAGGTGAGGAAAATTTGTCAAAGAAGGATTTAGCTCTCAAACAAGCACTGGAGCAAATCAAATCCACTTTCGGAAAGGGTTCTATCATGTGGCTAGGTGACTCCGCTCCTGTTCATAGTGTACCGGTGGTGTCCACAGGATCATTTACTTTGGACATTGCACTTGGAATTGGAGGACTTCCGAAGGTTGAAGATTTTCTTTTCTTTTGTGGTTATTGTTTTTGCTCTGATGTGTTTTCATTTCCTTTGTTTTTCGTCCTTTTCTTACTGTTGATTTTTTTGTAGGGACGAGTTGTGGAGATATATGGTCCAGAAGCTTCGGGAAAAACAACTCTTGCTTTGCATGTAATTGCCGAGGCTCAAAAACAAGGAGGTGAATCATGTTAACCATATATATTCTTTTTCCCTGTGTTTTAAATAGCAGAGAGTGTTTTGAATTTTTGGGAGATTGGCATTTCATTAGCTTTGAATTTCGGGGAGGTCTTTCCATGTGAATGTTTCTGAAGATGACTAAGGGAAGGAAATTATGAAGATCATGATAAAAACTCCATCTATCACAGATGATCTCATGATTTTCTATATGGAATGATCCTTTAGAGTGCTCGATTCTATCAGTAAAGGAGGATGTCATTACACTGAGGAATATGTTAGAATGGAGCTCTTCATGTGTTTCAAGAATATAAATATAAAATAGTCTATATTTTAGCTGAAGTGAAGCCCACTTTAGTTTTGATGGAACTTGTGAGTTATGTGTAAATTGGTGACTCTTGTTCATCTACAGGGTCTCCTATATCCCGCCCTTAAATGAAGGATTGCATAAGATAGTGGTGTTAATTGTGTTTTAATGCGTGGAATTGTGTATTTGCAAGGAAGAGGTAATAGATCACTCTGTCGTTTTGTAATGCACGAATGTTGAGCTGTCAGGCTTTGTTCCACTATGCTGACATATCATGCTGATGAATCACTTCATGCGCTAATGCATTCAAAGAAATCTTTGCCATCACATTATTGAAGTTTCTATTTCTATACTTTAGCTGGTAACTTTATTGTAGTTCTATGCTGCTTTATCTCTTTTTAGGAAAAAAATTGTATTTTCATTTATTAGTGTAGTGCTGTAGTCATATCTTGGTTTATATTATATGGCAACAATCTTGCATGTAAATCTAATTAAACAGTATCTCTATTTTGATCCGTTCCTTTTGCAGGTTACTGCGTCTTTGTTGATGCTGAGCATGCTCTTGATCCAGCCCTAGCTCGGACAATTGGGGTCAACACAGATAAGTTACTTCTTTCACAACCAGATTGTGGTGAGCAGGCACTCAGCCTTGTAGATACACTTATCAGAAGTGGTTCTGTTGATGTTGTTGTTGTGGACAGTGTAAGTCAGATGAATCATCACTTGTTGACTTTAAACTTGAGTTTGTAGGATCATGATGATCATATTCTTGTGTATTGGGATTATTGAACATTTTCTCAGGTGGCCGCACTTGTACCAAAAGGTGAACTTGATGGTGAAATGGGCGATGCTCATATGGCAATGCAAGCTAGGCTGATGAGCCAAGCTCTTCGCAAATTGAGCCATTCTTTGTCCATGTCACAAACTATTTTAATATTCATTAATCAGGTACTTATATTCACTTAAGCAGAGCTGCATGTGGCTGTCCATGTTATTGTTATTCAGCCTGTATACATGACTTTTGATTCATTTTTGGTTCGAGTTTTCTCACATATCTGGGGCATAGTTGACCACTCAGCATGAGCTGACCTGCTTCCCGCTAGTAACATCCAAGATGCAGTTACTTGAATAGAAAGCCTTGTTTCCCGAATATGTTTTACTGACCCTTTTTTTAATCTTATGCCGACCTGAATTTGCCCATAGATTTCAATTTATATGTTCCTAAGATTCACATATGTTCCAAGCTGAGAGTCAAATCATTGACTTTATTCAATTGCATTTTTACATACTGCGAAGCGATTTTGGGAATGTCTTTATGTTAGAGCCTGATATAAGCAGTAGATTTAGTTTGCTCATACTGCATTGCATGCTATAGCTACTTTAAGAAACTCTGTTTCTGTTTTTGAGTTGATTTGGCAATGTCTAGTTCTCTCATGTAACTTGCTTTTTTCAGATACATAACTATTGCAATTGCTTTTTGTTCAGGTGAGGGCAAAACTATCTGTTGTAGGATTTGGTGGACCAACTGAAGTCACATGTGGTGGAAATGCCTTGAAGTTCTATGCTTCCATGCGTCTAAACATTAAAAGAATAGGTCTCGTGAAGAAAGGTGATGAGGTAAGACTACTATCAAATCGTGAATGGCAGTGTTTGGTACCTACAATATGATTTTAGATCAAGTAGAACATGAAGAAATATCTGTCTGAAAACATGCACCTTGATTGGAATTTGATATTCACAATAGTTTCCCAATTTTGACATGACTACTACTGTAGTTTCTGAAGCTTTGCTATTATTAACTATTATTCCGCTTTGTTGGAAGGGATATTTTGAGTAACTAAGTGTAGCTGTTAGTTTTTGTTTTGTTGTTCGACGTATGCATTCATCTAATCTGTTTGTGTGAATAACCACGAGCTGGTGCTTTTATTTCTTTGGCTTTGTTTAATCATTTTTAGTAATCTATGGTTTGATTTCACAAACTTGAGTTAATTTCCTATGGATGTTTGAATCAAGTGCTACTACCCCTCAAATAAGCCCTGCTCAATGTAAAATAGATCCTCAAAATGTATTTTGCCTTTCTAATGTGTGGGATGTAGTTGGGTGGCTGAAGATGCTACATGTCTAAAATACTGCAGTAAAATTTCTTACTCTTCTGAAAAATTGAGTTATCGAAATGTTGCTACAGATCATGTTGGTCTTGCGGTTTGAAACCATACCTTCTTTTCACGGGGTCCTGCATGAAAATGACCACACTGAGTTATATATTTGAGCAATTTTGGAGGGAATGCATCATTCTATTTTGATATTTATGGATGTTGTGGTTGTCATTGATTGCAGACCATAGGGAGCCAAGTTGTAGTGAAGATTGTGAAGAACAAGCATGCACCTCCCTTTAGACAAGCAGAATTTGAGCTTGAATTTGGAAAAGGTATTAGTCGTGAATCGGAGATTATTGGCTTGGCTTTGAAGCACAAGTTGATCACCAAAAATGGTGGATTTTTCTACGTGAACAATGAGATAATACATGGCAAAGAAGCCTTGAAAGAGTATTTGGTTACAAACGAGACTGTGCGTGAAGAACTGATTGCAAAACTTAGGGAGAAGCTCATTGTTTTCGGGGAAAAGGAGGAGACTGATGCAGAAGGTGGTGAAGGAGGCACAGCTGCAGATGACAATGCATCTGATACTACTTATGAAGAAGTAACTGCAGCTGAGGCGTGATTGTGTTTAGTCATCAAGGTGTAAATGATTAGGCTTTCAATTTTCTCTCCTTGGTGGTCGGCGCTGCATCCCCATCGCGTACACATGGAGTCTGTAGCTAGAGTTGGAACAGTGTTGAGACTTATAAATTTTACTGCCATCTGTAATATTGTATGTTTTCTATTCAACGGCCATGTATGTTTTGACCTGTCTAAAATATAAGGCATCTTTCTCTTGATCATTTCAATGATCAAAATTTTGTTGTGGTGAACTGTATTTGAAGCCACAGTTCCAGTCCAGGGCATTTCAGGCCTGCCAGGTTGCCATTATTATTTCAGGCCTGCAGCCCGTTTGTATATCATGAGATGTCTTATCCACCCCATGAATATTGTTTTACTCCCTGATACGATTGACAAGTTTGAATTTTCAAATTTAATTTAAATTATGCTAATAATAAAAATTTAATTTGAATAATAATTTTGGAATATAATTAGTATTATTTATGAAAAATATGCAAAGAATTCCTCTCCCCCTTTCACAATACTTTCAGCTTTCAGTACAATTTCATCGTTTCATGATGTTTTTTTTTTTTGGTACTATTCATGATGTTATTATACAGGGAAAAGGATAAAGACTCTTGAGTTATGTTCAAAGGATAAATTGCTTCCGACATTTTGTACAAGGACAATAACTTCCCTACCGCTAAGGATAACTTTTTCCTCCTGTATCAGCAAATATTAATGCAAAAAGACAAAAATACCCTTAAATCTAAACAGTATTAAATCTGTCAAAATCATAAATTCTATTTATCCCAATAAAATAGAAATAGAATTTATGATTTTGATAGATTAAATTCTCAATCTCGAGTTTATTTTATTGAGACGACAGTGATAGGAAAAAATAATGCATTAATACAGAATCAGCGACTGATTTAAAATAGCAGATAATAGAATTTATAATTTTAAAAACATAACGAGTTAATTAGAGAGTGGGTTTGGTGTAAAAAAAATTCATTTTAGATTTAAGAGTATTTATGTCTTTTCACATTAAAATTTGCTAATGCAGGGGTAAATTGTCATTTGACTTGGCAGTAGAAGGGTTATTATCCTTACAAGAAATGTCGGACGACAATTTGTGCTTTGGACATAACTGAGAGAGATTTTCGTCCTTTTCTCTATTATTATACATGATTCATTCAGTCAACCTCACATAATAAAGTACATGTAAACTGTTATTGTCGATGTTCTTCTATCTCTAACTAGCACAATATTGATGTTTTGATTGTCACAAAGTTTATCTGGTTTTGAATTTCGAAATAATTGATGAGCAAAATTAGGACGACCATATAAAAAAACAACCAAATCCGAATTACTCAGATTACTTGTTTCAAACACAGGTATTATGTAAAAAGAAAACACTGAAAGTAACGTCAATTTATTGGAATTATTAATTAGAACAAGATTTGTGAGGCTACCTCTCATTTCAAAACCAGCAACACAAATTGATTAATATTTAATCAGTTAAAGGCTTTTTTGCATGCTTACATGCGTTTGCGTAGCAGTTTCTTAAAAGGTTATTGCTTAGAAGCCAGAATTGTCGTCTATCCATCAACTGTGGAAAGATGATTTTAGAGTGACATCGAGAGCCTCAAACTTTCCACAGCTCACATTTCTATTTGGAATACTGCCCAACAACGACTTTCTTCGAATTTAAAATTTTTTTATCAATTGTTCTTTCCGTCCCAAAATAAAAATCTTACCTAATAACGATTTCATTCAAATTTTTCATGTCTTTTTATCTAAGTCAATTTACCGAAAGTAATTAACGAAACCCTAATCTAATTTGATGTCTTCTACTCTATTCTTGTCAATCAAGCTTTGGGAGATAAATCAAAGACGTGACAAAATCTTTTATCAGGGAAGGAAAGTGGATCATGATAGATAGATAGATAGCTTTATGGGGTTACTATTATCATTTTGTTTCGGAAAGTAATGCTGCGACTAATGTGTTACAAATTTCAATCTGATTTTGATTCTAATTTTGTCAACAATTTATATTGAAAAATTCCATCGGGCCTAAAAGGAAAATTATACGAGTTATGATAAGACATCTAGTCTTTTATATTATCATAAAACAAAAGTCAGAATGATCATACATCTCTAACTAAGTCCCCCCCAAGCAAGAATACTTTTACGAATGTATTCATAAGCATGTTCAACAACCTTCTTATAAAACAAAGCATTTGTCGCTATCATCCGTGTTTCGTTGTACTCCATCCCTCTCGGAATTATTGCCTGGTTTGAGTTTTTAATTATAGTACAACTTGAATTAGTGAAAATTCAAATTGGATAATAATTTTGGAAGAGTATATTATAAACAACTATCAAGAGCGATGAATAGAGTGTATATTGTTTATTGAAACATAAAATGCATTTAAAAAACTTGCTTGTAATAAGAAAACTTAGAAAAATTGGAAGGGAAAAAAAGCGTTGAAACATTAAAAAATGGAAATAAGAATCTAAAATAGAGAGCATCACTACAACATGTGAGCATGTTGACATTTCTGATTCCTTGCGAAGAATGTTTGGTTGTTTTTTATTTCCCTTCCAAAATGATCATATTACAACATGTGCTTAAATAAACATGAGATAGTTGGTGCAGTGAATGGTTTCTTTCTTCAATCAATGTTTCCAATTTTCTCTCTTGTGTTCATTCTTGATTATTCTTAGGGTTCAATAAAGGTGAAAAGGAGGCTACTAGCTAGCCTACTTCTACTTGTCTATTCAGGATGGATTATGGCTGAAAATTTTCTTCTTCCACTTTTTTCCCATTGACATCAAAACAATATGATTCCCGATAGTAACTGAGCAATCAGTGTGATCTGGATTTTGCCACTTAAAATCAACACATTTTCTCCTTCTGGGAAACATCCCAGGTTAGGTATCATATTCTTTTTCGTTTGTATTTGTGGTAACTGCTAAACATGATCATCAAGGGGAAGGAGGTTGGAATCTTTCCAAATTTGAGAAAGATCAAGCGAATTCTAGAAGTGGGATCCACGTGTGTATATATATATATATATTACGAGGCTCTTGAGAAATAATTGATTTTAAAAATTTGAAAACCACTGTTGCTGACGGTGGATACCCTGTAAATATGTAAAAAGAAAAAATTAGAAAACCAAAATTGTCCAAAGAATGTTTTGGATGTCGCAAGTATATATACATACAAATTTAGTAGGTTTAAGGAATAGAACAGATATTAAAATTGTACCTTCTTTTTTTAATTAGGTACAAACTAAAATTGTTTCTTGACTTAATTGTTCCTTGACCTGCATGAAACCTTTTGTACCCGACACAAATAATATTGTCGTATATATTAACTCGAACTTATAAAAGAGGAGACGCTCAAAATTAGACTACAATATTCAGTGGTCAAATACGTTTTAATTACCTAATTCTTTTTACTTCAAATTGAATCATTCTACGTTTAATGAAGCTCACCACATTAATCACGTCAAAAAAAAAGTTTTATTCTTATGGAAGGAGTACTGGTTTCTTTTTGTTCCCACGACCCCCGGGAGGAGGGTTTCTTTAAGATCTGTGATCGATCATATTGACTTATTACACCATGATGTACTTGTAACATGTTCCCCTTAAAGAGGTAGCAAAATCCCGTTTTGAGACATTAATTGATTCTGTTCCGGTAGAAAATTCTCGTTTGGAACTTGGTTTTCTTACTGCATCCAACACACACACATATATACATATATATATATATATATATATACATATATATATGTGGATAGATAACATGTGTTAAGGAAGAATAGTACTCCAATCGAGCAGAAAGATGATTCACTTTTGTCAACCATTTTCGTTCAAATATGTTGAGCAATATATTTTTTCTGGGTCCGGAGGATAACTTAAATAGTCAAGCGAAAATTGCATTATTTGCTTTCGGGAATATTGAGGGAATGCCATACCAAAAAAGTGAACCAGAACATCAGATAAGGATTCTCAAAATCTCATGATTAACTTAAACTCTTGCAAAATCCGCGCAGGGTGGATTTGGTTTACACTGTTCTTAGCATAAATAAGTTTGTGAATCTAATCAAGATTTCAGATTTTCTGAGAAATCATGCTTCTTATACAATCGAGTGTTGTTTGAAAAAAGAATTAATGTACATTGCACTTTACTCACATTTAGATAAATATATGCATTGTGTGAATAAGGCCAAATCTCCTCCCACTCTTATACTTTATGCTACTACTTTCTAAAAAAATACTTCACATTGAGTTTTGAGATTTATATTAAAATTCAGTGGATTACTTTGTTGGACAAGGGGTGTACACTATTAGATAATGTTTTTTTGCTAAATGGGTAAATTGGTATTTTTATCCCAAAGTTTAAGTCATACCCAAAAATCCATTTCAAAATACAAATTCATTTCAGAGGGAAGGAGAGAATACAACTACAAAAATGTTAGGGTTTGCATGTTGCAACTCGGTAAAACAACTTCAAAACTCCACCTACAAGATGGCTAGCTAATCTCGAGTGGCAGCGTATGATCATGAAGAAAGACTACAAGGGGGTATAAACAATTCCCATAAAGTATGCATAAAAATCAATATGAAAATGGAATATTGATTGTTTGAATAGAATCAGAGAAGGCTTATACGAAGACACCAATATTGGTCAAAACCGTCGACTCTAAACCAGGGAATTTATATATTCTTTCTTCTTTTTCTTTTTTTAGTAATTTTTACCAGGGGTTTTTGGACCTTATACTTGATAAGTAAATAGAGATTCACCCTCTTCTCCTATCAACTATGGATCCCATCCTTTTCATGATATATTATATTAGGACAAACAAAAAGGCTACGATTAAATTAGTGCCTTAGAGGGGGAGACTTACAAGAATTTTGAAGGGATCCTTGACGTGGCACAAACCATATTTAAAGACTTTCGTCTAGCAAGTTTCTGATCAATTTCCAGCCGAAAAAGACAACTAAATTTTTTTATATATATAATAGTAAACTATAGTCATACATGTTGCTCGTGAAAATTTGGTGAATTGATTAACATTTGGATCTTGAAGGGTATGTTCTTAAAAGAAGGCATAAAAACCACACTACTCATATAATCAAATTGGTGATGACATTTAAGGTTAAAATAATTATAAATATATGACCCTTTTATTTAATGTATCAAACCCCCAAAAAAAAAAAAGATGAATGTTTGCATAAAAGCAAAAAAAAAAAAAATAGAAAAGGAAAAAGAGGGAAAGGGCTAGAATATTGTCAATGGAAATTAGGTGAGGCAATTAGGAAGTAGGATCGAAAGCTCTTGGGATAATGCAAAAGATTTATACTGAATAATTACTCGGATGCTTCCTTTGCGTATAATAAAAATGGTTCACTTGCAGTTGTGGACAAATGACTACATGCTGAGCTGAGGTGATGGTCTTTTACACTGTTCATTTCAGTCAAGAACGGCAACACCAATATCTCCACCATCACATAGCCCACCTCATCCAATTCAATCACCACTTTACTTCTTGATGATGATGATTTATTGATATTTTATCAACTTAAAATAAAATGAGTGATTCTCATTTATCCACCACTATTTTTTTCATTGCATACTAAATTTCCATCCTGGAATTTTGAAATAAATAGAATAATTATTTCAGGACCGAATTATTTCATGATAATATTATTGTCATTAACAAGATACTTGTGTCATGTAAATAGAATCGGTCAGAGTATGAAAATACATCCCAATATCTTCTGATTAATCAAAATTAATGCTAGCTGCTACCGAAAATTTTTTACCAACAGGAAATCAAAATCAGAAGAATGTATTACATGTGTATATATCGGACATTTGACATGTATGCACATGAATAATTGGTACATGGTGATCGTTCCATGGCCGGAGAAAAAATAGCTAGGATAGCCACTGAGGTTATTAGGTGGCGCCGCCACTAATACAAAATTGTATCCAGAGAAAATTCTAATTTTCTAAGAATACTACCAACTGTTAATTAAGAATGAAATGGTGACATCTTGTCAGTTTCACCGAGTCATTATAGCATATATTTTTCTCTTTGTCCTATGGTTTCTCGACCAAATCATTAACAACTCTTCGTATGGTTTCTCGGAAGGTAGACTCGTCCCATTCTCCACCCTATATAATTATACAAAAAAGATGAAAAAATATTTAAGATTCCATAATAAATTAGTTATATGTGTAGAAACGCTAATTCAGATGAGTATTATCAGAACTTGAAAATCCAACTTAAGTACCTCAAAAAAAAAAATTCTCATTGAATTTTCAAATTTGTATAAAAAACAGTACAAAACTCATAACTCGATGTGAATTATTTTTTGGGACGGAGGGAATATATTTTTGGAGATTCAGTTATTTAACATTTTAACTTTCCGATGTGAAACGAAAGTTCCAACAACCAGAATCACAAATGGCGGATATAAAAATTCTACAAAAGAAAAAAATAAATAAATAAAATTGAGTTTTACTTTCAACTATCCCTTTACTAATCACATGGATTTGTCCTATATATGTGTTTGAGGTGTTCACATCTGGGTTCATCTGGTACAAAATCATGCATTTGACAGATGAATTCAACTTATTAACTCCTCTAGACCACACACACACATATATATATACTCAACCAGAGAATAACAGATTTTTTATTTAATGTTACAAGTTTTGTGGAAGATAAATAGTTGACCATTTAGTTATATCTGCTTAAAATGTCTACTACTAATAATAATAATAATATGATAATATACTATTAGTTCACACTACATTAAATTAGTGACCTTTCAGACTACGTACTCAAAAGACCAGTTAAATGATTGATTTTTTTTTTCCCCCACTCTGGGTAGAATACAACACATCATGATCATATGCATGCTATGGAGGGATGATTCCGACGTACCCAAAATGTTCATAATCTATATCTTGTTTCTCGAAGATTTACAACATTTGGCAAGTATATACCGAGTTTTATTATGACTTATTTATTGGGTTCGATGTTAGATGCACTTGGTATATATATTCAGTGATTGAAACAGGTTCCCGAACGAGAAAATGTCTACCATGTGATAATCATCATCATTCTAAACTAAACCAAAACAGAAAGTGCGAGGTTAAGTAAGTAATACATTACCTCAATTCTGAGCCTCATAGTTACGTTGTTTGCTAATGCACTTGTGTCCGAAACTCGGGTTTCGGCTTCTACGCACAACAGATTAAGATTCCGATCAGTTTTCAAGAACTCCAACAATCTGATTACCAAATCCGTCACGCTAACATATCCCCTTACAATCACTTGTAAGTCCACAAATCTCGCCGTCGACGTGGATGCCGATGCAGCAACAACATTATTCGTTAACAGATGAACTTCAACCCTCTGATCAACACTATTTTCTGGATGAACAGAAACCTCTGATTTTCTTTCTGGGAAAAGTAATTGCGCCTCTAATATTTGGTTTATCCTACTAAGTTCATCAACTTTAGCTTTCAACGCTTTTAAGTGCTCAGTTGTACTTGTCAGCACTGATGCTTTATCCTTCTGCAAAACAACATTAATCCCATTTTTTTCCAAGTCTCTCATTAATCAATACAGTACTGATTAATTTAGTTCAACAAAGCGGACTATTTATTTAATTAAGTTACGTACGTACGGTACCTTAGTTCCGGGAGGGAGGAGGGATCTCAATCTCTGGAAGCTCTCGTTTTGTTTTTCGCGCCTTCTTCTCTCGGATATCATATGGTGAAGCTGAGTACTTGAGGTTCGACCCGTTTGACCACCTTGAGTTCTCATACTTGATGAGTATAAGTCACTGAGAAATGCAAAACATCTTTTTAGCATATTTTGCCTTCTGTTTCCGGCCGGAATAATATTATTATTATTCCTGGGGGCTAAAGCTGGTGGTGTTGGTCTATAATACCCTCTGAATGCACTAGCCTGAGATCCACCCACCGGAACCTGGCGACTTATACTTGGCTGTTGAAGTTGACCAGAAGAAGTTGTTGTACTGGAAGAAGCAGGGTGATGATGATGATGATCAGCTGAAGAAATGACAGCTAAAATGGCTCTTGTCATTGCATCATCTTCACTCTCAATTGTGGGCAATTGGGCACTCCTGATTTGGCTTAAACTCTGGAATATTGATTGTTGTTGTTGTTGTTGATTTGTTGCAGCCATTGTTGGAATCATCACCCCTTGTTGCTGGTTTTCTGGGACATTAAGGTAAGAAGCACTTGGAATGTCTAACAGGATTGGAGAATATTCAGAGCTGTCATCATATGATAATGATCTTAATGATGATGAAGATGAAGCTGGCCTATTGTTGTTATTGTTATTATTCTGATCAGTAGTAGTATTTGGTGGCTGCTGCTGCTGTAGTACTGGAAGAAGATCTCCGGCGGCCGTTGGAGCGAAATATTGTCTGCGACTGAAATCTTCAGAAAACTGAGAAAACCATGTCCTCATCTCCATCTCCAAGTTGACCTGAAAAATTTACAAACAAACATTGTGATGAAGTGGTCTCGGGTTCACTTGCTTGTTTATATATACTGGAGAAAAGAAAAAAGAATGAAGTTTGAATAGTAATATTATGTGATTAAATATGAGCAACTTGTTATAAACTAGGTTGTTGGGATTTTTCTAGTCCAAAGAGTAAATTAAGAAGGAATATTTAAAAATACCAGCTGGGAAGAGTCGTCACCAAATCCAAGCTCGATTTCTCCTGAACTGCACCCCACGAATATTGCATTCTGCAAAATTTAACCATATATTTCCAAGTTTATCAGATGGAGAATTAGCAGCACCATAATGCATGCTGCATTGTTACTTCTTCTTCTTCTTCTTCTCCTCCTCTTGTTTTTTTGGTAGGTTTAAGAGAATCATGAAGAATAAGAGAGTTGCTAATTGAAAAACCTACCTTGATCCTAGCTTCCTGTAATATATCAACAAGTAAGAAAAAAAAAACCCTCAGTCTTAGTCTTCATTTTATCCCTTATGATGTAATCTATAAAATTAAAAGCTTCAGAAAATGAATCACAGCTAGCTGTTTGTACAAATTAAATCTTAATTACCTGATAGAACAGGCACTGTATTTCTAAGGAAGCCATTCTCTGAAGTACAGTGGATGGTAGCACCAAATATGAATTCTTGCTGAGAAAAGCTAGACCAGGGACGAAGCTGAAAGTTATAAAATTCAATGTAACATTGTTTTCCTCCTCAAAAATGCATAATGTGATGATTTTTCGCATACCTATATATACTTATTATGTTCTTAATATATAGGATTAATTTTTTGCACAAACTTATTTTCTTAAGTTACCTGCTATCAACCATGATGGTGGAGAGGCCATACAGATCGAAAAGCCCCTGAGAATGAGTTGCAGATGATGAAGCGCTTTGTGGGTTATTATTTCTTTCATGGTAGAATCCATCTATGTACTTTAAACAACTGAAACATAGAAAAGAAAAACTAAGAAACTATATCGAAATCGAAATAAATAAATAAATATATATATATATAATTATTCTTACTTGGATGGATGGTATGACCACAGGCAGATGTAAGTGCAACCAAAAGACTGCATCATCTGCTGAATGATGTTAGCTCGGTCTCCTTCACTTAGAAAGAAGACATAATCCGCCATTGAACAAAAAGTATATGTAATCCAGAATTAGAAGGGATTTATATTGTGATTATTATCTTCTTGTCAGGTTTAGTACAAGTAACAAGAACTTTCCTTGACTAATGATGCTGCTGCAATAATAATATATGTGATGGTGATGATGATCACTGATGCCCATTTTAAACTTTTTTCTTCAGAACTAAATGTGAACATGAAATGCTTACAAATGGAAGAAATTAATAATTTTGAAGTTTGAACCCTTTGAGTTTTTCTTGGAAGACCTGGGCAAGAAGACTGTTAATTCCTGAAACCTGCTACTTAAAAAAAAGAAAAACAGAATTAATGAGGGAAAAATGAGAACTGAAGAAAAGATGATTTGAAAAGTAAGAAAACTATGTGAAGAAGAAGAAAGGACATGGACATATGTATGCATGCATCAGCATCATCATCAGTGGCATTTTTCAAGGTTATGGAAAAAGAAATTGGAAAACACCACCAAAAGTGGGGTAGGGATTTTTTTTATTATATAATTATTTTCTAAGAAGGATTGTGAAAGTTAATAAATATGATGATGAGGAAGCAAGAAATTAAAGACTAGCCACTGGTGCAAATTAAAAAAATAAAATAAAATAAAATCCAAAGCTAGGTTAAAGAGATAGAACGAGTTTGGGGAAGAAAGAGAAAGAGAGAATAGCTAAATAGAAGAAAGCTATATATATAGGAAGAGAGAAGAGGGAGTAAATTAAGCAGCCAGCCAAGGGAAAAGGAAAAAGGTTGGAAAAATGAAGAAAAGTAGTGGTCAGAAGTGTCAAAAGTCCATTTATGAGAAAATTTTGAATTCAGTCAAGGTAGGAAGGCAAATCAAAGGGTTGAGAAGGATGATGGGGGCAAGGGGTCCTTGTCTTGTCTTTACTTCCTCCTAATTTGATAATTTTCCTTGTTTTTACAAATATATAGATGACATGCCTACACAAATAGAAACAAAACTAATTATTTGCAAAAATAGAAACATTACATTTCTGGTCTTATAGGAAATATTTGTAGTTTAGTCCTCCTAAATTTTTATGGTTTTCAGCAAAAAAACTTCTCTTTACATTTAAGCAAACGTTTACCGTCAACAGCAATGTCTGATTCATTAGTTTATCTATTCGATTCACTTTGTTTAAAAAAAAGTTCAATGATGAGATAACCAACTAAAAAATTTAAAAATTCTCATATATATAAGGTAAAATTCGAACACCCCACTTTTGGTTAAAAACGAGTCATTCTCTTTAACCACAACACTTTGGATCATTTTCATTGGACTTTCATCGTTTTTATTACAATATATATCTTGTAGTTAGTACATTTGGAAGTTCTTTGGTCTTTAGGTTCGATCTTTTTACCCTTTTTCACGGTTAGTAAATGATTTCAAACTTCATTTTCGGGCATAACTTCCAGAAGTTAGTTTGCTTCATTCGGACGATTTTTCTCAATCTTGATGAGGAAATATTTTTATTCCAACTAGATGTCATACATTTCTTATAACCATAAACAATGCCTAATTGCTCACAAACGCGTACAAACTTGTTGGCCGAACTATAACTTTTTTAGTAGCGAAACAAGTGAAAGAATGGCAAATGTACAAACTTGGAGTCAATTTATGTATCTTCACACGTGTTTATGAACAATATTGAACTATCTACACTTTATTTTTTGGAAAGTCTCGAACATTTTTTATTCAAATTCCTATTGATAACACTTTAAATTTTGCTGGATGTCCTAAACTGGAAATTTAATTCATTTAAATTTGGATGTGTAATTTGGAGAAATGAAAAGTGCAAAACGAATGAAAAATCCTTCTTTTAGTACTACTAACTCTTTGATGATTCTATCCATCTTTTTTTTTCACATATAAGTTTTTTTGCTAAATAATTGGCACGTTAAATGAGTGTATAGATGAGGCAGCTGGCGAAGGATTCATTCATAAGCTTTAGGTGTTTAGCATATGGATTTTGGCCAAACTATTGAATTGATAATGCCAATTCATGCAATTCGAAAATGAAGTAGAACGTTGCTGGACCATTTTCTTACTCCATTCACTTAACCTACAAATCAAAAAGAGTGAGCAATTTGAAGTGCGAAATCTGGTTTGATCAAACCACGTAACTCCCCGTGTTCCGGCGCGCCCTTCCGTGGATTGTTAATCGCCGGCCGGCCGGTGGAGCAACCGTGCGGAGAATATTTGGTCATGAGGTGAGGAAGAAAGTAGCTAGGTCATTGCTAACGTAGTAAAAAGGTAAAAATTGAAGGAGTCAATAAACGAAAGAGTATGGTTTTGAGGAAACCCGTATGATGAATAGAACTTATACTCTCTTTTCGATTTTTAATTATCACAAAACATCCATCCAGGACTGCAACCACATATATTATACGAAAAGAAGTAAAATTAACAGAGCCTTTTTATTTTTTTAACATTTGTAGCAAAACTTTGAATACGAAAATTGGTGTCCATTTAATTTGATTATTCTTGCATGATTACAACGTCTGATCGTCCAGCACTGATCCTGCCGAACCCTAATCCGTATTCATCGAGAGAGAGAGATATTAAAAAACAATGAAATTGGACAAAATATTGAAACACCTTGTAACTCTAATTTAAGTCTAGGCCTACAATTTGTTGTACTTTTGAGTTTAATATATATATATATATATATATATATATATATATATATATATATATATTACAGGAAGTGGGAAGAAAAAAAAAATCAGACATCAATCTTATCGTAGAGGTTCATATGATCCAACATTTACATCATTAGTTAGACATCACATCGTACCAAATGTTGTGAAGACATTTTTATGTTACACACTAATACTTTCGTAACATTCAATTCGTTAACGACATCATAGGTTAGACATCAAATTAGATCTTGTGAAGATATTTTTATTTAATGCCTATGCGCCTCTGTAATTTAGAGAACACGATAAATTAAATTTTATAAAAACATAAAATGTTTCATAAATACAATAAAAAGTTATTTTTAAAAAGACTTGTAATAAAAAGAAATCGTTCCGACGCCCGAAGGAATAATGAGTAAATAATATGATAATATTTGTACCCAAAAAAAATAACAATATGATAATATATTGATAAAATGACCTCATTAAAGGGCTGGATAATCTTGTATCAGATGGAGAAATTGGAGATGGAACTCGGTAAGTAAAAGTAATTTACAAAATGAACATAGGCGTCAAAATTGTGGCTCATTGATAGCCCAGCAATAGAAATTGAGAGATTGTAGCCCATACATTCGAGTTTTGTGGGTTCCATCATAAATGTAGTGAACCTTTTTAAGCCCACGAAAAGTAGCCTGCAGCCTTTTACCCCCCAAAAAGAATAAAAATAAATAAATAAGATTTTCGTGTAGAAATGACATGATCAGTCGGGAAAATCGAAGAGTAGCTTATACATACTTACATTTATGGGTCTGTGAATTAAAGTTTGTTATACTATTTCTTTCGATCCTAGATCTAAAACACAAATTAATGAGAGTAAAATGTACTACTTCTATGTTAAACCCAAAAAAAGAAAAAGAAAAAGTGTATTTCTGTAAAACCAGATATATACCGGATCGCATAATGGATCATTCAATACCTAGTTATAGTTTCTTGACTAGTCTTTTGAACACACGTAAAATGAATTGTCTTTAGTCAAAGCATGCGGTGATATGCATTAACACCTGTTTTCAATGACAAAAGTCTTAAAAGAAATCCTCACAAGCGCATTGGATTTGTATTTGTAAATTGGACATGCATGCGTAGTAGTTACTCCCTCCGGTTTTTAATACTCCAGCCGTCCCACAAAAATAGTTCACATTGAGTTTTAAGTTTTATATTTTTTTTAGTACAAATTTGAAAACTCAATGTGGATTATTTTTGGGACAGAGGGAGTATAAGATATTTTGATTTGCCTTAGGTTTTACATAATACATATTTTTAATTGACAAAAAAATCTTAAAAATATACTTTCACATTTGTTGTGTTCTCTTGATTGTTAAAATATATTTTTAAGATTTTTTCGTTGATTAAAAACGTACTAGATCAAACTTAAAACAAATCAAATGACTTATACTCCATCCGTCCCATAATTATTGTCCAGTTTTACTAAAATGAAATATTTTATTTTTGGTCAAACTTAACTATACTTTACCTTAAACAACCAGATATACCCCTATATAAGTAACTGTTTAACCACTAAGATTTTATGGATAATGTTTTTTACTAAGGACAAATGTGTAACTTGATCCATAAAAAGTCAAACAATAATTTTAGGACAAAATTTTTTGGGCAAAGTGGACAATAATTATGGGACGGAGAGATATTAAAGACCGGAGGGAGTATATAGTAAGATCTCCACGTGTAACATTTTAATTGAAATCTTATGATATCCTTAGCATCCAACCAAATATTAATTTAACTAGTAACTTAATGAATCGGGTTAATGCAATAACTTCGTCGCTACATGAGATTAGATGAGTATAATTCTTGACTGTACAGGCCTGCAGTTAATTGAATTCAAGCTCAGCTGGCTGTGATTTGCCACCAACAACAAAGGACAGATCTCTGCCACCGGGACTAGGAGTTTTGTTTGACTGCAAAATTAGCTGAACTCGACCCAATATCGATCGTCGTCAAAGAGGTAGACCTTTATGAACAAAGTCAAACGACAAAGACCCTTCTTTAAAGTGAATCACGACAATAAATCATCAATTATACTAAAATCATCAAACATTCCTCTTGAACTTTGAATTTATAACCGAATGGTTTCTATTTTTCGCCGATCAAAGAAGGTATACAAAAAAAAAAAAAACCTAAATAAAAAAAAATATATGTCCCAAAAAAAAAATTTAGTATGTACTCCCTCCGTCCCATAATTATTATCCACTTTGCCCAAAAAATTTTGTCCCAAAATTATTGTCCAATTTGACTTTTTATAGATCAAGTTACACATTTGTCCTTAGTAAAAAACATTATCCAGAAAATCTTAATGGTTAAACAATTACTTATGTAGGGTATATCCGGTTGTTTAAGGTAAAATATAGTTAAGTTTGACCAAAAATAAAATCTTTCATTTTAGTAAAACTGGACAATAATTATGGGACGAGGGAGTATCAATTTCTAAACTCAGGAGCCGTTTGTTTACTGGGATCCGGAATCGAGATTCGGATTCAGAATTCATTTGCTTGTTTGGTCAGATGGAATCGGATTAAATGAATGGGATTTGGAATGGCTTTTTGAATCACCCCTCCCCCCTATGGATTCAATTGACTGGATTCGGATCCAATTTATTTTTATTTTTATATTAGTTTTTCTTTACTGTCATTTTTTTCCATTTGTATTCATCCTTTTCTTTCTCCCACATCCATCGTGTTTTCTCCACCCGATCAGATCAGAATTCCAAATCTGTGATTGAGGGAAAACAATTCAAGTGCTTTGGCTTCCATCAGCTCTTCTAAGTCCACAGTCTCTTCTCACTCTTGTCAACACAATCTTAGCCAGCGCCGCCATCATCCAGCCGCATCCATCGCTAAGCTAAGCCCTGCAATTATGTTCACTCCCAGATCTTACAGATGTAATGGCTGATTTTTGGTGGCTGCCAATTCGCACCTTGCAAGGGGTTATAAAATTCAAACTTTCAAAGAGTTTATTTCGAAATAATTGAGGTAGAAAAGATGTGGTTGATGAAGGAGATATGCGGCGGTGGTGGGATGGAGGAGACTTCGGATGAGAAGGAGGTGTTGTGACAGGGAGGAGGGAAATAAGGAAAAAATTAAAAAGGTTTTTTTTTTTCTTTTTATTAGCATTCTTATAATAATAATAATACATATTTTTTTACCAATTCATGAATCCGTGATTATTCGAATCTTATCCGCCATCATTCAAATCTGTTTTCTGACTCTGTTTCTAGTTAACAAAACAAACGACTCCTCAATATATATGGACTATTTTTTTGAGACACCGGGAGCAAATAAACAAAAATCAAATCATTAACTAGATAGCAATCATCTTTGATAGAAAACTACCAGATGAACATAAAGTTAAGTAGTAATGCAGTTCCAAGTCAAAGGAATGAGCTTGGTTCTTGCGGTAATTGACCGGATATTTATATTTATGTTGGGATTCATTCATAGTGTTTAATTAATCAATCTCAGTCTCGGATGTGGTCTTTTCTAATAACCGTTATGTATCATTGTTCTTATATTATTGACGGATTAACCATAGATTCAGAGTTACGTACCATTGTCCTCTCAATGGAACCGAGTGCATGTATGCCTGGAACTGGAAGTTTACTGGATCGTCTGAAATTAATGAGGTGGGAATTTGATTAAAAAAAAACCGTAATCTAAAACTGAGGTGCTTTATATATCTTTAAATACTTTTCTACCCCTTGAAGTTCAGCCAATGTTTTCAATTGGAGCAATGATTCTGCCATCAGCAAACAATTTATAGCATGTAGGGCAAAATTTTACTTAATTTTTAAATTTACCCCTTATGAAGTCAAACCACATATTTTCCCTCCGGAGCTCCGGTTAGTTGTTAAAATCTCAATTTTATTTTTCGCTCTCTTTTCCTTGTTGTCGGTGAAACTTCGGCGACGTTGCGTGAGAAAGAGAACCCCAGAGAGGAATAGTACCCCGTCGAGAGGAAAGGTTGATGGGGGTGGAGATCAAGGGGACAATTAGGCCCGTCGATCAACAAAGGTGACCGGCTAGGACGAGATTGGTAAATCCTTTGTCTAGAAGTTTTGATTGTTGCGTTGAGGAGTGCAGCAGTGTTCCCTTCCTTTTCTCCTATTCGGCAATGACTGGTGACTAATTACGATTCCGATTCGGGAGACTATAGTTTAAAGGATAAACTTTTTGCTTGAATAGTTTTTCATGTGGTTATTTCTCAATTGAGGTAGAGTCAAATAATGAAACTGATATTTCATAAATCAAAGTTGCCATTAGAAAGATTGAAGATTGGAATATTGATCTAAATGCACTAAGGTTGATTACTGGGCGTTTTGTGAGCACACGCTCAAGTTTTCTTTGATAGCGCATTGTCCCCTCAAAGAATCTATGTTGCAGGGGATATAGCTTTTCCCAAGAAGTGATATTTTCAAGTAATTGCTGCAAGATGGGAAGGCTTTCTCCGGAGGAATTTTGATGGTTCATCATGAAATCCACATTTGTTTACCTAATTGTCTGGATTCGCAGTTGAAAATATTTTTAACAAAATTGAGATATGAGTATTCATCAGTATCATTCGTAAAGGATAATCGTGAAGGAGAATACGGAAGTTATTTAGAAGGGGAAATCAATGAGAGACTTTTTTATTTTTATTTTTTTTTGGAAGAAGTGTGAAGAAGAATTAGATGAAGAAGAATAGAAAGGAAAAAAAAAAAGATAATGCCGGAGATGTGGAGAGAGGATTTCAGTTTGACTTTACGAGGAATAAGTTTGGAAATTTTGTCCTGGATGCTAAAAATTATCATGGCAAAATCACCTATCTTTCTATTGACTCCTTTTGATAAAAGAGAATTAATTGCATTCGAATGATTTGTTGACTTTATGGAGCATTCATTCGTGATCATCAATTATGCACAGAAACTTCTAACAATTATAATGATTTGACCCATCAACTATTGTATTTTTCCTTGCCATGTATGGTAAAAATGTTAGCGCTGGATAAATTTCCTAAATTTTTTAAGGGATTTACTTCTAGGTAGTTTTTGGATGCATGGAAATTCATTGTAAAATGATCTTGCCAACGTTTATGGTACGAAATGTCACTTCATTTGTGTGTCCTATTAGTGTATAAAGAGCCAAAAAAAAATAATTATATCGAATAAACCGGTTCCTTAATACTAGATTTTGAATTAATTTTAGCTTTCGCATATAGAGACTTGTAGTGATTATAAAGAATCATTAAATTTTTAAACCTTTTTTTTTCTCCGGAAAAAAATTGCCCAAATCAAGATTTTAAACTCATACACACTCGTATTCTTACATTCAAGTCCCTTTTACGTTGATATTTCTCTTTGGAACGCAATAAGTATTTGTCAAAGTGGGGATTTTGTGCTTAGATGTGAACTGTTAAGTGCTTAGATGGGGAGTACTATTTTTTTTTTTTTTTTTTTTTACTTTCAATTGCCTCAAATTCTAAGAAGCCTCCAAATTACCAAGGCCGCGCGCTGACCTTCCATCCTTACCTAATAATCAAGATTTAAGAGGTCAAATGACAAAGACCCCTTTGACTTTCAGCAAATTAGACAACATACAATAATAGGAGAGAACACGAAAAGTAGTATATGTCCTGTTTCGACGTCGAATCGAACTCAGGAATGTAGTAGAGTATCAAGACCTCCATTTGCAATTTGCAAATAATTCAATTCTATGTAAGTCTCAGATCAGAACTCTGCTGATTCTGATGATTGTGTCCACAGATTGCATATATCGTCAATTTTCTTCACTTGGAACCCACAAAAAATAGGGGAATTACAAAGTAACAAATTCCCGTAATTTGGAAAACTGTTGGGAACAAGCTTTAGCTATTTTTTTTTTTTTAAAAAAAAAGACATGATAAAGATTGGAGCAATGACACAGATAGTGAAAAATTATAGTGAATTTGGATAGTAGCAAATTAAAAGACAAATATACTACACACTCACTAAACATGTTTAGTTATTAATTAAGGGTAAAAATATAATTTTTAGAAAAAAAATAAAACTTCAACGGGAAAGTAGCAAATAACTAAGGGGCCATGATTAATCCACATCTGTAACTATGTTTTACTCCCTTCGTCCCATAATTATTGTTCACTTTGCCCAAAAAATTTTGTCCCAAAATTATTGTTCAATTTGACTTTTTATGGATTAAGTTACACATTTGTCCTTAGTAAAAAACATTATCCATAAAATCTTAGTGGTTAAACAATTACTTATGTAGTGGTATATCCGGTTGTTTAAGGTAAAATATAATTAAATTTGACAAAAAATAAAATATTTCATTTTAGTAAAATTGGACAATAATTATGGGACGGAGGGAGTATCACTATTTTTATTCACTACATATATTATTTTCATAAAAATTAATATTCACTTTTTTCAACGGAAAATTACTCATTCGGATAACTATTGAATGCAATACGTGCCAAACGAGAAACAGGAAAAAGTCAAATGTAGACATGCAATAAAGTTAACTCGGGGGAACTTGTGATCTCAAACTGATGATGTCAAATCACATTATGCTAAACCTTAGAAGCATCTTTGATTCAACATTGCAGTCAAATGATTTGTTGACTTTTGTTTCAGTAGCATTTAGTAAATTGAAGGTTTTTGAGCCATCTAGGGCTGGGCCGTCGTGCGTTTTGTGTCTTTTGGAGAAATATAGTCCAAGCCTTTTTCTTATATAAATCAGGCATTGCTGTACTGGGTTTGTCTAAGCTGAGCCCAATATTCAATTCCAATGGCTATACTCGAACTGTGAGCTGGACCCTCCTGGCTAAAAATAAAAATATTTACATCTTCCGTTCCAAAATTTTCAAAAATATAATCGTAGGTAAAACATATTAATTGTGAAAAATTTGTGTAATTTTCAAAGAAATGGAACAAAAATACAATTGAGGGAACGGCCATTGTTTTCATGTGTTGATTAGTTTTGCCGAACTATTTAGGAAACTGCATTCAAATGGTTTTTGCTGACTTTCCCCCTCCCTCCTTAGCCTAATTAGTAATTACCAGAAATGGATATTTCTTTCTTTTACAAAATTCTAGAACTGGATTTGCAATACTAGGTTGTTTTAGCTTCCTAGTAAAAGGAATGAATTTATCTCTCTATAAATCAAAGGTGCTTGGCGCGAATTAGCCGCCAAATAAGGTTTCTTTTTTTTTAAAAAAAAGAAATAAGGGTTCTTATGATTATCTGCGGTTAAATTGTACCCCCGGTCCCACAAAAATAGTCCACATTGAGTTTTGAGTTTTGAATTGTTTTTAGTACAAATTTGAAAACTCAATGTGGACTATTTTTGTGAGACGAAGATAATAATAAATTATTCGTTTTTGTAAAATTTGTTGTAGCTATAGCTTCCTCGTACACACGAGTATGCGACTTTCGATTTCAGTGCAGAGTTTGGTTATCAACTTCATGGAAAAAGAAAAAACAAATTCCGATTATTTATTGATATAATATATTTTTATCTAGGCACAATGGCCTTGATGGATGTGTTGCCGGAAGAACTTGCGAGCATGCTGGCCGGGGGAATCGATTCAAATCCAGACCTATTATTATCAACAATTAATATGGAAAACTAAAAGGGCGCTACGGTTTCTAGCGAAAGGCTCTCTCTGGCAAAACCTCCCCCCTCGGCGATACCTCCCTCCCTTGCTTTATACCTCTCTTTCTGATCAGTTTTTCATCCTGAATAATCTTAGCGCTTCCTAATCTAGGTTTTCTCACTAGTGATTCCCCTCTTAACGTTCTGTTTTCTTATCTTTGTTTCTGTTTTTAGGATTTCGTCAACGCGTAAGCACCAGCTAGGGTTTGTGTTTGTGCTGCTTGACTCGAATATGCTTTGTGTGTTTGCTCGGGCTGCGTGAATTATGAGCACGGAGGACAGTTTGGACTGGCTTTGTTCTCGTTTCGCTCAGTATGACATTGTGGAGGAGATTGAGGAAGAGGACAATGACTCAAAAGAAGTTGATCTCTCATTCTGCTTGATTGGGAAGGTGTTGTCGTCACGGGTTATTCCCCATGGAGATATTGTGCATCCAATTCAACATCCCTGGGGTTTGCGGGGTTCCTTATCATGCAAACCGCTGGATAACAACTTGGCTTTATTTGTGTTCACCAGCAGGGTGGATAAAAAACGTGTCCAGCAATCCTCTCCATGGATGGTTGAACATAATCATCTCCTCGTTCTGATTGATGCGTCGGATGACTTGAAGATCTCCAAGCTGGACTTTTCTTGTTGTTCGTTCTGGGTTCAAATTCATGACTTGCCATTAGGGTTACGGACAGCTGGTTTTGCGGAGAAGGTAGGGAACAACCTTGGCCGTTTTCTTTCGGTTGATCGGGATGCAGAAGGCTCCGTAATTGGGAGGTTTTTGCGTATTAAAGTTGAGCTGGATGTTACTAAACCTCTTCGTCCAATCATCAAAGCTAAATACAAGGGAAACCCATTTTTGGCTGAAGTGAAATATGAGCGACTACCTGAGTACTGCTTTTTTTGCGGTATAATCGGCCATTCAGTTCCCGGTTATGAAGAACGAATAATGAAGGATGTACCTGAAACTGGTCCATGGAAATGTGGAATTTCCTTAAGGCCTCATGCTACTAGTAATCCTTTTCCACAACGGTGTCAATTCGAAGTCCGTTCACCTTTCCCGGATGTTGATCGCCTGCCCTCTCCGACGCTAGATTCCAACGCCAACTCTTTCTTTACCATGACCACCCATCCTAGACCACAATCTAAGTCAACTTATAACCCCCCACACCAGCGGGAAGTACCAAAACAGAATCTTCACACTATTCCCATGCAACCCTTGTTTCAAAACTTAATATCCATAACCTTGTTCTCCTCGATACGTCCAACCTTAATATCCATAACCCCACAATCTTAACCTTTGAAAATCCTATCCCCTGTTCTCTCTCTTTCCAAATGCTTATCCCCGACAAAGTTCTAGTCCACCTTTCACATTCAAAACTTGATAATCAACCTCCTCCAGAACCCACCTCTCCTATGGGACAAAGCTCATTCCACCAACCTAACCCCCTACTGCTTCCATCAAGTCCTTTTATGACAGAAGTTCCCATTGAATTTGATTCGCCTGTGAATAGATTGTTGAAACCGCGGACTTGTCGTCGCACTCCTTCTGTCAAAGCTCATCTCCCAGAGGACTCAACGAATCCGACAAAGAATGCTAAACACTGCCTGCAAATTGAAGAAATGGATTCGAATGATCAATCCTCAGCAGTGAGCAAGAAGTTGAAGATCAATTCAAATGCTCTTTCAAATACTATAGATGCTTCGGTTAATGTAGATTGTAACTTCTCATCGGCGGAGACTGGCATGGAGGACCAGTCCTGCCGAAAACCATGAGTCTCTTCGCATCGAATTTTTGGAGGCTTGGGAACCTCCGTACAATTGATGAAATATGCTACCAGGCTCCCAAAAAGTCACCCCTCTTGGTCTTCCTCTCCGAGACCAAGTGTCGCTCCTCTGCATTTGATCTTCTCAAGTACCGGCTAGGCATGGACTGTTTGGTGGTTGATGCGATCGGTAATTCAGGGGGGCTTGCTCTACTATGGAGGAAAGACATTCCAGTTACTCTTTGTAGTTTATCAAGAAACCATATTGACATAGATGTCACCTTGTTTGATGTCCGCATGTGCATTACATGTGTTTACGGGGAGCCAGACACTTCTTTGAGACCTGTTGCTTGGTCTCGGGTGAAAAGTTTAAGGGATGATTGTCGAATTCCATGGCTTTGTATTGGAGATTTCAATGAAGTCCTCTCGCAGGACAAATTTAAGGGCTTAAGGCCTAGACCAGCTCGTCAAATTAATGATTTTCGTTCCTTCTTGGATCACCATCTCCTTCATGCTCAATTTGATAGAACTCCAGCTCAACTTTCAAGCATGCAAAGGAAAAGGAGGTTTTGGTTTAAAGCTCTTTGGGTGAAATCTGAGGATTGTGCGAAGGTGATTGCCTAAAATTGGGATGCATCGTCGGATCCCATATCAACTAAGTTACAGTCGTGTGCGGCTGGCTTGCTGAATTGGAGTCGTTTGAAGGTAGGTAACCTCAAGTTGCAAATCAACACAATCAAGAAGGAGATTATATTGCTGCAAAAAAAAAAAAAGATAACTCCGGAGATAAAAACTCAGCTATGTTTGTTGAAGGAAAAGCTGGAATTTTTATTAGACCAGGAGAATCTTAAATGGAAGCAAAGATCAAAACATCACTGGTATAGAGAAAGTGACCGCAGTACGAAGTATTTTCATGCCCATGCTACTCAAAGGAAGGAAGTGAATCGCATTTCAGCTCTACAAAATACACTTGGCAATCTTCAGAATTCTAATGAGAAGATTGAGAAAATCATTATGGGATATTTTCAGGATATCTTCTCGGTAACGAAAATTGCTGACTTGGACCTACAACAGGCGCTGGGACGGATCAGACATAAAGTCAGCACAGGCATGAGCTCTCGCCTAACGGTGCCTTATTCCGAAGACGAGGTCAAGAAAGCAGTTAAAAAAAATGCATCCTTTTAAATCCCCAGGACCGGATGGTACGTCCCTGTCTTTTTTCAGAAATATTGGCATATTGTAGGTCGTGATGTGTCTCTTGCTGTGTTAAACTTTTTGAATAATGGTTCCTTTGATCGCCAAGGGAATTATACCCACATCGTTCTCATCCCTAAAGTTAAGAGTCCCAAACTAATCATTCAATTCTGACATATTAGGTTATGTAATGTCATCTATAAAATAGCATCGAAAGCCATAGCTAATAGAATTCGACCGATCCTCCTAATTATTGTATCTAAATCTCAGTCAGCCTTTATCCCTAGTAGGTTAATTACTGACAATATCCTCGTTGCTTATGAGACCCATCATTTTATGAAATCTAAAACCCAGGGGAATTCTTCGCTTATGTTTATAAAACTTGACATGAGTAAGACTTTTGATCGAGTCGAATGGGCTTTTCTGTTTGCTATTATGAGTGCTATGGGTTTTCCTGACTCGATTGTTTCATTGATGAAAGAGTGTGTGTCATCTACATCTTTTTTTTTACTCAATGGTGGATTTTGGTCATTTGATCCCCGAGCGGGGTATTCGTCAAGGGGGTCCATTATCACCATATTTATTTGTAATAAGCTCCGAAGTTTTCTCAGCTATTCTACAGGATCTTCAAGCATCAGGAAAAATTCAAGGGGTGGCGGTAGCATGGGGAGCTCCAAAAATTTCACATTTATTTTTTGCAGATGATACCTTATTATTATTTGGAGCAGTAACCATGGAGGAGGCTCATTACTTCCAATTTGTTATACAACTTTATGAAGCGGTATCGGGGCAGCGAATCAATTATGATCAGTCAGGAATATATTTCAGCCCAAACACAATTCCGGATATTGCACAGAATATATGTGACTTGTTACACATCCCAAGGGTTGTCTCGCATGGAAAGTATCTTGGATTACCGTCGGTGATTGGACAAAGCAAAAGAGAAGTTTTTGGTGTTTTAAAAGATAGCGTATGGAAGCGACTGCAAGGGTGGAAGGAGAGGCATATGTCTAAGGCGGGAAGGGACATCCTGATAAAGTCTGTAATTCAGGGAATCCCGACATACTTGATGTCGTGCTTTCGAATACCAAATGATACACTTCCAGAAATTCACGCTATGGCTGCAAAATTCTGGTGGGGCGACTCTGAACACAATCGTAAATTGCATTGGTTCTCTTGGACAAATAGGCAGTATCAAAGTCTAAAGGCGGCTTGGGATTTCGCGACCTACGAGCCTTCAACCTTGCAATGCTTAGCAAACAAGCATGGCAGTTACTCACACACCCTTCATCGCTGGTTAGCCGCATGTTTAAAGCTAAGTGCTACCCCCATTCTGACCTCCTCGAATCTTCTTTGGGTTCCAGACAATCCTGGTCTTGGCGGAGTATCCTCGAGAGCAGAGAAGTGCTTCTTCTTGGCTGCAGGAAATTGATAAAATCTGGGCAGACTACAAGGGTGTTTAAAGATCGTTGGATCCCTCTTCTGCTGATTTTGTTGTTGCAAGGACGTCCAATGTCCTATCGGCTGACGCGCTTGTTTCGGAACTCATGAATGTCGGGGAGGGTGGTTGGAACTTGAATCTGATTGGGGAAGCTTTCTCTCCCACTGTTGTTGATGCTATATTGAGTCTAGATGTTGGTCTTTCATCCGGCCCTATTTTTGGTGTTGGCACTTCACAAATCATGGGCGACACACTGTGAGATCAGCCCACCATGCCTTGATAGTCGCAAAATGATCCGTTTGCAGCTCTGCACAGAGACTCGACTCTAAGCTCAACATCATCAATATGGAAGAGTATTTGAAAGCTTAGAATACCGCCTCGCATTAAACACTTTCTTTGAGACTTTTGTTCTGAATCATTGCCTTGCCTAGAAAACTTGAACCATCGTGGTTTAATGCAACATCAGTCGTGTATCTTCTGCGGTGTAGCGGATGAATCTACGGTCCATCTCTTCTGGTTTTGTGGTTTTTCTTCGGCAATATGGCAGCTTGCTGGGCTCAGGCAGAATATCTTTTCTCTCCAACAAACTTCAGGGGTACGTTGGATTGCAACTTTACTTATGAACCTACCACACAAAGTCATGGAGCTAGTTGCAATCATTTGCAACTGTTTGTGCTACAACCGCAATAAAAAACTGCATGAAAATGTAGTTTGGTCATCTCAGCAAGTGGTTGCATCAGCAGGTTCCATCCACAAGTCGTTCCACGAAACTTATTGTTGGCCAGAACCGTCCCGACTTCTAGATCACAGCTCCTTACTTGGTAGAATTCTAAATGGCGCACGCGTATGGTTCGACAGTTCGATATCGAAACTAAAACGGGGCAGCAGGCACTGGCGTATGGTGTACAGATGTGGATGGTAACTTTATTAGAGCAAGAACTCATCGCAAATATAGCATTCAAGCCTCCTTAGTTGCTGAGATTTTGGCTCTACGTGAAGCTTTGGACCTAGCAGAATCTGAGAAGCTTGCAAGCTTTACAATTCAAGGTGATTCGATTAACGCCATTCTTGTACTACATGATGACTATCCATGTCCGTTCATTTGCAAAACGGTAGTGGAAGAAGTCCGAGTTCGCTTGGTCCGCTCATCTTGTTTGGGAGTGTTCTGGAGTTGTAGAATAGAGAATACGATAGCTCATGAGTTAGCTTTTTATGCAAAAAATAGTAGTTCTCTGTATGATTTGTGGTCTGATCCACCCCCTTTTTGTCAATTGCGACTAGGCATTTCCTAGCAAGCTAAATAAAACTTCTTATTTAAAAAAAAAAATTAATTTAGAAAACTGATGCACAATAATCATCAATACTTATGCTGAAACGCTCCCCATCATTAGATCTACAAAACCTTTGGCTCAAATTCCACATTTTGATGCCTGAAATTCGCTGCTAGAGTCGTGACTGTTCAACCCATCGCCAGATTTCGTCTTTTCGGTCGGATTTTTGGTGGCAGTCGTCGAGATTGGCATCGGGTAGTGTTAAGTTGACGGTAAGGTCGACGACATTCAGCTGACCATTCCGTTTGTAAGCGTCGACTTTGACGTCGAGTGTGTTGAAGTTAACAATCAGGTCGACGCGAGTTACTAAACTCTGTCGACTTTTGATGTCGAGGCTGACATAAAGTTCGACGGCTTTATACTGGCAACTAGCAACATTCTCTTGCAAATTTGAACCTCTTCTGTCCAAGATCAGGTTTCGACTTCCGAAGAAATATTCTAGCTCTTCCTTTCAGCTTCGCAGAGATATAAAGAGCATCAAAATCCGAGTTTTGTAACTTAAGTTACATTCCTCCAAAAATGTCATATTCAAGTTTTTTGCACACTTGAGCTTTTTTAGCATCATGGCTCATTTTGCTTTATTCAAGTTGTTTACAATGATAAAATCTGAAACATAAGTGTGCACTTTTAACTACATAAATCACAAGAAATGAGTCAAAACAAGAGAAAAACTTTATAAAATCATATGAGTTTGGCTAAGATATTGGCTACAATCATCAAAAACTAGGATTCATGGGCAAAGAAATGTGTGTGTGAAGCCATTTTCATCGGTACATATTAATCTTATTCCAACATGGAAATGGAAACATATGACTTGTTGGCCAGCCACCGAACTTTCATGAATCACCTTCTCTCTATGTGTTTCAAATTTGGCAATGTTAATCTATCTTTAATAACAACATAAATGTAGATCATTAATTCCACAAGCGCATTCGAAATATGTATTTGTATTATATTCATGACATTTTTTTATTTTTTTTCTCTAGAGCAGAATTGAGTGATGTTTAATGGTTGTATAAACGAAGTATTTTTTTCAATTATTTCTTCCGTCTCAAAATGTGATTATTGTGTTAAAAATGAAAAATATACAGAAAAAACACTACAGTGGTAAGTATGTTTTCTATTGAAGGGTGACACTTAAGCGATCCAAAAAGACGTTAAATCGCAGTGAGAACAGAACGTTTTTTGAAGTGTGGATTGTATGGGTTAAATAATTTCAGAGTGCGTTATGAAAGGGTTTTAATATCCGAAAATTAAAGGGAAAAAAAAATAATAAAAGAAAGCTAAAAAGAAATGAAACTTGACATTTGTTAGATGGGAATCGTTTGCTTTGGCTGCAGTACCCCTTTCAGCTCAGTCTCAGAGTTCCCACACAGTTTTATCAAAAATACTATCACCCATAGACCTCAGTCATCAACATCCTCGTCTACTGAGGTTCATTTCTTTCCTGCACAAAGTAGGAGTTTCAACAAACTCAGAGCAATTCTCAACATGGCGGATAATACAGGTACTCATTCCAAATCAATTTCTTACGTTGGGTGTTTGACATTAAAAAAAAAAAAGAAAAAATTCAATCTTTATATGATGCGATTGTCTCCTCATTCCCGTGTCAATTCTTTTCGGTCTTAACTACTACTTTTCAGCCTGTAATTGAACGAGTGAGAGGATGGATATTGATTTTATTGAGGCTGAAAATTCATTGCCCTTAGAGGACCCTAGCAACTGATGAAATTGTGGGAGTCACTTGATTTAAAACAAGTATAAACTGGCTAATAATTGATTCTGGACTCGATTTGGGTTCTGCAAGAGTTGTTTTTCTCTGGGCGTTTCTGGGGAATATTCGCTCTACTTTGAAGATGGTTCCAATTCGCCTGATGAAGTTCGAGAAATTTGACAAGCTGCAATTTTGGTTCTACATTTTAGTTGGATTGGAAAAAGGGACTTATTTCAGCGTCACTATGCTTTATTTTTCAACTTAAAACGAGGATGTGATCCTTTGTCATATCTCATCTAGATTTTTTGTTATGATTCTAGTTTTTGGTATACAGTTATTTGGTGCTTCATTTGGGGCATTAATTCTTTGCGTTTGAAGAGTCTGGAAATACCTTTTGGAGGTTTTGTCTCTTGCGATTCAAACAAAATTTTATAAATTGCCAGGTAATCGGATCCAGATTGATTGAAATCTTGAAATTCTATACTGATTGGCATTTTGTACCAAGTGCAGTACCAAGGCAGGAAAAGATAACTTTAAAGAACCGGCACAATGAGAAACTTGTGGGAGTGTTGCATGACTCTGGATCTGTAGATATTGTGGTCTTGTGTCATGGTTTCCGATCCTCAAAGGTAGTAGCCAGTTTCTTCTCATTATGATGCCTTTCTCCTGCTATTTAGCTTTCACCCAGTTTCATCTTATAATGCTGAGCTGGTGGAATGCCAAGCAATCCAATGTTTCTGGTTCAAAATGTCAGATGATCTAATAATGCATTTCATTTCCTGGTTTCTAATTGGGTTATAAACTATATGACTATGCAGCTTCATTGTTTGTAAATAATCTTATGAACTATGTAACCGTTCAGTACTTGTTACATATCACTAGGACTTATGTAAGTAGAATAGGCATCTATCACAGCCTCGATCATATGTGAAGTGTGAGGAAGTTGTTTGATGTTCTAGAGGATCTTCATTCTTAGTGGAAACATGATACCTCAAGGGACTCTTTATCTAGGCTTTTGCCAAATATATAATCGCAATCGGCAGTAATTAAAAGTTTTGTCATAATAAAACTGGCCCTACCCAAATCAAACTTTGTTGATTATCATGTCAAGTTTGAAGCACAGTTTTAGAGTTTAAATTAATTTGATTTTCAAACTAAAGTTGAGAATAACGAACGGAATCTGGAGAATTATTTCTGTGTATATAGAAAGCATGTGGTTAAATTGACTTCTCGATCTCTGTACCTAACTTTCAGTTGTTTATATCTTTAGGATTACAAAATGATGGTGAATATTGCTGCTGCTCTTGAGAATAAAGGAATCAGTGCTTTTCGGTTTGACTTTGCTGGAAATGGGTAAGCCTCTGATTTTATATTTTGATAAACTCTTCCTATCCGTATGCATTTGTTCTGAATTATTAGGGGTGTAAACGAGGTGAGTCGAACCCGAGTTTACCCATGCTCGAGCTCAGCTCGAGCAATTTTTAACCTAACTTGAGCTCGGCTCGAGCTCGAACGAGCCTAAATTTTTTGAGCTCGAGCTCGGCTTGATCTCTTAACAAGAAGCTCAAACTCGACTCGTAACTGGAAATAAATATGTATTATTTTTTATTTTATGTATAATTTTTTTTTTTTTTTTGCTGAAGTGTATAATATTATATATTTATATATATAATATATATTATTTTTTTTATTTTTTTTAAAAAGACTAGCTCGTTTAGCTCGACGAGCCAACGAGCGAGTATTGTTTAAACTCGAACTCGGCTCGTAGTCTTAAGAAACCAGCTCGATTCTGAAATACTTATCCATTAATTAATATTGTTAAACTGGTAGTCTGGTACCACTTAATTCCCTCAACTGCCAGGAATTAATTTTCAGTTATCATAGTAAATAGTATAGTCACTCCTTTCTGAGCAGCAGAGTTGGTCTTCAGTTCCATCTTTTTTGTGAGTTTATTTTTCTTCGTAGAAGGTATCCGACAAAATTTGCTCATTTTGTAATTGTGTTCATATGTCTATGCATCATGCTCACGGTATGCCTAATGATCATTGGTTTCCAGAGAAAGCGAAGGTACATTTCAATATGGTAACTATTGGAGAGAGGTTGAAGATGTGCGGTCTGTAGTAGAGTACTTTATTGGAGCCAACCGTAGGATAGCTGCGATTCTCGGGCATAGCAAAGGTCTACAAGTTTGCCAGTCATATATTACTATGCAGGAAAATCTTCCATATTGTTGGGCAATTTTCAAATTATAGTAAACAAAGGCTTCGTGTACATGATCATTACTCATTAGTATTCTGGATATCTCTCCATGATGCTGGATTCATTGTTATACATTTGTTTTTTTTTGTTGTGGATTAAAATGTGCACTACATAGTGAATTTGGCCGGAAGATTAGCATGCCACTTATACGATTATCTTTGCTGTCTTGTGCAGGAGGCAATATTGTGCTTCTATATGCATCAAAATATCATGACATTTCCACCGTGGTTAATGTATCTGGGCGTTACAAACTAGATAGAGGTATTGCGGAGCGATTGGGCAATTCTTTCCTGGAGAAGATCAAGAAAGAGGGCTACATAGACATTAAATCTGGTAGTGCTCAGTCATTGATCTAATTTGCATCATCGAATTCACAACGCGGTACTGCTGAATTTAACTTGCGCAGTAATGCTATGCTTGGGCTTATTTGTTTTGTGCGAGATCTTGTAACTGTTTTACAGCAAGGGAAAAACAAAATTCAAGAAATTTATTTGTATTTTGCGGTCAAAGCATTCTCCCTGCAAAATCAATCTTATTGATTTTCATATCTCATTGTGATGCTTTGTTGAAATGGCCTGGGTGCTTGTTTTATAACCAAGGAAAGTACTTAAACAAAAGGAAGATAGAGAGGCTTCTAGAGAAATAGTTTCTGGTGGGGAATATCTCATCAGTTAAAGTTTCTATTCATCAGTTCTTGGGGTTGATTTAGTTCAATGACTAGTCTCAGTGTCATGTTTGCATTGTATTTTTCTTGCTACACAGTACTTAGTTTCTACTTACTAAACGTGTTATCTTCTGAAGCCTAAATGTTTGCCCCATGAGAATTCTGAAAGAAAAGATAAAGTTACAAAAATGAAAAAAAAAAAAAAAAAATGAAAGAAAAGAGAACCTGGTGAGCTGTTTTTCCATCCAAAATCCTTCCTCTTAGTTTTGTTTTTCGCTACGTAGTCCCGCTACAGTTTTTTCTTTTGTCTCCTTTTAGTTCTTCATCTTCCCCGTTAGGATTGAATTGTATTCTCAAGTCATGATTGGGAAATGAACTCAGGCAACCCTATCATGCATATGTTCCTGTTGTTGATGAGGACATGTTTTGGCTTGTTGGTGAGTGTGAGCTGAATATATTTCTTTTACCTTAATGGGTGATAACTGAATTGATAGTTTAAATGCCTATTTAGTTTTTTTTTTTAAATAAAAAAGTCATATGAATCAGATATCTTGCAGAGCACTTGGATGTCTAAATCTACTGAAATGCGAGGTTTGCAAGCTCCTTTTAGAATTTCATCAGTATGGCTTGACAAACTTCTTTCACTTTTCAGGTGGTGATAGCTACCGTGTGACAGAGGAGAGCCTGACGGATAGGTTGAATACCAACATGCACGAGGCGTGCCTTCAAATCGATAAAGAATGCAGGTATCAGTACTGAGTTGCATAACCTAAAGTTTATCCACTTTAACAAAGTATAAATATTGCAAATTGACAAGTTGCAAGACCAGGACTTGCTGGTGTATGTCGTCAACTTCAAAGATGAGTCATTAAAAGGTGTTAAGTGCTGTGATAGCTAAATTAAAATATGGAGTCAAATGCCAACCCAAAGGCACTTGATTTGCTTCATTAATCTATATATAACATAATTTAATCCTTGTGTTCCTCTGTCATTCCCATCTGTCCTCGAATTAATCAGGTCTGGTGCACTGTTAATGCGAATGCTTTTATCTTCTCCTTGTACTTTGTTTTCACTATTATTGTGCTTGTAGGGTGCTAACAGTCCATGGATCTGCCGATGAAATAATTCCTGCTGAAGATGCCATGGAATTTGCGAAAAACATACCAAATCATACATTGCACATCATTGAAGGTGCTGATCATGGCTATAACTCTCATCAGGCTGAACTGATTTCTATTGTTTTGCCTTTTATTGAAGAAGGCCTGCAGCAATCCAAGATTCATTGAAAATGATACTCTCTCTCCGTCCCAAAATTATTGACCAGTTTGAGATTTCACTTTTAATACAATTTGAACTAAAAATGAAAACCTAAACTGGACAATAATTTTGGGACGGAGGGAGTACTTATAGATTTTCTTCCGCCAAGCTAAATGGCAACATTATATAAGAAATTTCTTATTTGTAATCCCTTACTGTCCTTTTTATAAGGCGAAAGGGCTAAAGTATCACTCGATTACAACTATAGATGAAGAAGATTATGCTTTTTAGTGTGGGTATATACGGTATTATATTACATATAGTTGATTCCAAAGTAATCCAAACCATTAATGAACAAAAAATTGGACAAAAAGCGCGATTACTCTGCATAACAAGCACAATGAAAAACTTGTGGGAGTGTTGCATGACACTGGGATCTGCTGATGTTGTGGTCTTGTGTCATGGTTTCGGATCCACATAGGTAGTTGGTATTTCTTCTCATTATGACTTACTTCCGCTATCTAGTTCCCACCTTGTTTCCAGTTTGAAAACCACAAAATAAATGTTTGCTAAGTTTGTAGAAGTCATCTGATTAATTTGCTAAGTTTTGTAAATGTGTTCTTATCTTTATGCATTATTGCTTACCGATAAATGATCATTGTTTTCCAGAGAAAGTGAAGGTACGTTTCAGTATGGGAGCTTTTCATATGAAAGGAGGATAAAGTGTTTTAGGGAGTAATTCTCTGCTAAGATGAGGACTATCTCATCTATAAATAAAAGTTGTATCCCAACATTATGGTGTAGATGTTTTCTGGAGCCTAAGTATCTGCGTCATGAGAATTGGAAAAAGACAAAACTACGATAGTAATTAACCTGGTGACTGATGGGCTGTTCAATACATTCTCTCGTGATGTCTGCTTTTCTATTTTTTTTCCCGTTACTTTTTCATCTGGTGTATTTGAAAATGGAACTTCATTTGCAAGTTTTGAAGGGGAATGAATTCCTGCAATTTATTATTACATGCATGGTCTCTGTTGTTGACGATGCTAGGTTTTTGGCTTGTCGGAAGTGTAATTGTATATATACAAATATCGAGTGTTTCCTTGTGAGGCCCTCTTCAAAATTAACAATCCTCCCCACGGATGTGATAGGTCTCCAAATATTGCTCTTCACCTTCATCCTGGATAAAAGGATTGAATACCGTAAGCAATGAAATCTAAGTCAACCAGACCAGTAGAGACATAATTAACAGTTTGATATGGTGCAACGGATGTTAAGTCCATCAACTCCATTCCACATAAAAACAGTTAAAGATCTGAACTAGCAGATAAAGTGACAGCAGATAAAGTGACATGATTAATACAATAAGAAAGCAGGGAGAAGAGCGAAACTAGATTAGAATTGCACACCCTCTCTCTATTGAGAACTAAAGGAACCACCGACATCACACTTGGGTAAATAAATTTTGCGCCAGCTGAAGAAACGCACAAAGAAGTAGTCAAGTTGTTTAACAAGTCCACTAAAATTAACGCCGAGAACTGCCAGGCTTGTCTAGTCCTCCACAGATTTTCACAAACATGACCAACACAAAGCAATTCAAGGGATATCAGAAAACTTAATGCCTCTTACTTCTTGCAAATCTTGGTCATCATCTGAAGCATAATCCACCCTAGAGGATAAAGTCTCCTCATCAATCTCCTTAATAGTTTTCATATGTTCCTGTAACAAAGAAATTTAATTCCCCCAAAAGTTAGAAATGTCTCCACATTTCCATATTCTTACGATAAATAACATTCACAGAAGAAGACGCTTACTAGCTCAGACTTCAGATCCGCAATTTTTCCTTGCAACTCTGATACGTGACGCTTAAGTGCCTGGTAAGATTTCGAGTGAGATACCCAAAAAATGCTGATCTCAATACTATTACTTTTTTAAATCATCCAAAAACATGAACTTAAAATTTTTTTTTTTTTTTTAAGACAATCAGATGCCATTCAAGAGATTACCTCACGTCTCTGAAGCTCAATTGCACGAGCTAATGCTTGCCTTCTTGTCAAAAGATTTTTGGGCCTGCATATACTAGGGCGATCATAATTCTTCCCTCGATACACAATTATGGCATATCCTTTCGTGGTTTTATCCACTGATACTAAAACCCCACCACTCTCAGCCTCGAGAGAAATAGCAATGTGTTTGACCAGAGGAAAGCTTTTCCTTTCCACAATTATCTTTACGAGCTCTCGGAACCTCCAATGCAGGTGCATATTTTCTATGACACCATCAAAGATCCCTCTCCTCCCTGAAAACAGAAAGTAATACAAGGTCACGGGATTTCATCGTCAAACAATCAATAACACACACACACACACACACACAACAACAACAACAACAACAACAACAACAACAACAACAACAACAGCAACAACAACAACAACAACAAAAAACCAGCAAGGCAAATGTTGCATTGAAGTGACAAGGAAAGTGAAGGATGATAAGTTCGACTTCCATGCTATAAAACACATTAGTTCATAACGCATTTAGGATATAAGAAGAGCTCATCTGCAGACCACTTTCTGACAAAAATTGTTTACCTAACTCCAAATAAGGTTTCATGCTGAGACCAACTTTTCTGAATAAAAACCGTTCTTCATCTGTTATGGTTTCCAAATCAGTAGGTAACTCGTTAGGTTTTAGATTTTCCTGCACTTTCAAGAGAGCCCGCTCAGCCTTTGTTATCTTCCCTTTTGCCTGTAACATCATAAGGCAGAAGTAGAATCAGCTACCCATGAGGGTTCCAGCAAAAGCTATATGTATTGCAGCTACATAATAAGACAGTTCTACTTACAATGGCTAGCTTGTTCTCAAGAAATTTAACCAAAGAAGCATGTCTTGCTACAGCTGCTTCTCTCATCATTTTCTCCAGCTCTTCATTGCTTGGCCGGTTGGCCCACCGTGAGGTTGCTGCCTGTGTTTCGGACAAAGTTCCTGCAACTAAAGGTCCTTTAGCAGTTTTGATATTTGAATTGAGCAGGACCAGGGCTTTCTCACGAGCTTTTTCTTCCTCGTCATGTTGTGAACCGCTCCTTTTCTCAGTTTCCATCAGTGCTTGTGTCACATTTGTTGTCAAGAAATCATTTCCCCTGTAAAAAACGATGTATTCTTTGTTTCTTGACACTAGTGTACCCCCAGTTAACACCTACGTGAATTATGTTACAGTGTAGTCAGTAAGAAAGATCACACCAACCAACAAAACTATTATGTCCAAAAAGCATGCCAGCTCGGTAAACTATTGCGGATAACAAACACCTGCAAGGCCATCACTACTAATATGAAACTGTCTTTACTTCTAGAATAAATTTCAGCTTAAGCTATTTTATGTAATTAAATGTGAGATAAGGGTGTAATAAAATAGGATAGAGAATTCTTAACTTGAGAATAGAGCTAATTCAAAAACTTCAAAATACACATAAATGCTTGTAAGTTGATAGTACAGTATGAATATTAGCATGAACGTAGGTAGGGTTTAATTTATCGAACCTTGAGTTCTTCTGCCATTCTATCATTACGAGTATTCAATACACCACGTTTTATGGCTATCTTAGCTATGGCACTCTTCTCCCATAACTTTACCATGGCTGCAGCCAGCCCTTCCAGCTCTCTATTTCTTCCTGAGTAGTTTGAAAAGCATACATAACATATAAGCACCATTCTGAATACATGATTAAAAAAATGATCAAACACCATTTTACACATACCGAGGGCAAAATGTGGAGGTAAACCTCTAGCAGTCCTACGTAGAAACGTCATTTCATTGTCACGTAAATTCTGTCTAACCCCAAAAGGAAGAACTCTAAATGGAGGCTTGTACCCACGAACAACAGCAGGTAACAAGTCCGCATCAACAGGCAGTGGCTCAGGCCCTGACCAGTCTCTAAACCTTGGACCGAGTTCATCCAAAAGTTGGCTCAGCTCAGTTAGATTTCGGAGTTCTTTTCCAGATAGTTGGTTCAAGTACTTTGAAGATTCATTTCCGGATGTTTCACCAAGTCCAGGACCATTGTTGATCCGGAAATTTCGGGTAACATTGTTAGACAAAGCTACCGAAGATTCTAATTCTTCTGCATTTTCTTGAGCTTGTATAGTATATGATTTCACACAATCAAGTTTGTATGCCATTCCTCTGTACAACACAACTGAACTGCCGGATCTCCAAATAACCAAACCTCCTGTTCTACTCTGACACAATACACAGAAGATAAACGTCAAGAAGATTTCGGTGCCAAACCCAACTCATAACCATTAGCAAAGTGACAACATTTCAATTAAACCATGCCAACAATACTAAATGGCAGATAATTCAGTATGAATTGAGGCAAAAAAAAAAAAAAAATACTCACCTCTAGAGTTTCATGTGTCCTCTTCATGTTCATTGCAGGAGGGCCTTCAAATTTCAACTTCACCACTTCATCCACCTTCCATTTCTCATGAATAGAGTCCACCAATGACTGCGTTATACCGGCTGCCCCAACTTTTATCCTTTCCACCATCCTCAAAGACACATTCCTCAGTCTTTTCAATTCAGGCTCCGGTATCATTTTCTCTGCCATCTCGGTATTTCTGTTTATCAACTTTCTAACTTCATCAGAATTTTTATCACTCTCGCTCACCCACGGCAACGGCACAGAACTACTAGCATCCATTGAATCCTTTTCGTCCAGTAAATGCCGAAAAATTTCCACCTCATTACTTTCATCAATTTCGTCCCCTTCATCATCCCCATTGAACAAAACTTTATCTTTCTCTGATAATCCAATTGCGGTATCATCATCCTTGGAGCCATATCCTCCAATTTCCTTATCAACATCAATTTTTTCCTCCAATTCCAAAACCTTAGCATCCTGAGTAACAGTAGTGAAAGCATTGCCCGTTTCTGTATCTTGAATGGTTTTAATTGAGCTTCTATCTTCATAATCAATCTGGGTTCCCTTCCTCTGCTTATTTCCACGAACCCAAGGAGGTAAAATTGCGTTTCCAGCAATAACCACCGCAGAGCTCTTTCCACTTCTCACAGACTCAGACACAATCAAATTGGAATGCGGCTCATTTTCCTCTTCAAGTTCTTCGATTGCATCAATAAGCTCCTCCGCTTCTCCTTCAGATTCTTCAGCTTTTTGCTCTTCCCATGGGAGTTTATCAACGAAAAGAGTAGTTTTCCGGGACCATTTTTCTTGAACCTGGTCAAGGAAGCTTGGTCTGGGCTTTCTCTTTTTCTTCTTGGGTCCGGGGATATTTTGCTGGGTGCCAATTTCCACTGTTCGGGCAGAACAAGAGATTTTCAACCTTTGAATTCTGAAACTGTTCAACGATAGGGGAATCAAATATAGATGATGTGAAAAAGATGAAGACGGGAACGGAAATGGAGGCTGGGGAAGATAATTCAATGGCGAGGATGGAGAAGCCATACTCGGGGATGATTAGAATGACAGAGGAAATGTAATACAGAAGAAACTTGTTGGGCTTCGTAATTCTTCACTATAGTAGAGGCCCAATTTAAGATGTTGTTCAAACCAATGGGCTTGGATACTTACAGGTTACATTTTTTGGTTGGCATAACACATTTGTAAAATTTCCAGAATGTGCATAATCTTGTCTTTATTTTACTTTTATTTTCTTCATTGGGTTTACAAGAGGGAGCATATTTATAAACAAAAAACTATGAATACTTAGGTCATACTTAAGTGTTAATATACTCAATCAAGAAAACTTACATGGGCTGATTGCGAAGTATTTTGGGCTTTTACAAAGTCTCCATTTGGGCCATATAAATTTTCCCTTGAAAGAAAATCGAAAAATAATGATTCTTTATTAGTTTTCTGCAACTAACTTTATAATAACACTTAATTTGAAACTCTTTACTGTAAGGTATGAGTAATTTATTGGAAAAAAAAAAAGGAAGAGACAAAACTTCAAGATTGGTTGCCTCTGAAACCAGCGGCTTCGGCAGCCATGGCCATGCAATCCAACATAATGCGCAGCATTAAGAGGACATAATCATTAAACCTAATGATACGTACTATTGATTGATTTTGTCTCCTCAACTTTTTTTTATGTTCTATGAAGAATCAAATATATGTATAAGAATTGAACTTTTTCCAGGCAGCTGGCTGCAGCAATCCCTTTAATTGGTAGAAATCCTATACCAAATCAGCTCACAAAAAGGTTTGATCAATTTACGGCTTGTCACCACTTCCTCGTGTGAACGGCTCCTAAATTATTACTCAATCTATACTTTTTACCGTCCACATGAGGAAATTTCATGCAAATTGCCTACTTTTTTTTTAAGAAAGGAGTTTTCGGATTTTTAACCTTTTAGGAAAGTGGGGAAACCACATTGCATTTGATTTCTAATAATTTCCGAATATATAATTTTATTTTTATATACAAACAAAGAAATATAATTGGACCAACTGAGTTTGGCACAAGTGGTAAGCAGCTTAATGTCGCTTAAGCAAAGTCTCGGGTTTAAAATCTTGTGGATGCAAAAAACTCTTGTTGGGAGACTTACCCACCACAGCCAGGTGTGCGACCCAGGTCGACCAACGAATTAGTCGGGGCAAAACTCCGGAAACCGTGACAGGCAGCCGAAAAAAAAAGAAAAGAAATATAATTGGGGTTGCGCGCTACATTCAAAATGTTACATTCGGAAATGGTTTGTTTCTTGGTTGTTTACTAAGGGCATCTCCAATCCAAAGCTCCTCTAAACTCTATATTTAGAGTTGAAACAATGAGATCTCACTACTTTTACAGTTTAAACAGTGTCAGTATCTCCAACCCATTCCCTCTATAAATTCCCTCTAAAAGGAATATTCTTAGTATATTTTATAATTTATTTTTTTTTGTAAAACTAAATTTTATTATTTGTATTTTATTCTATTCTATTACTAAAATAAATTACATTTAAGAAATTTTATAATTTACGCATATGATCGTTAATTTAAATAATAATTAGTAATATTAATTATTAAATTTAAATTACATAATTTTTATATAATTAATTAATAGTAATTTTTTCACCATATATTATGCCAAATAAATAAAATTACAAATAGTAAAATAACAAAAATGTAGGATGTGCGTTTAAATGCGTTTAAATAAAATTACAAATAGTAAAATAACAATAATTAATTAATAGTATTTTTATTTTATTTTTTTTATTTTGTGAGTTTAAATGATGTACTTATTGTATAATTTAAGTTTATAAATAATCAAAATAATGTATTTGTTTTGATTGTTTGTAGTTTCTTTTTATGTGATTTTATTAATAATAATATGTGTCTTATGATTTTATAATAAATCAACAATGGTTACTTAGTCCATATTAAAATACACATACATATATTTACTATTAAGACTTAAGTTCACTCATTAAAATTTTTATGATAATTATGATTATTAATTTTGAGTTCTACAACTTAAATAATAATTAAGAATGAAATAGATATGTTTTAAATTATAATAATTAAATTAATTAAGATGTAAACTATTAAAAAGGTTAATAGTTACAATCCAAAATAAAAAATAAAAAAAACGGCCCAAGCAATAAAAAGCTCTCTAGCGGGAAGAAAAAAACATATTGTGAGGGAAAAAAAAGTTTATTTGCTTCTTCAGTGAAATAGAGAGTTGTTACAAATTAAGGAGCCGAATATTCAATAAAAGGATTTTGTCCAATCTACAATCTCTACCTAACTCAAGAACTGCTCTGGGAGACTGATTAGTGCCTATCTGCCTATCTATCTATCTAATTGATCTCTATTAATCTCAATTGAAAATTCTTTGCCCTGGAGACAGTATCATTTTCGGGTCAAACCGAGCTTTTCTTTCCCGAAACGTGTTCCATTTCGATCCGAAATGGTTCTCCCAATCTTCCTCAGTTTTGTAATGTGGAAGATATTGCTTAATTTTGATACCATTTTCTTCACAAAACTCTAATATCTCGTTGTTTTGGTCATCCAAAGCCTTCCAATCTTCATCATTTCCAGAATGCAAAAACCCCACACAGTAAAATGTGTCTTCTTGTGGTGTCACAGCAGACATTCTATCATCCCACCTATTAAAATTAAACACCCCAAAAAAAAATAATAAAAAATTAGTCCCATATTTATACTAATGATGATTAATCTCTAAATGGAATAATTAGTGAGGATGTCAAATTTAAGGATTACTTTTGCTTGGTTGTTGGGTAGACAAGAATGGGTCCGGCGGACTTGTTTTGTTTGAGGAGGATGTCGACGAAAACGCCGGCATTAAAATCCATAATACCAGATTTTGGTACAAATAGATTCAGCCATGGATGTGGAACATCCCATAATCCTTTGGATTGAAGCTTCAACTCCCCATATCGAACTCGATTCAGGAAATCCACATAATTTTCATCTCTCTTGAATACAAAGTCGGGCATATATTGCAAACCCTCCATCAAATTTTCAATTTCCTGTAAGAAAATTTAAAAAATTTAGCGTCAACATTCCTTAGCATTTTAAATAAATGAGTTCCCTCCATCCCATTGTTTTTTTTTAAAAAAAAAAATTAGTCAAGTTTCAGTTCAATAAACGTTTTTTTTTTTTTTTTAAGACAAAAAGAGTGTTTGTGATGTAAAAACAAGGTACACTAGCTAGCTAACCTGATCAACAGTTTGAGCGGTTTGGTCATCGTAATACTTGACAACTTCTAAGCAGTAGAGAATTCCTTGTTCGGATAACAAGGAATTAATTTTGGACTGATGAGATTCGGAGAAAAATGATGATCTCCAGTTGTTTGGAGGGCTTTGTCGCATGATTAAGGAACCTTCTACGTAGTCGGGGCCATTTTTGGTAACTGAAATTAGATATTCTTGGTCTCTTGTAAAGCTGGAGAAATCTTGGTACAGCATTCTCAACCATTTAACCTGCAAAAGAATAAAAAATAAAATCAATTTTCGCAATTAAAAAACGTAAAAGAGCTTTGCTTTTTTTGAACTTTTAATCTAAGCGAACTCATAAAGTATCTTTATTAATGGATTAGTGCACTGTCCTTTTCATTTTAATATCTTGATCAGATAATTTTAACATATTTTATGTGAAAAAAATAGCTAAGTATGTTGTCGTTTTTATTTTATTTCATGCCTTTCATGTTTGATCTAGACATGTTCTCAAATCGACTTGTACCGCGAAGTTGACAACACCCAAAAGTGCATTAAGACAATGACACTAAATCATGACCACTATTAGACAGCTTTTTAGTTCATTTCGTGCATGTCATTGTTTTTTTTTTTATATTTTCATTGTCCAAAACCGTTTTCTTCTTTTCTTTTCTTTTTTTTTTAAATTTTTTTTTTTTTTGGTAGTTATTATTATCACTATTATTTGATTGCAAAACAAGGTGAATACGTACTCTTGTAGGTGCTTTGTCCAACACAATTCTAGCCCTTGTTATGATTCCAAACTGGCCAAGGCCTCCTAAAACTGCATAAAATAACTCTGAGTTGATATCCTTGGAGCATGTCACCAGCTGCCCTTTTCCTGAATCAAAAGCAAAAAAAAAAAAAAAAAATTAACAAAAAAAAAATCAATTCAGATGAATTAACAACCTAAAAAACTGCAAACAAACAGGAGAGCCAACTCAGTTCATGCAAAAGAACTATTCTACTTCGTGAATGATGTCTTTAAGATTCTCTTCAAGAGAAAGAAACAAAAAAGATGGTAGTGAGGACCTATAAATTAGAGAAGTTAACCAAACACATGCAAAAGCTAGCTGTTCTCTTTTTTGCAAAAAACAACAAAATAATTCTCACAAAAAATAACGTTAATTTAGATCGAATAATGCCCACATTTTAGATCTTGTTCTCCCATGTATTAAATCGATACTCGAGATGTAAAAACATTGTATAACATTGCCGAATCATATTACTTCTCTTAGTACAAAAAAATCTTGCTAAGATCTTACCCAAAAAAAAAAGAAAAAAAAAACCCCAATCACATTAGCAAAGTAGGACGACACGATAAAGCCCGTACGTTGAACAGTGACTTAGAAATTGACAATGAGATATAGCCATGCAATGACAAATGACGGTAGTTTAATGAACATTTTGTTTTTGGTGTATCAACAAATAAGGAGTCAAATTGGACCAACTTCAGTTTTGTCTAAGTTGGAGGTGTTTTTATCAATCAACTTGAACTTCTTCTTTCTAAAAGAAAAAGACAGAAAAGGGTTTAATCTAGTGACGGAGAGAAACATTGGACTAAACTCAAAAGGATTTAGTTCAATATCAAAGATCAAGCAAGAAAAGATTGATAGCTCCTAATTGTAATTATTATCAGGGTATAATATTGTCCAAATATCGTGTGTATCAACCATATCCTATTAGTGAAGCAATACTAATTCATTAATAAGACACAATCCGCACACAATAAGTGGCACCAAAAAAAAAAAAAAACCTTTGTTAGACAAAAATTAAGTTAAATTAGAATAAATCAATTAGTGGAATAATTAATTTATAGTACCCGTGACAACATCGAGTTCAAGAACATTGCTGATCTGAGGGCCATATCGGAAGGATTGGCCGCTGATTCCACCATTGGAGAGAGTACCACCGACAGTAAGGTACAAATAATCCGTCCATGACAAAGGTGATAATCCATACTCCCTTGTCTTTCTCAACACATCAATCCAAAGCTCTCCACCTCCAACATCTGCATAATACCCTAATCTAGGGTTCCAACCCACCACCACATTATAATCCTCCTCCTCCGCCAGCTTCCTCCTCCGATCAGGGTGATTCCGGCCACCGTAATTATTATAACTACTACTTAAAGAACCCATCTCAACCACCACTCCATTCCGGGCCATGGCTTGTCCCCGGACCGAGTGGCCGTGCCCTCGGGCGGCTATATTGAAAGGGACGGATGAATTGTACGACAAGTTAACGATTTGAATGATATCGTTAACGGAAGTTGGATAAAGAACTGCCGATGGGATGTCATGATGAATTTTTCCGAAGTCGGATGAAGCTGTCCGGATGGAATCTGAGTCGACCCGGAACTTATAAGAATCAAACATATCAAGAGAAAGAAATTGATGAGCATATGTCGTTGTGAGAGTGTTTGTATTCCATGGTTTTACTCTTGCTAAGATTGAAACTATACGGCTTATGATGCACAAAATCGTGAAATAAAAGGGTATCAAATAGGAGGACTTTGCCATATTTTCTTTCATCTTTTTACTAGAAGAGAAAGAATTGGAATTGGAGTACTTGTAAGGAATGAGGGGAGAGAATAGAGAACAGAGGAGGGGTATTTATAGAATGGAAACATTGGAATGTTTGGATTTTTTATTTTTTTTTTAGTGTCTGTCTTTAACCTTTTTTTTTTTAATGTAAAAAAGTGTGTTAAAAAAATGTAAAAAGGTATGTTAATGAGACAGTTATTAATAAATTAAACTGAAAAAACTATTAAAAAAAAAGCAAACAAACAGAGCCACATTTTTGCATAAATTTACATAGATACGAGGATGTGGGGAAAATCTTTTGGGTGACAGAAAGAAATCTTGACAAACTGTGGTGGGATTTATTTTATTTTTCCGTTCAAAGATTCGATGAGACAAGACTCATGATTCTTTGGCTTTTGTTACTATCGCCATGACTTCCTCATTTTGCAAAATCTTTCAATTTAAAAATTATTTTGGGTTGTGGGTTAGCAACTTCTGTGGTATTAATAATTAGACTTGTTTCACGTTTTCATACGTGTTTGTGATTTGTGATTGTATCATTATGCCGATTTTTTTATTTTTTAAAATTGTAGTTAGTTTTTTAAGAGAAGGGCATGAGCAGCCACAACAGCCACCCATGGTTTCAGAAGTTCTTGTGGGCCAAGAAAGAAAAAAGAGTTCAAAATAAGAAAGAGCTGGCCGCTGATTGTCTAGCTGGCCATGGATGATCAACTCGATTGGGAGTTAGGATCCTAATTAACTCAACCCGTTAGTTAGTTGTCCCGTGGGCTAATAACGCCATGATGTAATTGGAATATCATATACTCGTATTGTTTTTATATGACTTATACTTACGCTTTGGGGCAGAGTCAAGTGTGGCCAGCCGGTGCGGTGACACCCCTCGGTTTTGAATGTTTTTAATAATTATTATTAGTCATTGAGTAAAAATATGATTAGTCCATTTTTCCGCACACCTTTTGGAAATTTTATTACATTAATTAGAAGCATTTTAATTTATTTCTTTGCAATTTAAAACATACTTTTTTTTTCCTATACTCCATATTTGTAAACTAAAAAAGGAAATAGCAAAACGGTACCAAAAAAAACTAATTGATAATGATGTAAAACAATTAGTAACAGTAAAAAAGTAAATTCACCAGATTAAAGAACTCCAAAATAAGTTTTTAGGTTGAAATTTTATTATCATGATGATCGAATCTATCTAACAGTTGAATTGTATGTTCAGATAAATTTGGAATGACAAATTTTTATTAAATCATTTTAATCATACTGATGTTTTTTCTTGTAATAATGGTTTTAATATCGTGTACCTCACCCAAAGTAAATCTAAAGAGCTATATCTACTGTTGTCGCAAAAGGTATATAAAATATAAATGAGTTGGTTTTAAATAATTTGTCATAGATTTTTTTTATGAGGAAAAAAATTGTATTTTGACATGTTTTTTTAATACCTTAATTTTTCCGAAGTAGTAAGTATTTTTTTATGTGAAATTAATTCTGCACTCCCTAGTTCAAAATCTTAGCTCCGCCAGTGCTTACGCTTCCATTGTATGTACCAACAATACAAAAGAAAGAATTGACCATCTAAACTGTATGTTTTATGTGAATATTCTCGTGAGATAGAATCCAAAGTAACAGTGATCAACCAAGCTGGTAAATCAAGTAATTAGCAAGTAACATAAGCTAGATATTATAAGATGTTATTAAGTAATAAATCATCTTCCAGCATGATAGTATTTCGGGCACCGAATATTGCCTATTTATGTAGTGGAATAGTTATAACCACCAAGTTGTAGACTTTTGTTTTTTAATGGAAAATCCAGGATTCGGGGGAAAGACTTGGTGAGATTTTGAATTCGGGTGTAAGTAGTAGTAGTAGTGTGGGAAAAAAGGAGGGAGAGTATTAGGTTTATTTTTTTGTTTTTTTTTGTTTTTTTTCATATTGGCAGGGTGTCCACGGTAACAGTGACTAATCCCCTCACTAAATTATAAGTATCTTAATGCGTAGGACAGTTGGCCAAAGTATTTAAGATTGCTTTATATCCATGATGAGGTTCGAATTCTCGATCTATAGTTAAGGGTGGAGGAGTCTCTTTCACTCTAGTGCAACTACTTTGGTTAGAGTATTAATTTATTTGACCACCAAATTACACCATTGAGAAATGTTGCATGCATGTTCTATTTGAGAGTTGATTACACAACTAACAAAAATGGCTTTACTTACAAACGCACTTACATTTGTAAAACACGATCTGACGACTTTGGTCGACTAGGACCAACGTTTTTTTCTTCAGGTCAACGAACTTGTAAGTTTCTTTATTTTCTTTTTTCTTTACTGAAATAGTGAGATAATCCATAGTTATTAGTAATGCAGATGCAATAATACAATACAGATCCAAAAAAAAAAAAAAAAAAACAGGGTAGAAAAAACCCCGTAAAATACAATAAATAGAGCCACAGGCAGAAGATTTTTCCTTTTTCCTTATTAGGGTATGAGGAAGTGACAGCCATAATTAGGTATCCATCAACAGAATCTTCAAAATGATCATTAAGATTCGATAGAAATTCTAATGCATCAAGGCAATTTTCTGGTTAATATACAATATATACGAATCATAAGGAAAAAAGTAGGGAAAAGGAAACATCATGAAGATTTCTATCTCCATTTTCAAGATCTTTTGTAGGTATATTAGGCAACACAAATACTTGAAAGGTCAATACGTGACCATAATTACTGAGCCCATCTTGTCTTTTTAATCTTCTCCTAACGCAATCAACAAGGCATCGAATATTTGAAGAAATCGTCAATATTTGAAACATCAATGAATCTTTCCCTGAAATTTCATTTTTTTTCCCCTTATTTATTTATTTATTTGAAAGGATAAAAATGATTCTCCATTTTTTCCCCTAAAGTGAATCATCACCAGAAAAAAAGGAGATACATTTTAACATACGCATGAAATTGATATTGGAAGAAGGATATATATAATTGGGCAAAGCCCTAGGTTTAATATATCACTTTCTCTATTCCAAAAAAATAGTGCACGTTGAATTTTCAAATTTGTACTATTTCTAAGTATAAATCTCAAAACTTAATGTAATTTATTTTATTTTTTCGGACAGAGGATTACATTTTTGGGACACTATACCTTAATTACTTTATAATTTAGCCATGGTCAATGCTCTAACTATGTCCGGAGGTACCACTAATTTTCTCTGTATCGAAATGAAATATATATCACTGTAAATATGATCGATCTTGACTGTCCACTCCCTTAACAAGATCATGTGAGATTTTAAAAATGGGAAGAAACAAGCCAATCCAATGAACACGTTCAATATGTCGGGAGTACATTTGAGAAACATCCATAGTGGTTAGAAAAGTATCAACAGCCGAGTCCAATTTCAATTCCTCGGTTCAATTCCAGCCACTGTTCTTAGTTTCTCAGGTTGCAAGCAAAAGATTTGGGCAAATAAGAAAATTTTTTTCCTAACAAAATATATTGACTCCCATTTTGTTCAACTCGTGATCTTTGACCATTTGACTACTCAAAGATCACCCAAAAAAAAAAAAAAACTCAGGAAACGAGTAGGAAATATATGGTGTGGGCTCCTTTAGCTAAGAACAACACATATAATAATGTGAATAAAACTCCTTCCGTTCCATAACAAGTGTCATATTTGTTATATGACAAAGTATATAAATTTTATTATTGGAGCATAAATTATTCAGGATCGAACTAAAACTTATTATTTTACAACCAAAAATGTCATTTGTCAGACCAATTATGAGCACTAGCGAATTACTCTTCATACTCCTTTATTTATCGGTTGAGCCTGAATTATTTCCCGTCTCAAAATAAACAAATTAATACAGTTCAATCAATAAAATCTCTTATTTTGCGGGTTAGAAGTATGAGTTATTACTTTCGTGCATCCAATATAATTCGGCCCTATCAATGAAAGATTATTGAATCATGCATGCAGTACGAAGAAAGACTTTTGGACCTTTTGGTCTACTCGTATGTCTTTGGCAAGAAAATTTTTACACGAAAAACTTAAATAAAAATCTCAAAGTCATATGAACTGAATCTAAGAGTCTAAAACGGGTTACGTACGTTTGAGGCAGGTTCGTGAAAAATTAATAAGCATCCCTTTCCATATGAGGAAATAGTTGCTTACTTTACTAAGGAAAATGTATTTTTATGAAACAAAAAGAAAAAGATACGATTTTATTGTTTCGAAAACGAAACGATACGAACGACGACTTTGTTTTAGTCTTTCTCCAGATATACCGTGGTCCATCTAAATATATTTTTGGTAAGAAATTTGTGTACAATACTATTTGATAGCTCAAAATGTGTGTGTGTGTGTGTGTGTTTTTTTTTTTTTTTAAATTTCATGTCTTAATAACATAATAAATTCTACTCAATCTCCGAGCGTTTTACGTAGATGAAAACAAAAATATGATCTCGATTGGAAAATAGAGAAATTGGTTTTGCTTATTTATATGGTTGCTGGCTAGAAGTAAAAGAATAAGCATGTGCTCTATGGCTTCTTCATTCAAATGCCTATACACAACTTATATCAATCACTCGTCAAAAGGAATTGTTGAGTATCTCAACAAACCAATCATTTCAAAATCGAGAGAATATATATTAAAAAAAAAAAAAAGAAGATAAAAAATAAATAGATTACAAAACGTTAAACGTAAATCATACTTATTCATAAAATTATGTGGTCTCGTGATCTCACTATGAACATTCATACATGGAAGTTACACAAAATTATTCATAGATGAAGTTTCATACATGAAGTTTACTCAATATCTAAATGTTGGATGCAATTAATGTGAGAATTTTTCATATGTACAAAAAAACTGTAGAGCGAACCGGGAGACAAATGGCCGTGCAAAGGGAATATGGGTCAAGCTGGGGGACACCACTTTTTTTTTGTAAGATAATGAAGATGAGATCTTCATGGGATCAGACATAGCTAGCCCACCCTGATGCTTCCCTCTGGTCCATGGATTATTATTAATTAGCAGTCCCCCACCACCACCACCACCAAGAGATTAACACAGTGCAATTAATCATGGCCGGAAATATTTTCCATGGGAACGTCGAGAAGGAAGGTAGAGAAGTACAACTCAACCATAATTAATTCCGACAGACAACACTGTCAAAATGCACAGTTTTCTGTTTTAAAAAAATAGTCCATATCGAGTTTTAAAATTTGTAATAAAGTTAATAACACGAGAAGAAACATAAAAAATATAAATTTGAAAATTTAATGTTGACTAAAATTTTGGGACAGTGAAAAGTATATGTTAAAAATCAGCACATTGTTTGTTGTGTGGGCCTATCGATGATTTATGCACCGATCGGAAAAAGTATATGGCGACATATGATTCATATAGCCGACTCCACTTAGTGGGAAAAAGACTTGTTGTTCTTGTTATTGTTTGTTGTGTGGCCCTCAGATTATTTTTAATCTTTCGTTCATCAGCTTCTAATGTGGGATTTTATAGTCCTGAAGCCACAATTAATCCCAATATACAATGATTTTGGTTTTGATCGGTATTGGAGATAATTATGGAATGTAGAAACACAAATCTTATTATGGAACTGAAGAAATAACTGCAAAAGTTAATTTGAATCCGCTGTCGAAATCTCTTCCTTTACGTACCTTAATGCATGAAACAATGCACCACCACCAAGAAAAACAACAGAAAAAGTGACGTGAACTACCAAATGTCTATATCAACGGAGAAGCATCACTTTCGGGGCAAAACCATCTTTTGAAGATTTTTATCTACACTGCAACGTTGGCCATAAATACTGCTAAAATTGGACAGAGAAAGCAAATCTAATAAGCTGGAAAGTCATTGCGGTCCTTAAAAATCAGTAGGATGAAATTTATTAGGCATGTTTCCACAGATGGAGAACTTCATGCATAGATGTGCCACGTACATAGTATAATGTTAGACGCTTAATGATACTTTTACACGATATTTTTGGGATCAAAGTTTCGTCAAATGTACAACAATTATTTTCATCAATCTTCATGATCTGTACCTAAAGCTTTGCTTCTTTTTTTCTCTTTGTCACTAGCCAGAATAGACAGTTCAGAAAGATCCAAAAAAAAAATCCTAATAATTAGACTTGTTCGTATAATATTCGTTTATTTACAACACATTATAATTTACAAGCACCCTAATTTATTACATGTGTATAATTTTATGAGAAAAAAATAATATTACTGTTAGAGGATGAGACTCTAGACGTGCATGTGTTTTATTTGGGTCGTTTATATGCTCGTTATAAATTATAATAGATATATATTTCAGCTGTTCCCGGTTCAAAAACTAGTGTAAATCTTGAAACTTGACCTAGCTAGATTGCATGGACAGTACAGAAAGGAGGTGTAGTAGTTCTAGTTATTTCAATGGTACTACGTATATTGAAGAAAAACGGGGACAGCTAAGCAAAGTTGCAGTAAACGTTGGTACGTACGTAAGGGATTTCACATCAAAGGGAGAGTTACAATTCACAACGATGAGGAATCGTAGATACGGTCGGTACGATTATTTCAGAGTTTCCCCCTTCCTTTACAGTTCAACAGGAGATTACATCAATCTGGAAACTCTCTGGATTTTCCCTTCAGATTCTTTTTCTAATTACGGGCCTTCCCCTACCCTTTTCATTTTTCAACTCTGCATAGCTAGCTTAGCTATAGATTGCATTTAAAAAATAAATTTGGAAATACATATATCTCTACTATTAAATTAAAGAACCCTAGGTAACACTACACTTGGCATCACCTTTTTGTACTCCATATATATCAACCTATTTATGAGGAACAAATCCAAGTATAATAGGGTTTAGTGTCTCATACAATTTCTGAAAAGTAGACATCGTAGTAATCAAAAGTTGTCAGGGACAATATGTTCACCTTCCTTAGCAATCTAAGAAAAAATATGACGAGGATTAATTATTAGCTATAGCTAGATTGCACGAAAGGAGATCATTATTGGAGATGGGAAATCATACTTCCCAAAGATTCCTAGTTGGAGTACTGTGGGAAGAGGGTCGTCCTTTTGGGGGAGGACGAATTTGAATAACAAATGAGGATAAAAATAGATGGCAATGTCGAAGGAGTCAATCAAATCCGTGGGATCGTAAAGGAGACGTATACAATACAATGTGCATGATTATGGTCAGTTTTTGAAAGACAGATGTGGAGCTATTCTACTTAACAATCCGAAAAGGTTTTTCAAATTGGATATCTTCCCTTTCCTCAGATTTCCCTTATCCAATCTTACGTTTTTACTGTACTACAATACGAAATCTTATTCCTTTCTTTCTCTCCATTGTCTGCACTATTGCCAATTGCCATTTGCCACTATTCCGTCATTGCTGTCAGCCAATCTCGCACCTAGATCCTCCAATAGTGCTGTTTCTCCATTTTAAAGGTATTACTTAAACCTTCTCTCTTAACATGCTTAAGAAAGACCTTATATATCAATCCTTAAAATAATAGGGATATTCAATACATGTCGAGTAAGAATTAGTTTAATTAGCATGATCAGATTTTAACTTAACCCGTACTACATCATTATGATGTAGTCTAGCTGCATGCCTAATTGAAAAAGAGGTAACTTAAATCATCATGATCGATCTACAAAGATTTCCTCTACCTTAATTAACTAGTTGTGAATTCGACAATATTAATCATTGTAGCACATATAGCTCCTTTTGCATGACCATTACATGACCTAGCTAGAGAAACCCTTTTTGAGTGTTTGCATATTGCTAGGCGCATGTTATTTACGCCACAATACATATAGACTTGGCTGTCATTTGGAAAAAAATTGCGCATCCACACTTTTTTCCAGTAGCACTATGCAACTTGTAGAAGATTCCCAGAAAAGTATATGCGATTTCAACAATCACTGTACTACTACTACATCTTTGATTGATCTTTTCTTTATGCTAGCTATGAGTTCGTTGAATTGGACATGTATTAGCGAAATCACTGTCATTTTTATCTGTGAAAGTTAAACTCTATTTGTCTCAAATTTCAAAAGCTCTCTGCCTAGCTAGAGTAATACTTAATGGAACTCTACTTAATTTAATGGTATGGGTTCACTTTTTCATTTTGTTTGTGTTCATGCATTTATTAGGCTGATCCGGTTAATCATGCTACTAATCAAGTGCTAAAGCTATAGGGTTAGAAATTTGGTTACTAGCCAGAATTATTCTGTTTTTATCTGCTTCTTTTGATTTGTTATTTTCCCTGTGTCTCCCGCATGCGCGGTTTCGAACTAATCAATCATCATTAGTTTTAGCAAATTATATACTGGTTTGGTTTCCTCGAAGGTGATTGATTAAGTTCTTTACTTACTTTATAATGATCAGATTGTCATCATCAAGAAGATTAACGCACAAAGTAATGCACTTTTTGCCTTCTTTCCCGCTGAGGGGATGAGGTTCTTTTTTGAGACCAAAAGGACCCTTTCGATATGTTTTGTAGATCGAAGCTTGCGATTTGTCCCCCTCTGGCCATTTAGTACTGTTAAGTGGTGATGAGAGTAGCTCTACTGTGGCGAAAGGTGTTCATACTTGGATACCAAATTCAGTGGAAGAATATTCTTAACACGTGAAATGTACATTGATGGTGGGGTTTTATGTCTCTTGAGTTTGGACCAAAACCTAGCTGTTCATACTTCATACCATATGGATAGTGATAACGGCCAACATACAAAAAGACTTTGTATTTTTCTCACAAAGAACATTGTTACCAAAAGATGACCACTAATAGCAACATGCTTGATTAAGTGGTAGAGAACCTAATTACATAATGAACTTGATATGTTACAAATGGTTCAGAGTTCAATTCTCATTGCATGTTCGAAGGTTCAATTTTCTTCAACCGGATTTGTTTACCGGCTTCGGAAAAATTGTTACAGAAGCTGAGCATGCATGCACCTATTTAAGGTTACTTTGCCAAATATTGCACCAATTGTAATGGAACAGATTCTCTTATACATGCTGATTTACTACTAAGAAATGCTTTTCAAAGAAAACTAAGAAATACCATCATGTTTTGGGAGGGGAAGAAAAAGAAATCTCATTCCATTACCAAAATTGAGCACATTGTGACAAGTGAAACGAACAAAAAGTGGAACAGGACAACAGTGAAAGAAAAAAACTTCACATCACAATTACCATTACAATATTGATTAAGAATATGAAACTATTTAGCGTTTTACCCTCACTACCAAGTTTCTATAACTTCTTACATATAGCAAAGGTAGATATAGGTCAGACATTGTGCAAAACATCCATCTGCCCATCCGGCCACACACCGTTCAAGCAGCGGCAACCTTCTTCCCATCCTCTATGAAGAATATTGCAGTTTCAGGAACCTGTAAGTAAAAATACACATGAACCAACAAAAAGATAGGTGTTCAAGTCTAGTACATACACACATATCTAACCATAACCAAAAAGGATCAGACAAGGACAACACATTCTGAAGTACTAGAATGGAAGGATTGTTAGGCCAACATGGCTTCATATCTTCCATCACATCACCTATCCCAACCCCTTAATCACGTCCACATCCTTAAAGGCAACAATGTGCCTTTCTTTCTAACCAAGTGGCAAGGGTACATGGTGGCACATGACGCTGTGTAGGACAAGGATCTGGTAAAAGATACTGTATCCAACCCATATCATATGCACTCAAAGACATACCACAATCCACACTGGGGACAGAAATGAATAGTCTTGCAACTAAGAAATCACGCTCGTACATTAGTGCTATGCTCCCTTCAAATCAAGTAAACACCTCCACAGGAATCTGACTTGGAAACTAATGTCACATGCCAACTTGAAGCATAATGCCTTATGCAATTACTAGTTTGAAACCATTTAATTTTAACCACATTTCAAGATATACAAGAGGAAGTTTACAGTTGAAATCACATCTCATTTCCCAAATAACTTGTAAACATGGTCAAATTGCCAATTTGAATTCTTATATCATGGAAATAAATATTAAGACCTTAGGGATGAAGTAAAAGACGATTAGAACTTATGGGTTAATGCACTAAGAAGGAATTATCTCCCAAGAAGTAACAGATGATGGAAGTTATTCTTCCAGAAACTTTACAGTATACTGATGTGAGAAACTGGATATTCAGAGAACATCAGCCACTTGCATGCAAGTTACCTCAACAGAAACATTTTCACTTTCAATTGATAGACGACAAATATCAGGGATAAGGCGAAACTCAATAAAAATAGACTCCAGAAAGTTAACTAGCATACAAACGACGATATTTATGAATTACGACAAACGTGCTCAATCTCTTGTATGTAAACCAATTGTTGAGAAAGAACTTACATCAGGCCATGTATCTGTGATGAACTCCACGATATCATAGAAAATATCTCCCTGAACATCAATCTGCTCCTTCTCGGTAGGTCCCTAACAAAAATAACAATGAAACTTTAATAAGAAGGGAACAATTTCCTACAGGGTTTGTAAAGCACTTTAACAAGAATGCATAAATTTGCTGAAGGGTTTGTAAAGTCACTTGACCCACCTTAACCACAGAAGCACCAGTAGCAAATTTCTTCCCAAGCTTTTTAGAGGCATCACTCAATTTAACTCCTAAATTTCGATACGAGTTAGTCGCCGCCAGAAAATAATAGTGCTAAAGTAAAAGTCAGCAAATGCAGCTGCAACTCACCAAAAAGCTCCAGGCCCTTCACGGTGGTAATACATTTTCTCTTGTTGCGAGTTACTTTTTCGATAATAATTTCCTGCTTCTCCTGAAAAGTTTCCATATAAAGAGTTACAGTTGAAAAAGTTTGCAGAACAGTTAAAGCTGGAAACTTCTATTAGACAGATAGGATATAGAATCTAGAAGAAACTTATAACCAATAAAATGTCAGCAACTCAAGAAAGCAAGAGACCTGGTAACCAAACTTCCATCAATTTACGCATATTTATAAATTTTAGACACCTCCAGTCAAAAATGTGCCTTTGACATAACAAAAATGTTTCATTCCCAAACACTATTCTAGTTGTGTAACACAGGCTGTGCCAACGAATATAATGGAGATCAGTAGGAGGCAGCCCATTCTCCATTTCACATACACAGACACTTAATTCTACCACACATTCTGACAGGTAGTCCTTTTAGATCCATCTCTTCTAAGCATCAACCTCGACATTATCAACTCTAATACCACACAAAGATAGCCCTCAAGCCCAATGCAGTAATAAAGGGAATGAAAAACATGATGCAATAAGCTTATGTTCTAGAGCATCATAAGTCAAAAAGAGGCCACGTTTGAAAAAAACAAACTTAGCTCCAGAGCGTGAATAGATGGCATTTAACCAGTCAAACTCCATGAACCAGTATCTCACAACAGACTATCAAGTTTAAACTATTCGGCTGCACATAACTAATGCCTTCTCCTAAATCAAGCAGGCTTGCTATCAATAACAAGAAAATAGTATCAAGACACAAATGGGAATCACAAAGATGCTAACACAATCACGTTAACATAAATGTACACACAATCAATCTGGTAACTCTGCTAACATAATCACGTTAACATAAATGTACACACAATCAATCTGGTAACTCCTTCCGTGGTAGTGTAAGTCATAACTCGCGAAAACTTACTTTCTTTTTAACTTTTCCACCAGGAAGGCGCTTAACTTCTCCTGGATTAGAGGTAGAAGAACCTGCAGCAATCAAAGAAAGAAAAGGGTACACATGAAATCATTTAGAAATGGAGGTTAGCACTCAATGATGCTAATGTTGTGTGTACATGTAAAAACATGGGAATATATAAGAACAAATTGTGTGAACATAACTGCTGCCACAAAAACGTCATATCAATCTAGCTGTCAAAACTCAGCACATCTCAAATAGCTACATCAACACTAAGAGAGCATGATATATCCAACTAAATGAAAGAGAAATACTTATCCAAAGTTTCAAGGAAAACTAGGTGTAACTTAAATGAGAGTATGGGCAGGTTTAAAGTTTGATTCTGCCATTATTTGGTTCTCTACAAAGGCCTTTAACAACTAATCCCCACACAGATTAAAAACCATTCAAAAGTGGTATTAGAGGCAGAGACATGGGGCAAGATTCGCTGCTCTTTGACGTTAAAAGTCTTCCAAAAACTTGTAAAATACAAATAAAACATTGCCAAAACAAGTGTCTCTGAATGTAATAATATTATGCTAAATGAAGACAAAAGACTTGCAAGCCATATTGGCAATTGTCATATAAAAAGAATTCAGCAATGCTGCCGTCTTATGTTCTTGTAATCAAAATGTTTCAAAACAACATTGCAGCAGTGCCTCATTGGCCAGAAAGAGGAACACATAATTTGGAACATTGACTTAACACGATGAGCAACCTCACAGTCCTATGCAAACCTGTTTGAATTGAAATCAGTGTGTTGCACAGAAGCAAATACACAAGCTTAGGAAAAGTGACAAATGCACTTGAGACAAAGTAAAGACAGGCCAATTAGATGACAAAAGGATAATACGTAAGAGATCCTTTGATGCCCTAATACGGACGATTGAAAATCGAGAAGGAATGATCCAAATTAAAACAAGAACATAAATACCCCAGAACACAGAAAGAGACAGTAAGAAAAAACTTCACCTATAGAACAAGTAGACAAGAGTAGATTAATACTACTGAACCCACCACACAAGATTAAGGCTTACTTTTCGCAAGCCAAAGCCTGAAATAATACGCCACTATGGGGAGGCAGGCGTTAATGAATGCCACCACACTATTACGAGTTAACTTGCTGAAAGGGTGCACAGAATCAATTGTATCAAAGCATGCAAGTCATCTATCACCTACCACATCAGAGAAACCCCTAAAAATATAATTATGAACCGACCTCAAACAGAGAATTCTCTGGGAAATTTAGCAACACAAATTCAATCATAAAATCAACATATTTTTTAGCTGATTCTTTCGTAGTTGATCCAACAGAAAGAGTTAAGTCCTCCACATCACCGACCGAGCAACCAACATAACTAACACAGCGCAGCAAAATTCAAAGCCAAGCAAGAACTCTATTTAATACTATTCAACGATGAGACCATAGTCATAATAATTCCAATACTGACACAGTTCTAGTAAAAGAATAGAGAATCGCCCAAAGAAAAGAAATGGTATACTAATTTAGCAAACAGAAGTTAAGAAGAACGAATGAATTACCTCCAGAGATCGATGTTGATTGGAGTTTGTCCGAGACTTTATCAGCTTCCTTTGCATCTCCTTCTGTATTCACAGCCAATATATTCAACCAATACCTCAGTCAAGATATACTGATATTTGAACATGGAAAAAACCTTCATATCGATGAACAAAGCGATGAATTTTAGGGTTTTCATTAAATTTAGAGCAGAAACCTTTTAGAAGATCAGGGTAGACATCGGGAGCGTTTTGGATCAACCAGGGTTTGCATTTCTCGAAGTCCGGTCCGAATTCACAGTACTCGGGTGGCAAGCTGCAAACTCCACAGTAGAGAACCTGCACAGGTTGAGGCTTCTCCGCCATTGCAGAATCAAATTCCGGAGCTTTCCTCCGCTCCTCTCTCGCTTCCCACTTTTAAACCGTTCTGTGATGCTAGCCAGAGAACGACGTCGTCGATCGGTTCTTAGCGTAGGGTATCGTTTGTTCGCTTGTTGGGAGCTTCGCATAAATTTTAACTAAATCCACCTTGTGCGGATTTTATTATATTTTAGAGTAACATTAATATATCATTATTTTCTTAAGAAAAGTGTCACATGTTTTAATTTTTTCGTTTTTTAGTATATTAGGCATTCGGAGTTCAAATTCAAGACTGCCATATGATTTTTCTTTTGGTATATAGTACATCTAGTGTTTGAAATTATTGTTCCAACTAATCCGTTTTCAAATCGGGTAGGTCACTTTTGGAAGACATACCTCTTCCAACAATTATTACTACATGTTCATGCACAAATCTAATCATGGATTGTAGTTAACTTGGTCTAGTACTGTTACTACTTTGATCAAGTACTTCTTAGCCATATAGGGTATTTTAAAATACAGATTAATAAGTTCAACTATCTAATATGCTTCTCGTTTAGGAGTGATAGTATATCAAAAAAAAAAAAATCTAAATACGAATTAATATGATCAATTGTCTATTATATAAAAGTTATTTTCAACAAAAGAAATTAAATCATGTATATTCTTAAAATATATTAACTGAGAAGCAGATATTGTTTACTTGTAGTAATTAAATCAAATATTATAAATAATTTTTTTTAGGCATAACGCAAAATAACAAAAAATAAAATTCCAACAAAAATAAATAAAGAACAAAAAATAGGGGAAAAAACCATGACAAAAAAAACTAATAAATAATTTTGAAATACTTATCGAAACTCCAAACTTTTTCCTTAGCTTTTTTTAATAGCAAAACAGGTTGTGCCTGGCGGGTGCAGGACTCATTTTATTTATCTGGATTCATAACTTTTTCCTTAGTTATGAAATTAAACTCTTTTTATTTTTGGAAAATATATCAAATGAAATTATTTAAAAAATAATATTTGCATATGTATGATGTATCTAACTTGATTTCAAATTGTATTTATAATATAATGATTTGACAACTAATGTTTATATTTTTTATAACTATTTTTTTTGGAAAATATATCAAATGGAGTCATTTAAAATAATACTAATATACATTTAATGTATCTAGACTTAGTTTTGAATTGTATTCGTAATATAATGATTCGTTAACTAATCTCTTTATTTTTGTAATTAATTTCTTTTTATTTTTGGAAATGTATCAAATAAAATACTTTGAGAAATAATATTAATCTACATTTAATGAATCTAGACTTAGTTTTCAAATTGTATTCATAATATAATTATTTGTAACTAATCTCTTTTTATTTTTTTAAATTAATCTCTTTTTATTTTTTGAAAAATATATTAAATAGAATCATCTGTAAAATAATATTAACCTATCTTGCATGTACACAGACTTGGTTTCGAATTGTATTTGTAGTATAATTATTTAGTAACTTATCTCTTTTTATTTTTTTGAAAAATATATCAAATGGAATAATCTGAAAAAATAATATGAATATACGTCTAATTTATCCAGACTTAGTTTCGTATTGTATCCGTAGTATAATTATTTGGTAACAAATATATTTTTTTTGTTCTTGGTAACTAATTTATTTTTATTTTCGAAAAATATATCAAATAAATCATCAGAAAAATATTATCAACTGATGTTTAATGTATCCAGACTTAGTTTTGAATTGCACGCGTATAATTATTTGGTAAATAATCTCTTCTTTTTGGTAAGTAATCTCTTTTTATTTATGAAAAATATACCAATCATCTAAGAAATAATATTAACATACTTGTAATGTAGGTAGACTTTGTTTCGAACTGTATTCGTAATATAGTTATTTGGTAACATTTTTTTTTTGGTAACTAATATCTTTTAATTTTTGGAAAATACATCAAATAGAATCATCTGAAAAATAATATTAACTTACGTTTAATGTATCAAGACTTAGTTTCAAACTATATTCTTAATACAATTATTAATTTGATAATTAATGTTTTCTTATGTCATATATTTGTCAATAATTACCAAAGACGTGTTTATTTTCTCAAAATTAACTATTGGTTAATTACTTAATTCAATTTAATAATTTTACGTATTAGTAATAAACTTTTAACTGTTTAATGAAGGAGAATTTTGGTGACGACACGTGGCACAATTGGCTAAACTTGCTCCCTGTGTGACATGTGTCGATTAAAAACCCTGTTTTGATATACATATATATAATAGTAATAATAATAGATTACGGTAAGGAAAAAAAATTAAAAAAAACATATGTGTATGGGATAAAAAAGAGTATACAGTATTATTTCTTTTCTTTTTTTTACAATGAAGGAGGCACAGTATTTCAGAAATTTATCTTGATATCATATCATAAATTTTTTACGCAATGGTAACATATATATACTCACTCCATGTCTCCTTCCCATAAAACTATAATTTTATTTTCTTACAACAAAATAAACTAACATTTTAAAATAACATATTTCAAATAAAACAATAAATAAATAAATAAATGTCAACGTTCTTTCTGTTTAAGAGTATGAATCTATCTCATCATAACTCCAATCTTCAAAGAACCTCATACGGGCGACAGCACTCTAATCTAGTAACTTTTTGAGAATTTTTCTGATTGAGAATGTAGAAAATTATAGTTAGAAATTGAGGGGGAAAAACATGACATGTTAAAAATGTTGCTTAATTCGGCATTTTGGATGAATTAATATTATGGGTGCACAATATCGATCATGTTGTGTACGCCAATATTTGGTTGGAATGAATGGCGCGACATAGAATTACTCGTCTTAGTAATTTATTGTGGGGAAAAAACGTAGGAGTGATATATTATAGCTTCCACAAAATCACCAATATTTAAGATCCATGAGGTACACCTGCCTACTGTCCCTTAACCCATTAAGCTATCATCTACATCAAATTGAATCACAGATTTTGCTCACAAAACTTTGGTCTTCCCTGGTGCCTACCTGCCTTATGGATCCCTTTGAATCTTTTTTATACAATGATCTCCACGGTACTTTTAGACGTAGGAAATAATGCAGCATTCACACTTTTCAAATGTGATAAATTGAAGCGATTAGAGACGAAAACTAGTGTGAGTCCAATATCGAATATCCCATGTTTTCACATTCAGACTCTAAATTCTCGCTAATTACTTTAACTAATATATATTCAAATGAAAAATTACACTCAATAAGCATAAGATATATATAGTTTCCATTGTAATTTCCCGTTACAAACATCCAAAGTTCCAAACTCTTGTTGAGAATGCCTAAAGGAGTTTGGTCTATCCTTGGTTCATATTTTATTAGTTTATTAAAACTTTGACTCCTAGCAACGGGTATTAATAATGTACTCTTTATGTTACAAAATTATTGTCCAGTTTGAATTTTCATTTTTCAGTTTAAATTATACTAAAACTGTAATCTTAAATTATAAAATTTGTTTTTGTACAGTTTGCAATTTATCAACCCATGCATGACACATCTATTTTGACACGTGAAATTTTAGTGCAACTATGTAATACTCCCTCTATTTTGAAATATATGTCGTTTTAGGATTTGGTGAATTTTTTTAAATATATGTCGTTTTTACAAATCGTGACATATTTAACCACTTTTTACCAATATTACACTTGCATTGGAAATGAAACAGTATTTATAATGAATTTTTATTAGTTTGTGATGAATTATGTAGACAATAAATAAGGATATTTTGTATTTTAACTATATTAATTAATGTTTCCTTGGTTTTGATGGTTTTTTTAGAAAAACATATAAAAGAAAATGGAGGGAGTATTGCATACTCGCTTCAACGGTAAAGAGTTTCCCCGTAAGGATGATTATTAGCCATTATCTAACAGCCATTAATTTTATTTTTTTTTCATTTATCGGTTCTTCCTGTGAAATGCATAGTCACCTTTTCATGAGTTTAAAAAGAAAATTACAATAATAACTAAGATATTTATCGAAAGTGGCCAAAAAAAAAAACAAAAAATCAAAAGCCTCCAAAAGAAGAAAAAAATCATCATCAAATGGAGTGAACAATATTAAAGATTTTCTGCATTAAACTTTCATGAATGAATACAACCAGAAAATCATTAAACCGCAGACTATACAAAGAAAATCATTAATGTGCTACGATTGTAGTCAAGGTTTGGAATTTGGTAAATCTGATTCTATCTCTATATAAAAACTCAACCAGTATGTAACAATTCGAAGTACAAACCAATCTAAATTGCCCTCAACCAAGAAAAAAAAAACAAAGAAAAGAAAATGGCAAATGAAGCTTGTGCTGCGTGCAAATTCCATGGATGGAGTTGCGAACCAGATTGCATCTATGCTCCTTACTTCCCAAGCGACAAAATGGAGGATTTTGTTAGTGTTCATCGCGTTTACGGGATCGACAATTTCGTCGAAATTGTGAATTCCGTAACGGATGAACACGACAGAGAAGTTGCTGCCCAGACCATGATCATCGAGGCTAAAATTCGGGAGGATGATCCCGTATATGGTATCGCCGGTGTTGCAGCTCTGCTGCAAGCCCAAATCAATTCTGTTCAAGCAGAGTTGGATTTGGTGCAAAATCAGGTCCAGTTTTGGAAAGACATGGAGGAATTGGAAAGGGAGAGGGAGTTGATTGAGGAGCAACTGGATTCTTGTCCTTTGGGACTTTTGTCTGCAGTTGTTGTTGTTGTTGTTGATGAATGGTTAGTAAATAAGTGTTCTTAGTTCTTCCTACACAATTGTTGAAATTCAGACTTTCAGTTCATATATCTAATCAACTCCTTCAGTTACAAGGCTGATAATTACGTATGTTTGTTTTGTCGATTTGGTTTCAGGGTGCAATTGAATTTGAACATTGAAGAAGTGTCAGAGTCAGGGAGTGAGAGTTGAGAAAATGGAGTCAGAGTGAAATAACAGAGAGTTGACTAGTACTACTAGTTAATTACTTACTAGTGAATTATTTTATCCGTCTCAAATAAACAATTATTACATTCTAATTTTTAATTGTATTATTAAATTAGAATGTAAATTAATTTTTCGGAGACGGGGAAGTAACAATTCAACGTTTCTTAATTATTATCTTCAGTACTCTTAAATTCTATATATTGTGATCTAGTAGACTACTATTTTGCAGTACAATAGATTGTTTAGGCACTGATAGTGCACTGATAGAAGGAGATTGCAAGCCCGAATCAATTTTCTTCATTTCAGTACAAATAGAAGAAGATGTTAAATGCCTAAACAAATTAAGTACGTAACTACATTAGGTGAATATAAGAAACTGATAGTGTGATGTCAAAACCACAATTTAATACTAACCGATGGATTTATTAACGGTTGATATCTCTTGGACTCTCCGCTACTAGTGATGCCTAGTAATCTATCACAGATTCAACTCTAAAGGTTTGATAAATTTGGAAGAGTAGGATTTAGAAAAAAAAAAAAAAACAATGAGAATATATTGCTGCAAACTTAAAAGCAATCTTGCTGTGTCAAATTAGACCAATTGATTTAGACGCGCTTACCTTTAGACTATAATATTAAACCCCTTGTGCAGACCGTGTTACATAGAATTAGGATTAATTTTCTTGGTTTTCTATGGATATATAGTCTCACATTGCGGTCGTAATTAATAAGTTTGCATTTCAATTTCCAAAGTTCAAATTGATCTCAAATTGATTCATTAGAAATAAAGAAATGCCATGATGAAACAACTATACACAGAACAAGAAGCACACGCTCAATGTAGGATCACAAAATCTAACTTACTCTTAGATTTTGACGCTAACCTTATGCATATTAAAATGATGGAAACATAAGCATGCTTATCATTATCATCAATATAACAAGTTCTTGTTGGCCTTTAGGATTTCATTGAGTCATTTACATTATTATTATTATCTACATATATATCTGATCAAGTAGACGTGAAGCCAACTGCATAACTATTATTTCCAAATGGTTCACATCAAAAACATTACGTAAACTGCACCAACTGAACTTCTATAATGAGCAAAATTTAAAACAGAGAAATGTGATACAGTATTTTTTTTTTCCTTTTCCATTTCTAGTAATTGTTTATTCAATAATATCTTCATAAACACCGCAATGAAAAAGGCCGGCACCGCCCTTCTCCGGGGGGGAAAAACCCAAGGTAATTAAAATAGTTTCCTCTACCGGCCGGCCCCTCTACTCAACATTTCCTTATACCTCAGAATGGAATCCAACCTCTGCAATTTCAACTGTTGCCTGAATCGGTTGATGAAGTCGTCGGCTCTCTCATCCACAGCTTCATCCTCCCCAACCGCCGCCGTCGTTCGACCATCGCCGACCACACCCTTCGGCTTCTCCTGCTCCACCACCGCCTTCTCGCTGGCGGACTTCCTCATCCTCTCCGCCGGAGCCTCCATGTACGCCGCCGCCGCCGCCGCCGTCGCAGACTTACTTCGTCCCATCGCAACCCGACGATCATCATCGTGGTGGTGCACTTCCGGCTCTTCTTCAACTTCTGGCTCTTGTGGCTTATGCGGATCGGGGTATTGGGTGTGGGTCAGGTCAGAATGAATCGGGCCGGGTTGATCCGGGAGGATTTAAGACGAGAAGTTGAAGGACTTAACCCGATCAAGAAGCGAAGGAGCTCTGGCGAGCTGCTGCTGCCGAGGAGGAGGAGGCGCCGCCGCCGGGTAGTGGTTGGCCGTACCTCCACCTCCTCCGCCATTGCCGTGGTGGAGTTTACTAATTCGTGAGGTGATGTAAATGGTTCCAATCATGAGGTTTAGGACACAGAAAATACCAGTTGGGGTGAACAAGTAATTCAACATTGAGCTCACCATTTCCATCATGGGTTCTGCCATTTGTAACTCAGGCGACGGCGTTCAGAATTTCCGGGCCGGAGATGACTGATAGAGAAAGATCAGAGAGGAAGACTGGAAGTTGACGATGGAGAGCGTAGACTTGGTTAATTAGTGTAGTGCGGTCAAGTGTGGAGGAGAGAGGTTACATTATATATATAGCATACTGCGACTCTGGCGCTGTGTGAATTGATTGATTAGTTTGGCATTTGCAAGGTGTGGAGGGAATGAAATGTGAATATGCTGCAAGAAAATGAAAATATATGTCTTACTCAATCCATCTCGTTACATTTTGATTTTGGCCAAGTTTTATTTTTGTGTTTTTAAAATTAAAAATGAAACTTGAACAATGATTTATGATAATTTTGAGAATACAATAAAAATAAAATATATTTTAATTAGAAAAATATAATAAATAATTTTTTTTAAAAAAAAACAAAATGCACTATAACAAAGACGGAAGGGAGTATGTAAGAATTTAAAAAATAGAAAAAGGAAAAAAAATGACAACCATGAACATGTGGATGAATATTGCTGCTAGGGGAAGTTCACATAATTCACGACCTTACAAACTGTATTGTTTATTGTTGGGAAAAAAACAACCAAATTATGTATGTTTGGACTGCAATTTAGTATATCTATTCCTCTTGGCCCTTCAACTTCTTTTTAAGATTAACCCTCTTTCTCTCCTAAAAAATAATCTAAGTTGTAATTTTTTAATTAGGTTATTCTTATTACTACAATTTATAAATTATATGTAAATTCTTTGTATAATTCTAAATAGTGAACGTTTCTCTTTCTGTTATTATTATTATTATTGTTGTTGTTGTTGTTGTTTAAATGTTACTCCCTTCGCTTCTTATTATAAAGTATATTTTAAGGTTTGTCACTTTGTCTTGGTACTAATTTTAAGGCATTTGAATTTTGATGTCCTTAAGGTTTCATTTTTAGTACATTTATAATTTTACCCAAAATTAAATTGATTAAACTTTAATTTGATTAGTTCCTAAAAGAGTTCATCATTTTTTGAATATAGGTGATATAGATAGTTCTCCAAAAAATAACTAAATTAATTATCAATTTGTTAATTTTTGCAAATTACTTATTTGTGATTTATAGTAATGAGTTGACATCAATTACAACACAAATCAATAAGATCTTATCAATAACACATTTCTCTACTACTATTTACATCATTTAAGTCAATAAAATGAAAACTATTCTTACTGTCTATACTTGTTGTAGTGCAAACGATCTTTAAAAGAGTTTGTGATACACTATTTTATCACTATTTCAGAGAGAGGTAATTTTGTTAGTAATATATTATTATTATTTTTGGAGTCCTAACAACCAAATATTTGTCGTTTTGCTGTTGTCTCCATCGACAATGACCGTTTTTACTGATAATGTCTCCCTCTACATGGTATATATGATTACGTTCATTTTTTTAAAGTCAAAAGTAGAGGTCAAATTAAGCTTTTGCGTTCTAATCATCTGCTTTTACCATTTAACTTAAACATTAGTCAGGGATTCGTTACGTTTGAAAAGGAGACGAAGGAGTTAACGTCATGATTTAGGGCACTGGTAAACCACTAAACCTCCAAACAATTCAGCACATGGAAAAGGAAAGGGAAGAAAATCCATCTTTGAAAATGGTGACATATTTACATTCTAGTTATCTGTTTTGAATGAATTATAATATCCAACCGCTTCATTTATTATGAATTGTCTTATTAAATTCTATCATCACTTGGGGTGGGAGGGTTTGGGTAGGATGGTTAGGGATTTAGGATTGAGAATTGTTATTACCAGAATGTCAAGGGTTCGATTCACGCATAGAGAAAATTTTAATCGATACAATACCTTACGTCAAACAACATTTTGTTGTTGCGGTGGTTTCAGACTTTCAGCTTCCGAGGACTACAACTGGAACTTGAGGAGGGTCGTTCGGAAAATATACAGGTAAAGCGTACAAAGGTAGTTACTTGAATTAATTGCCCTTGTAGTATTAATTAACTGGAGCACGAATCTAGAGCCAGCTACTCCCGCGAGGAATGGGAGTTTGAATGCAAGGTAACATGGCCACTCTGACCAAACCAGAAACAAATTGAAGTGTGAACTCGATGACCCTTTTTTTTTTTTTTTTAAATGACTTTTATTTGATCACAAGATGGTAGTACATGATTCATTGATGCATCTTGGATTCATTGGATTGCTTCAGCCTTCGGGGGGCCATATAGCTGTAAATGTAATGGAGGGATTGGATTGGGAATGGGAGGTGCACTTCTCTGCGTATTCAATCACTTAACATCGTTGGCTAGACAATATTATTAATTAGGTAACCGCCTGATTTTAGATCGTAGTTTTATCATCTGTTGTGTAATGAGAATTACATAATGTGAGATTTCTTGCCAAGACCTTTTTTTGTTGAAGGAAAAAAGGGGGGTAAAAACAGGAGTGCGATTTGTGCAATTCTAGATTTGCAGGAGATTGCACGATTTCATGATACAAGAACATAAAATTGTTCATAGATCGCACACAATTTTTTTCAAGACTGTACAATTCCACATGATGTGCAATTCATCAACCAAAAAAAGTGATTATGGTGGAGTGGACTCCACTCACCCTTAACCATAGGTACATGGTTCGAACCTCTTGGGCATGGAGCAATCTTAAATATTTTGGCCAGTTGTCGCACCCATCGAGATGCTTACAATTCAGCGAAAGGGATTAGTTACTATTGCCGTTTAGGGTTTAGTAAAAAACACCATTACGCAACGGCTTCAGCGCTTAAATATTTCGATCCAAAACTTGAGTCGGCCCATCTCTAAATAGATTGAAGCATCCTTATAGCTTCGTGGGCTTTCTAATTTTTAAAGAGGCCGTTTGTCTCCCGCCTCTTCTACCTGGCCCTCTAACAGACTAAACACAAACAGACGCATGGCTCCGCCGAGGATCCTCCTCTCCGGCGATGTCCTTGGCCGCTTCAACCAATTGTGCAAGCGCGTTTCTTCGGTATATTTCTTCGCGATTTCAAGTTCACACAGCATTCTTTTAGGCTTTTAATTTTTTACCCGGTTAGAGAATTACTCACTGCGTCATTGAATTGAATTTCAGGTGAACAAGTCGGCGGGTCCGTTCGACGCGGTTCTGTGCGTGGGGCAGTTCTTTCCTGACTCTCCGGAAGCTCTCGAAGAGGTCAATGACTACATTGAAGGTCGTTCCAAGTTCCCGATTCCTACTTACTTCATTGGCGACTACGGTATCGGGGCGCCGAAGATTTTATCAGCTGTTTCTAAGGAGGCTGGCAACCTAGGGTTCAAGATGGACGGCCTCAAGGTTTGTGGAAATCTCTTCTGGTTGAAAGGCAGTGGAAAGTTCACTCTCCATGGTATAATATACTGTTATGTAATTACCAAAGATCTCCACGAATTCCTTGTTTCGACGATTTCATGATTTTTTTAAATTTAATTGTCATGGGAGGTGTTTGTGCAACTTTTTTGCTTCAAATTGGTTTGTCTTGATACATGTGTGCTGCAATGTATATGATTGAATCATTTCCATGACTGAATAGGGGACAAAACATTATTCTGTGAATTTTATTGTTCAATTAACGCTAATGCATAGTACTCAAAATTTGTGCATATTGTTAATATTTTTTTGGATTTTCAAATATCCCACCATTGTGGTGGTGCAGTATGCTTTGTGGGAAGCTACTTTTAGCCTGCTTAGCACTGTGGTCTTTTGCACGGCAATTGTGTTTCTCAGTTGACAACCTCTTAGGGGATAAATTATGCGGGGTTAAGAAAGTTATGTTGCTTGCTATCCACGTGCGACATCAAATTTATTTTGTCATTATTATTTCTAATGCCCACACTAGTATCTTGCTCTCTTAAAGTTTATGATAACTCATTTTGTGTTTTCAAGGTTACCATAATAATAGCATGCACATTATCATTTTTTTTTAACTAATGTGTTGTAATGGTTGGTTTTGTACTTATGTCCAGGACTATCTATTGTATACCTCTCTGGTAGGCAATCAGCAAACAATGCACAGTTCGGTACTTACAGTCAAGATGATGTTGATGCTTTAAGGGCATTGGCTGAGGAGCCCGGAATCGTGGACATATTCCTGACATATCCTTTCAACTGTTTGCTTTTTATTTTTTTAAAAGAACCAAAATCATGTCATCTTCAATGAGTTATCAAATCATGTAACCTTCAACTAGTTATCACTCTTTATATCTTTCATTATTCCTTAATTCTATCTCACTAATGAATGGCCAAGTGGAGTTACCAATAGAGCTTCTACTTCTGACATTCCTCCTGGAATATCAGACTCAGCTGGCGCTGATTCTACTATATCAGAGTTAGTTGCAGAGATCAAGCCCCGGTAATTGATAGTTCCTCTTTAGACAGTATTCTGTTAGAAGGTTCTAAATACTCCCGAGGCCTACGTAGAGCAAACCTTAGGCTTGGCATTCTAATGCTGTTGTAGAAAAGCTTTTGTTTCCTGACCAAATTCTGTCTTGATAAGTTGTGTTTCATTAAAAAAAACAGTGTAAGAAATTAGCTTATATCGAGGGTTCTTCTGTTGCAGCTACCATATTGCTGGAACTATGGGTGTATTCTACGATCGTGAACCATATACAAATTTAGATGTGGTGCATGTAACCCGTTTTATGGGTTTAGCTCCAGTTGGAAACAAAGAGAAACAGGTCTTCTTCCTTCTGTAATGTATGTTTATTTGTTACTTTGTTGGTTCAATATCATCAATTATACAGTCTGCATTACTTTCCCAATTTGCCGATAAGAAAGTTTCTATCTTGATAAGGGATAACTGTTTTCTGCAAGAGTGGTATAACTTGTTATAAAGTCACTTTAAAATTTGATTAGTTAAGACAATATCATTCCGCATTCATGAACTAGCTCAATGCCTGTGAAATCATGTAGGATATCTGATCTTTTAGATGGTTGAAAGTAGTGAAGCTTAGCTATTTACCTCTCTTGCACATTGATAAATCCTAAATCAATTTGCATACAAACTGGCAGTTGGAGCAATTTCTTACTGACTGCTCTCTGCTGCTTGCAGAAATTTATTCATGCAATTTCTCCCACTCCAGCATCTTTAATGTCGAGCAGTGAAATTTCTGCAAGGCCTCCAAAGACAACTATATCTCCATATACATTGATGGAGAAAGTGACCCATACTGAAGCTAATGCAAAGAGAGCTGGTGAGAGTGTGGACGATCCCCAATATTGGCGGTATGACGTATCCCAGAAAAGGCAGAGGCATGGAGAAGGTGATGGTGAAAAATTGTGCTTTAAATATACGTCTTCTGGGTCCTGTCCTCGTGGGGATAACTGTCGCTTCCGGCATGATGATGATGCTAGGCAGCAGTCAAAAACGGGTGTCTGTTTTGAATTTCTTAACAAAGGAAGATGTGAAAGAGGTTCAGAGTGCACTTATAAGCATAGTTTAGTGGAAGTGAAGAACAGTGGGACTAGCAGGTTATCTTTTGTTTGATGCTGATTGCTATTCTTTCTTTCTTGTTTTACTGGCTCTTTTGATTCAGTTAGCAAATTCTCCAATCAGGTCCAAGGAGTGCTGGTTCTGTTTATCAAGCCCAAACGTGGAGTCACATCTTATCACTAGCATTGGGGAACTATACTATTGTGCACTTGCCAAAGGACCGTTGGTAGAAGATCATGTGCTAATCATACCTGTTGAGCATGTGGCTAACACGCTTTCCACTGCTGATGAATATGAAACAGAGTTGCATAGACTACAGAACAGTCTCAAAGCTTACTTTAAAACCCAAGGGAAGGAAGTAGTCTTCTTTGAGTGGGTCTTCAAGAGAGGAACGCATGCCAACCTTCAGGTATATGCCAGCCTTATATCTTTATCTTTTTTTGTTGTCTTATCTTTGTGAAATTATTTTTTTTCTGTGTATACACTTCATTTGCTTCCTGCCCTTGATATGCTGCCATATACTGTCCCTGGGGCCATGCCTGGGCTGTCAACATGGGAATCCTACCTTTACTCCTAAGAATGATATCTTTGCTTTCACCGTCAATACGGAAATTAATATCCATGTGAAGTTTGGTCCGTCAGATGATCCAAGGGTGGCAGCCTATATTGATAGATTGGGAATGTGACATGATAACTTCATGTATGACTCTCTGAGCATGTTTAACATACAGGGCCCCCTATTCTCTATACACGATCGTAAATTAGATGTTAAAGTATTTTTGGGTTCATGGTTGGTGGTGGCAAATGATATTTAGTCCCTTTCAATCTTACTATTATTTCTGTCATTTATGTTTTCAAGGTTGTTCCTGTTCCATCTACCAGGGCGTCTAGCATCCGAGATATATTCCATTTAGCTGCTAAAAAGTTGGGTTTCAAGTTTAATACAATTGAAGGTAGGCTTTGCCAAATCATTTACTGCTGTATTAATGCTCAATGAGTGTTTATTTCTTATATAATGGTCTGCAAAGTTTGTTGATTTTGAACCTGGATGTTGACTGTAAGCTCAAATGTACGTCAGTATTTCCTCTGTTGCAAGTTGTCCTCTTCCTTCCTTTTTGGGATAGGCTAATTTAATCAGAATGTGTACTATTCTTTTCAGTTCTGGACTACACTTTTAGTATCAGTTTTCTATCAAAATGTCCATTTCTGTGCGTCCTTCATAGGATATAGTTTGAGGAATTACGTTCCGAAGAGATGACAGTGAAAAAATATAACCTGAGGGAGTTTGAAAATAGTTCCTGCGATCCAAGCACATAGTAATGATCTAAAACCCTATATTTCTAGCCATGTTTGGAAGTGGCTTTCAAAATTTAGATGGCTCCAAGTTTATGTTCACTCTGCTTCTTTAACTCTATGCATAACATCCCACTCTTCCAAATCAAAGGGCACAGAACCTATATCTCACTGTAAGTTTGTCACATTATGATGATGTGATGAGCATAGTTTCAGTTTCATCATGACCCAATTTCATGGGTTTACCTTTTGCGAATCATGACGCAAGCTTGTTGCAGGTGGGAGAAGGTTGTTACGGGCTCTGTTCGATAGAAGTTCCAGTTTATTTTATGTTGAGCTTCCTGATGGTGTGATTTTAACTCATGTTGTTGAAGAGAACGAAAAATTCCCCAGCCAGTTTGGTCGTGAGGTTAGTTTATGTTCCACCTTGTGAGATGTTGTGCTTCCATTTGGAAGAGAAATATTGGGCTCCCTGTTTTATAGGCTAGATAAGCAGGTAGCCTTGAAATTTTATAAGATCAATCTTTTGTTTGGTTTACTTCTTCAAAAACTTCTTACTCCCTCCGTCCCATAATTATTGTCCAGTTTGAGATTTCACTTTTAGTACAATTTGAACTAAAAGTGAAATCTCAAACTGGACAATAATTTTGGGACAGAGGGAGTATGTTTTTTCATTTTCGGAGAAACTAGCACGAGCCTATTTAGTAGCGATAACTTGAGTTCTTGACCAGAGAAATATTGGGCCGCTGATGTTTAGCTAACTGTCGCAGGTCATGGCAGGCTTGCTCAACATGGCAGATAGAGCTGATTGGAAGAATTGTAAGCTAAGCAAAGAAGAAGAAACCACAATGGCAGAAAGTTTCAAGAAGAAATTTGAACCATATGATCCATATCTTTGATTTTTACAACAGAAGGTATGAGTGAACTAAGCTAAGCTCAAGAATAGTCTTTTTATGTCTGGTATGTTCACGCTAGGAGGTTATGCAATCCACTTTTTAGTAAGGCATAGTTTTTTTTTGTGTTTGCGGATGAACTTGAGAGCTCCAGGAACAGGTGTATTGTTAAGATCATAGGCATAGTTGTATTCCATTATCTTCTTTTTTTCTTTTTGTTAATGAATTTGGTAAATGCTCGCGCCTGGCTATGATTCATGAGCACATCACTATTGCATGCAAAAGAAAAAAGTTTTCTGAGACTTTAGGGTTTGGGGTTTTGGGAGCCAACAGTTGCATGGGGAATGCTCCTAAGAAAAGGGGTTCATATGATATCTTTAAGCTTTTCAGCCTTAAGAAGGGGAAGATAAAAAAGGGTACCAGAATTTAAAGATTTTGGAGGTAATAAAAATCATTGGACTAAAGAAATGAATGCAAGAACCTGTAGATTACATGGGGTTTAGAGGTATCTTTCTAATGAAGTTTATTATATGAAGCTTTTTTGGGAGCTTCTATTTATGTCTTTTTTTTGGTCTGAATCAAAATTTGTTGTACAAGATGGGAGATTGTCAATTTGCAGCGTGGAAGTATACTTCCATCTCCAGCAGTAGTTACATGTTCCTGAAAAGGTCGGGTCTGTCTGTTGCCTGATTTGCTTCTCTGAACACGTGAATCAAATGTATGATCCAATCACGATGTAACAATTCACGAAGTCTGCCCAGAACACTGCAATGCCTCGTGGTTATCTATGTTCACAATGAATCTCTCTCTCGACTGTATCATGCAAGAGCCCTTGATAGTTGATACAACCCCAGAGTGTGCTGGTGACCGGTGTCCTTCCTGGATTCATTCCGAAACGTCCTTCCAACATACCAATTCATACCTGATTTGGTCACCAGCTCATTCCTGACTGCTATAAAAGCGTATACTAACTCAAATAAACTCCTCAAAGAGTGAGCATTTACGGATTGTGATTGTGCTTTCAGCTTAGTCTATGCTCCAGTCGTTCGTTCAGCAATCACTGCCGCTTTAATCTCTGTTACCCTTCTTCTCATTTCCTGCAATTTCCAACATAATGGGCTTTGCCTGTGAATATCAGCTTCAAATAAGCTATTTTCAATACCTCAGCTGCTCCACATCTCAAGTACATCTCCTCTTTAATATGCATTCGTTTTGTTTGATCTTCAAAACATCTTTCAAGTCTCTTGGTTACATATATGATGTTTCAAATTCATAAGTCTGGTAGTGTCATACAATTAGGGCTAACTGCTGCTTATCATAGCCTTCCTCCTGGCTTGAAAAAACTTTGAATCCCTTCTGAATTTCGAAAAATTACATTATTTGAATTCCACGTACGTTGACATCATTAAAAACGGGGAGTCGGAAACCTTTTCTCAATATACTAGTGATGTCTGGTCGCGCAATGCGCGACCCTGGCCCAATCTATCTGTAGATCTTAGAAATATTTATATTTGAAAAAAATAAAATTTTGTATTTGTAGCGATCTATTTTAGAAATGTTTGAAGGATTTAGAAATGTTTTATAAGTGTGATCATAGAAATATTTGTATTTCACACAAAAAAAAAAAGAAATTGTATTTCACCATGTATGTTTTAGAAATGTTTTATAAGTGTTACTTATTAAATATAAATAGCCTTAATCGAATAAATGTGTTGAAGTAAATGTTAGATAAAATATAAAAGCATCCTAATAAATTTAAATATTAGTAAGATGATTTATTGATGTTCTCCATTGGTCGTGCCAAATCAATACTTAGTTTTGGTGATTTTTAATAGTTTTGTAATAAGCTTCATCCGAAGGGTATACGCTTAAAACAAAGTTGGCACTTTGTAACAAAAACCTAATTGATCAATTCAATTTAAAAAACCACTCTAGTTGAATGAAACATAAAGAAAAAATAAAATAAAAAAAAACGTGTCACGTAAAGTGCAAAGGGAAATTTAGTAATTTAGTTATGGTTAGACAAAAGGGCAATTTAGTACTTTTTACATGCCACGTGACAATCATATGAGGTGTTTGAAAGGGAGGTTTTTGTTTCTAATATAGTAGGATTTAACTCCAATCCACTAACCAAAAGAATACTGGAATCCTACTAAGATCTTCATAATAGCTAGTGTTACAAGGATAAAATTATCCTATAACTTTTTTAACTGGTTTTGGTGCATGGCTGCACTTGTTTGGTTGATTGGCTCAAGTCATTAATTGAGAATGGCTAAAATCATAAAACCAAAGGGATTAGATTTAAATTGGGAGCTAGTTTTCATTAGTTATTAAAGTAGTTTTATTAAGAGGATAAGTAGTTATTTTAGTAATTTAAAAATGTAACTAATTAGCTTGTAATCTAATGACCTAGATAATTGGGGTTGTCAATCATAGTTTTATGTCTTGAGTCTTAGAGAACATATTTGCTGAAAATTGACTAAGTGTAGGTGATTGACCCAAGTTTAGGTGGGAAATCTTTTGTAAACGTTTTGTTGAGTTGAATAAGAATTTGTGAGAGATTTGGGACTTTTGTCCATTGAGCTCTCGTGTGTTTTAGATTTTGTTTTTATAAATTTCTAAGCATACATTTTGTTGGCTAGGTATTGGATTGTTTTTCCGCTGTCTTAACCGATATTTAGTTAGGACTAGTTGGATTTTTGTTAGGAGATCTTACACCATTAGATCTCTAAATTCATAGGAAGAATTTAGTGGTCTAACAGCTAGCTAGTAAGGTAACCGTGTACGTCCTAAATTGATGGAGGTAAGTTTCTTAATCTTTAATCAAACAGACCAACTTGTAACCCCCTAATCATTAAACTTCTTAATCGCTGTTAAACATGAGGAAACTGCGGAAGCTCACTTTGATATGCCAAGCACTGCTGTAATTCATTGAACCTACAACACAACTTACGAGTCTACAGAACCAAAATATTAATCACATCTATCATTTACAGTCAGTGATGTGTTGTCAAGTACTCCTTACGGTCCTTATTATAAGTTATTTTGATTTAACAGGTGTTTCTTATGATCCTTATTATAAGTCATTTTAATTTGTCGTACGTTCACCTAATATTGTTTTCTAATTGAGAAAAAAAAACTTTAATAATATTTTCTAATAATTGAAAAAATACAATGAATGTGGAAATTTTTTTTTTTTTTTACCGGATTGATATCACTTTCTGCAACCTGGTTCTATCATATGACGGCATATGATCATTCATATATATGTAACCGAACCAAGCTGCTTGTCGTTGTTGATGTTAGCTATGAACTTGAAAATTAACTCCAAGAATGTTAGGTGTAAAGAGAGAAACAGTTTTCAGCAGAAATAATTGGTAATTAGTGGGCATACTTATTACTAGTTTTCCTTATCATCTTAATCAATTTGCTTCTTGATTGTGCCTGGCCCAGTGAGAATGATTCATATAAGGTTTAGAAATCATGATGGCACAACTCATCACTGAACCTACGTGCGTTAAAAAAAAAAAAAGTCGATCTAGAGTATGGGAGTTTGGGAACCAACAGTTGCGTAAGGAATGTTCCTAAGAAAAGGGTTCACATGATGATGATATATACGTTAATCTTTTTCAACCTTAAGAAGAAGCTATACAAGGATTTAAAGATTTTGGAGTGAAGGTAATAAAAATCATTGGACTTAAGAAATGAACCAGAGAACCTGCAGATCACATGGTGGTTAGAGTTATAACCACTCTTTCTGTTTAGGTTTTTTTTTTTTTTTTTTGGGAGCTTCTATTTATCTCTTTTTTCTGGTCTGAATCAAAGTTTGCTGTACAAGATGGGTTCGAGTTGTCAATTTGCAGTGTGGAATTATACTCTTCTTATTTTCTGAAAAAAAAAAAGAACAAAAGGCAACACAAAGAACAATTTCACGTTGGTTCTAACAAAAGCAATAAGAAATGGATGATCCATGATTCTCACCAAGGTCGGTAATTTTACATTTATTAGCGAACTATTCCATCCATCCATTGAGATGTTTATAATCCAGATAGAAAATAGTCATTATCTCGGATAATGAACATTCATACTGTAATTGTTCGAAAACAGAAAATAAATGATGAAAACCATATTGGCTGAATCACATTTCCAAAAAGAAGAGGAAGGAAAAAGTTTGCTGTAAGGATTGAGCATTATGGGTTGAAAGCAGAAAAAGTAGAGGACAAAAGAGTGAGCAGCAAGGGACTCTCAAAATTTCACTTTCTTTTGGTCCCCCTGATTATTAATTAAAATTGTGTCAATGTGTATTTCTTTTGGATTCATGGAGAGCTTACAATAAATTGTGTTACATATTAGGAGATGTCTGACTTGACTTGCAGAAGTATTCAGACTTTATAAATACGACTGAATAATACTCCCTCCGTCCCATAATTATTATTCCGACTGGATTTTCATTTTTAGTTCAAATTGTATTAAAAGTGAAATTTCAAGCTGGATAATAATTTTGGGAAAGAGGGAATACTATTTTATACTTTATACGTGCACAAATAACTGATGATGTCGCTGTTCTAGTGTTATTGGTCTCCCCATTTTTTGGTTTGTTGGATCACAGAATTCTCCAAAAGGTTCAATCAAATATTTCCCACACGTGGGCGTTGTCCCGTGATTGCCATTCATCCCTTCTTATTATTATTACGAAATTGATAGCGACTTGGACTTCGAAATTTATTTTATTTTTTCTTTGAGGTTTGAATTTGAAATGAGAAATTATAAGAGTGAGTTTAAAACAAGAAGTAGTCCTTTTGTGTTTTTTCTCCTCCTCTAATTTTGGGCACAAAATGAGAACTTTTAAGCAAAGTAAATTTGCACATGCTTGCTTAATTACTCATATATATACTGTAGTCTCCGTCCTAACAAGTAAAAATCTTTTTGTGATACGAAAGGGATAATAAATTTTGTGAAAATTCAATAATATGAAAAATGCAATGAGTTATGAATCGATATGGTGATCTAGTTGTAACTTGTGGTTGTGAAATCACAGCCACGGATCGATGTGGTTGTCAACTTTCAACTTCCCGGGGGAGGGGGTGTGTGCATTATGCTGCAAATCTGGAAATCTTGTAGAGTTGTTTTAGTGCCTGTGGGTCACATTGAGCCATGAGGCTCCATCCATCCTCAGGATTACAAATTTTCATTTTCATATCGACACTTTGCATCTATTATTAATGCTCCGAGAACTGAATGATGCAATTTTCAGCAAACCAAGGGGGTAAAAAGGACAAAAGAATTATACAGTATCAAGGAAAAAATATTTACAATTTGGTATGTGCGAGACGAGTTTCAACTCAAAGAAACTAGAAGAAATATTTTGTTGGAATTTTGACTGTTTTTTTAATACTATTTCTTTTGTCACAAATAAAGAGACTCACGCCTTATGATTTAACAAGTACATTTTAGAAGTATGAGACCCCTATTATATTATGGTAGAGCCAAATTGAAATCTCTAACAGTGGAACTTCTAATTTTTGCCGTTATTCTCGTTTTCGAAATGCTAATGAATACTAAATAATCTGTAACAAAATTAGCTTCCTTTCTTTGTCCTTCAACTTTTGCACAACACAAAATGATAAATGTATATACTTACCAGTAAAGTTTTAAAGAATATCTGAATCAGCTTCCAAACACGCCGAAAACTAAAAATGCTTAAAAATTTGACCCAAATCCCTAACTCCGTAAGCCAACTCATGATTGAAATGTTGTCATCACTTTTTGGAATTAATTAAAAGCACTGTCATTTGTAATGATTACAATAATAATTAAGAGTACAGGCAAAGGTTAATGGTAGATTAATTTTAAATACTACTTATAAGGTAATAGTGAAGTTGAGTTGTCAAATACCACTTGACACATGCCCCAAATTTGCCCCTACAGATTAACCATTCTTTCAAGAACCTTTGACTCCTAAATAATTTAATACTCCCTCTATTTCAAAATATAGTTCATTTTAGATTTAGAGAAATATTTCAAAATATTGGTCATTTCAAGATTTTAAGGCAAATTATAAATTAATTTTCCAACTTTGCCCCCAATATCTATGCTGACTACTTCTCATCTAATTTTGATTATAATTCTAAAACAATTAATGAAGGACAAAATAAACATTTAACACACAAATTAATCATTAAATGATTGTCTCCTTAGTTTATGTGTAGAGGCTAAAAAGACTTACATGGAGTATTTTCCAAGTGTTCATACTCAAAAAAGAGATCTTAATTTCTTGGTAAAGATTAAAGTTTTGTGTAGTGTTCTTAAGTTAAAATATTAGTTTATTAACATGTAATTAGCAGATTAACTAGAGTCCCTAAGCAAATCCCACTAAACAATCCCAAGAATCTCTCCACATACAACATCATTCCAGCTCTGCAAGTTGACTTCCAATTGTACTCTACCTTTTTTCCAGCAAGAAGAATTTTAGCACAGTTTTGTCCCAAATTACCACCACTAAATGCAATTATTTTAGTAACCGACTGAATTAATAGCATGTTGGACCAGCTTTCAGTTTCAACTTTCAAATAGTAAACATATCATGTAGACATATACCTCTCGTGTTTTATTAGTGAAATACGACTCCAACCTAACACGATATGTTATAAGAAAGTACCGCTTGTATTTTATTAGTGAAATCCCGACTCCAATCTGATACGATATATTACTGGGGAATAAAGCAAAGTATTACTATTTCACTTGAAAGGAGAGATGTATATACATGCAAATGGTGAAACAAGATAATCTCATATTTATCTACAGAACAAAGAGTGTCAATCAAATTTGAGATGATAAGAAGTATTGGCTAATTTTGTGCCACATCTTTTTCAAAAATCTCATCTCACCTAGAACCTCTAGCAAAATGTACTAACAGCATTAAATTAATATTAATACTAAGCTATAGTTTAGGAGGCATCCTAGTCCTTCTTCCTACTACCCTCTTAAGATGGCAAACCATTACCAACCAAATTAATTAATCAAACAAAAACACCCCAAATTTGGGTCCACCTGACCACAATCCAAAAAAAACCAGAAAAATTTGCCACCTTTATGTTTATGGTTTCTTGCACTGTGAAAAGGGTTGCTTGGAGTTGTGTATTAGTAGTAGTAAACTTTAGAACTCTCTGTCAGTTTTTAATACTATCACTTTAATTGCTCACATGTCTGTAAAAACGCTTCCTCAGAGTGTGGTAACATGCCAAATTCCAAAACTCTGTAACAACTTCACAGGGAGTCAGCCTGTTGTTGGCATGGTTTTGCACACTCTCACACACAACAAACCCTTTATTCGAATTTCCAAGAAAAGAACTAATCTTGATGCTTTCTTCTCACTGTTTCTACGCTCGTGGGTCTCTTTTGCCAGTTATTGCTTTCATGTAACTTCCCCTTTGATATTGCTTTAAGTCATCAGTGTATCTTTTATTTTACCTTTAATGATAGCGGATTTAGATTGATGTATTGGAGGTTTCATGTTTGGACTCTGTGATACATTTTGGTTGGATTTCGATTGGAAGGATTCCTTTTGGGATTGATATTTTATATGGGATGAGAATGGCGATGCTGAAAGTTTTGTTCTTGGTGCTGAAAGTTGAACTCTTTGCATTAGTCCTGTTTCCGGTGCTTCAAGGATCTGCTGGTACGTTTTTATCCCTTCTGTTAAAAAGATGAAAATTTGCTAATGTCTTCTTAATCATTCCAATGAACTACTTCATTTTTGCTTAGTCGGTGGGATGACATTGATCTTGATATGTTTCATCACAATAATTTTCAGTCTGAATGTTTAACTTGCCGCACATCTTTGTATGAATTTTCTCCTTTTTTGCAATGATGGAATCAGTTGCTTGTTTGATTTACCAAATGCAATTGGACGGTGGTGAACCTCTGAAGCTGTAAATGTTGATGATTCTGTCTTCTGCAGAAAAAGTCATTCTGTATAAACTACTGAGAGCTGGATACTTTCTCTTGATCAGATTGCACAATTTAAAATCTTTACCGAATCCCCGTAGTATTCTACTTTCAGAGGTTTTGCAAAAGCTTTTATTAATCAATTTCGGATCTTAGCTGTAGAATGAAATGCAGTAATCTGTTAATTTTTGGGTGAATCTCATCTGTTATCCCTCTTTCTGATGGGAGGAGATTAATTGTTTTCCAATTTGGATATGTTGGCTGGCAGATTAAACTACTAACCAATGACTCAAAATTCTCAGAAGGTTTCTAAGAATGGATTGTTTGTGCTACTCATGTTTCAGGTTACAGCTCATCTCCACCTCCATCTACATTTCCTGTATTTTCTCCTGATGGACATGTAACAACACCTCCTGTCTCACCTGGGAACATGTTTGAAAGTGATGCACCTACTCCATCTCTTCCGAAAGGTCTGATGACATTATGTAATTTAGAAACAGCTCTAATTTGGAACTGCTTTTTGTTGATAGTTAGCTATCCATTCACGTGCAGCTGCAGAACCTCCTCATGGATTGCCACCTCCCGCTGCAGCACCATCACTCCCAAATGTGAATGTCCAGCCACCAAATTTACCACCAAGTATCCCAAGCTTTTCGATACCTCCCCCATCATATCCTAGTGGAGTTGTTCCGGCCTTGCCACCAAGCCCACCTAATGGAACTTCTGGTCATGCTGATTATCCCAGTCCACAGCTTCCAGGTACATGTTCATTTAGGCCTATTGGCAACCACAAAGAGTTCTGGTTATTGTTTGAGCTAATTGCATGAATTTCTCTTCTTAAAGAAGCGCCTCTAGCTTCTCCACCGAGATTATCTCCACCACCAACAAGCCCTGAAATAGTACCAGTATCCCCTCCAAAATCCGATCAACCCAAGGCCCGAGAAGCTCCTTCACCATCAACTACCCCAGGTAGCTAACTGACAGAGTACTTATCTACGGATATGATATCCTTCTAAAATTGTTTCCCATCTTACATGCTTGTTATTATTACTTTAATCTTCAGTATCAAGTGCACCCGCACCATGGAGACAGCCACAAACTCCACCTCCAACCTACCCAGTCACTCCCAAGATATCACCATCTGTCTATCCGGGTACCCTTACACTACCTTTTTTATTTCCTCTTGAAATGGATAGATTTTGAGCCATACTTTTTTATGCTGCTTCCTCTTGAAATGGATAGATTTTGAGCCATACTTTTTTATGCTGCTTCCTCTTGAAATGGATAGATTTTGAGCCATACTTATGCTTATTCTGCAGTTCCAGTTGCATCATCTCCAAGCAAGTCATCAGGGATTTCGCCATCACTTCAACCAGTCTTTCCGAGAATACCTCCATCTAGTTCACCAGGTGATAACCCGAGCTAAAACCCAGCTAAACCATTTGTAAAATTTTAAGGCTTATGTGTCTATGCTGTGGAGTATGTGTGTTTATCTTCCTTTAGTTGCTAGATTTGTGTATGATTTTCACCTTTAGCCTTCCTTATGGAAATGCATCTTGAGATTCGCCAAAACAATTTCAAGAAAAAGGAGATAATGTTCTACAAAGGCAGAATGGTCTTTTGAGTCAGCGCACAGACTTCATTGAAATGGAAATGGCTTTTTTTTTTTTTTCTTTTTTTTTTTTGGGGGGGTTTTTCTCTAATTGGTTTTTCTTTTCCCTTCAATATGTGCAGATCCTCATCTATCTTTTGCACCACCGCCTCTGTCTAGTGTCAATTGGAAAGGAACTCCTGTCGCTGCCACTCCAAATGGTACAAGCAACCAGCATTCATATAATGCATCTTCTCCACTTTTATCCCCAAAAGCTCCGGCCAGACCAAGGTTTCACTCCCCTGCATTACAACCTCCTGCCTCATTCAGAAGACATTATCATCGAAATAATCATACGTTTATTCATATAGCTCCTCCTCCTGTTCCCACAGAAGGTTTGATTTTTGAATTGACAGGCATCATATATATATATATGTTGCTATTTTTCGTTTATTGTGCTTCTTAAGGTTCCCCTAACCTCTAATTTCCTTTCATTTTGATGTATAAACCTTGGCTGGTAACCATCACCATTTAAGGACAGATCTTAGGCCCCAAGGTCCTCCACCCTCTAGTTCAGGTTAACATTAGCTTTCTCGTCTATCTTATCATTATTTGTTTTCATTCCCGCCATCTAAAAACCTCTGCTGACAGGCTCCCCTACATCCCCAAGTCCTCCTCCTCCTCGTCCTCTGAAAATCCATGAATCTCCTCCACCATTTCCTTTGATGCGAAAGATTCCTCCATTTCAAGCATTGCCACCACCACCTCCTAATCAAGGTAAAATGTTTACGTTTTTTATTTTTCTCTTATGTATTTAATGGATACAATCGAGGCACTTCGTCGTCCGTTTGATCCAGTGTGTTCTCATTTGTTTTTCTGTTCTTCATAGCTGCTATTCTGGAAATTTCTGATCTGGTTTTACTTTGTAGATTGTACATCATTGACATGCTCAGAGCCGTTGACCAATGCTCCTCCTGGATCTCCATGTATTTGCGTCCTTCCCATTCAAGTTGGGCTGCGCATAAATGTAGCATTGTACAATTTTTTCCCGTTGGTTTCTGAGTTTGCTTCAGAAATAGCTGCTGGAGTTTTTTTAAATCTTAGTCAAGTTCGTATTATGGGAGCAAATGCCGCCGGTGATGATCCGGAAAAGACAATTGTCCTCACTGACTTGGTACCCTTGGGAGAAAATTTTGATAGTGCCACGCCGTATCTGACATATAAGAGATTCTGGCTCAAAGAAGTGGCCATAAAGTCTTCATTCTTTGGAGATTATGAAGTTCTATATGTTCGTTATCCAGGTGATGATGTCTGCTCAATTTTTACTTGCATAACTTTCGAAATTGGTTGATCCCGATATATTTGACATCTTAAACTTACAGGTCTTCCCCCGTCTCCACCTTCTGCACCATCTTATGGCAGTACTATTGGTAGCGATCCATATTCTGCTAGGAACAATAATGGTGCAGCCTTAAAGCCAATTGGGGTAGATGTGAAAAGAAACCATCACAAACGTGGGCTAAGTGCGAGTGTTATGGCAATAATAGTTTTGTCTGCCTCTGTTGTTCTGCTTTTCTGCTGTGCTACCGGATGGATTTTGGTTTTGAAAAAAAGAGAGAAGCTTTACCAGGTGGACCCAACTCCTCCAGCTGCAATACCTTCATTAAAGAAAACATCAGGTACTATATTCAGTTATGAACTGTTTTGAACCATAACCTGGATGCAATGAACTATTTTCTTTTTTCCCGTCCATTTGTTGATGGGCCTATGGCTAGTTCAAGTTTGGCATTCTGAATGAATCCATGTGATTTATTAAGTTAAAAAATCATAATAATGCCAATATGGTTAGCTACTGAGCTGTAGAGTAATAAGTATTTTTGGTTCCTTGTAGATCTTGCATTTTTTTTTTCTCTGTAGAAATTGCATAAAAGATTTCTGCTGGGCAAAATGTTGTTAAATCATGAATATTTTGGGTTCATCATGACTTTATGTTTTTTTTTTTTTTTTTGAAGGACTTTAAGTATGTTAATCCTACATAGTCGATAGTTCTTATGCAAAATAGACGCTCGAATTTTTATAACTTTAACTTGATTTACGTAGGGTCAACAATTGGAAGTAGACCAAATTCTGTGTCACTATCTCATGGCTCTAGCCTACCTGCATATAATGGATCTGCAAAGTCGTTCAGTCTAAATGCTGTGGAAAGAGCAACAGATAGCTTTAGTGAAACAAGAGTAATTGGTGAAGGTGGTTTTGGCCGTGTTTATAGTGGCATGCTTGAAGATGGGACAGAAGTGGCAGTCAAAGTGCTTAAGCGAGCAGACCAGCAAGGTGGTAGGGAATTTTTGGCTGAAGTGGAGATGCTTAGTCGCCTTCATCACAGAAACTTGGTCAAGTTGATAGGTATATGTACAGAGGAACACACTCGCTGCTTATTGTACGAACTAGTACCAAATGGCAGCGTTGAATCTCATCTACATGGTAATGCTCTTTCTGAAACACTATTTTTCAACCGTTTTCCATTGCTTTACTTATTTTTTTGTTAATCTTGCTCATAGGAGTTCATAGGGAATCTTCACCACTTGATTGGGGTGCTAGGCTTAGGATAGCTCTTGGTGCTGCTAGAGGTCTGGCCTATCTGCACGAAGATTCCAACCCGCGTGTCATACACAGGGACTTTAAGTCGAGCAATATCTTGTTGGAACATGATTTTACACCAAAAGTGTCTGATTTTGGGTTGGCTCGAACAGCACTTGACGAAGATAATAAACACATTTCAACCCGTGTGATGGGAACTTTTGGGTAATTATCTAATTCTGACTTTTTGAGTTGCTGTTCTTAAATCATTCCCCCAAGCAGTTGAACTGGAACCAAACGACAGAATTGTGTTGTTTTCTTGTGGCCATAGTCTTCTCTAACCGTAACAAACCTCTGCTTCATTTTCCTTAAATGAAATGCTCCTGAGTTTGTTTCATTATTGCGCCAGGTATGTGGCTCCAGAGTATGCAATGACCGGCCATCTTCTTGTAAAGAGTGATGTTTACAGCTATGGGGTTGTACTCCTTGAGCTGCTAACTTCCAGAAAACCAGTAGACATGTCTCAACCACCTGGTCAGGAGAACTTAGTCACTTGGGCCCGCCCGCTTCTTACAAGTAAAGAAGGATTAGAATCCATCATAGATCCAACACTTGGACCAGATTTTCTTTTTGATAGTATATCAAAGGTAGCTGCTATAGCTTCAATGTGTGTCCAACCTGAGGTGTCAAACAGACCTTTCATGGGTGAGGTTGTCCAGGCATTAAAACTGATCTGCAACGAGCGTGATGAAACAAATGAAATCTTCTCCAGAAGTAGCAGTGCGGATGATCTCTCCGTGGAGGATGCTGGTACTAGTAGCACCCCCGACCACTCAGGTGTACAATTCCCACGCGAATTCCCTGTCCCTAATTACCCGAGTGACATTGATGTTGAAAGGGGATTTTCCACATCGGATTTGTTGAGTTCATCGGCAAGATATGCAATGCAAGCTTCTGGATCTCATTCACCCAGGAGGAATTCGAATTCAGGACATCTAAGCACAGGTAAAACCAGACGTCTCTGGCAGAAAATGAGGCATTTATCTGGTGGCACTGTAAGTGAGCATGGCGGAATGTTCAGGTTATGGCATGGATCTCGCTAACATTTGTTTAACATTTCAAAAGTTCTCCCCTCTTGAAAACTTGCTGTGATATTAGAGATTCAGGTGATCAGATCAGTCTAGACCTGGGATTTTTGGCATTGTAATTGAAGGCAAGAACAAGGGAGAGACATTGATTATAGCATTTTTTTTTCTCCAGTTTTAGTAGATGTAAATTTTTCTGTAACATTCGGGTGCAAGATGTAAATTGGAATTAGTGCTGACCTTTATATGAACTTTAACAGAAACCGTAGACCTAGGAAAATAGAGGGGTTTTTTTTATTCTTTTTTTGCTAGCGCATATTTTTGCCCTAATCAAACATTATAGAGTTTTGATTGAAATAAAGAACCTTTATATTGATGTGAAAATAAAAATTTATTTCATGGATAAGTGAGTTAGAATAGACTATTACTTATCTAGATCAACTATAAACAAATGTATTTTGAAATTTTATCCTTTTCTTCATCATACAAGTTTTTATTTTTCGAAAATTGAGTTATCAATGGAGGTCTGAATCGGTGAAATAATAATGGGCTGACTTTGAAGGAAGCTGATCCCTTATACACCTTTGGAAGGTCAAGAGGTGATCTTTTTATTGAATAACACTATTTTTTCTTTTCAGTCATGTACACTGAGTAAATTGAGTAAACAAGATATTGTAGAATTACATAACCTAGTATAATAAAATATGTTGTAATAACATATATATCTTTTCTTAATATACATATACCTTTTCAAAGGAAAAAAAAACAATAGACTGACAATTTCTAACCCCATAATTTAACAACATGCTGCCCAAATAAGAACAAGTTTCTTTATTCCAAAAAAAATAAAAAAATAAAATTGTTTCTTAAAAGTTAACTCCTTTGACATAGGAGGACCTTGAATCAAAGGGGTTAGTTTGCATAAAATGAAACTAAAAAGGGCTCAATTGATACTTTAAATCCAGATTAGGGCCCGAAGGAAATTAACCCAAACTTTGGTACAAAAAATATTTCGGTTTTTCCAGTAAACTGATTTTCTCAGTAGGTCGTCTCCAAAGATCTGACAGTGTGAGTTCCGGCCAAAACCCCCAAACCAGTTTCAACGTATTGATATTTGGAAAAAATGGTAGCAAATTCCTTCTCCCTTTTTTCTCCCCTTTTCGAATTTCCGATGCCACACACACTCACGCAGTAGATTCTTTTTTCTGGTCGGATGTTAGGAAAATGTAATCTGATTTTGTTTTTTTTTTTTTTTGTGGATTTTGTTTTGACCTGGGCAGGCTCAGTCAGTGAAGCCGATCTCCAGCCCAGTTCCTGAGGCATGGTATCCAACTCTGGCGGTGTTGATGCTCGCTGTTGGTCTCATCGTTACCGCTTCCTTCTTCATGTAAGATGCTATTCAAGCTTAAGAATCGTTTAATTTTGATCGCAAGATCAATGACTAGGATTTTGGCGATTTTATTAATAGGGTTTGATAATTATATTATTTGTTTCTTTTACAGTATTATAAGCTGCCGATGGTAATTTTTTTGGTTATTATTATTATTATTTTGATTGGGTCCGAAGATCAATTTTTTCTTTTGTTTGATTAATCTGATTTTAACATAAATTGCTTGATTTAATGACGAGAATTGAGTGAATCCTGTTTGTCTCCGGTGTTTATGTTTATGTTGTGACTTCACGTTGTTAATATGCATTCAATTTTAGAGTAAGATGGTGGTGTAGAACCTATGATTCCGTGAAACTTTGATTGGTATTCTGTATTATCCCATCTCATTCCTTCATAAAGTTTGTTTGTCCACAGTTATTTGAAGGGAGCTGGCCGATTTTTAAACATATTCATCATGTTCTTTGTTTTGTCTTCACTGTAAAGTATTAGTTGTCAGCAGCCTTTCATTTTCGACCAATTACTCTGCAATGCAAATAAATGGAAGAATATTAAGTACTTTTAGATGATTACTCTTCACCTCTTAGCCCGCGTTTGAAATGATTAATGTTTTCAGTTTTTAAATGATTGCTTATTGAGGTTTGCAAAACGTATTGTGGTATGCTATATAGTTTACATGTTTGTTAATCGATTTATAACCAGCTCAGTCGGAGTAATGTGGGGAAAACTAATTTAAAAGGAACATGTGTGTTTGAGCTTGGCTAGCTTACATTGTGAATTCTAGTTTGATGTTCAATCAATATACTTCGGCATTTGGCTTTTCATTCTCTGGTCATTCCTTTTTATGGTCTATGTATTTGATGTTGTTTGTATTGGTTTTGCCAGACGCTTTTCATTCCTGTAGTTGTTGATATTCCGGACTCATGGTAGAGCGGATACTTCCTTTTTCTTGATAGTAGTGGTGCTCAAGTGTTTCAGTTTGTGATATATCATGAACAACTGTAGACAAGTGGCAACGTATAGGTTAGCCTTTAAATGTTTTGCTCTTTATTATTTATCTTAGTAAGCCATCAGTGGCTCTCTAGATGCTTTTCTTGGAATCTTGGCCATTCTGCCATTGATGAAGCACCAGATCTACTTCATCTGGAAGCTCTCTTATGGTAGAAAATTACCTTCAAGAGTGAAGACTAGGTTATTACTTGGTTCAGTACTCTTGGTGATGACTGACTAATCTGATGCAATTCTATTGCGGCCAGAAAATCCCAAATTAGAGAAACTATTATACAATTCTATCCGCTTCTTTATCAATCTCGTTTTTTTCTCCTCTTTTTTTTTTTTTTGTTTCCTTCTAATTGTTTTTCCTGTCCCTTATGGTATTCCGAACCTTAGTAGATTTTGGAAGAATCCCAGTTCAGTTAGAAAGGCAAAAAAATCTTCTGATATTAGAGGCCCAGTATCTTGTTAATAATGTTTCGACTTTGAGCATTTTTCATCTTTGTTTAGTTTAAGACGACTTTGTGTTTTTGTCCCCTACGGCTGGTCTCTAATTCTTGTTCTAGTTTATCGTTGATCCTTTGTTTTCATCATAATGTTACAAGCTATGTTTAAGGACTTGTATATGATCAATATTACATGATTTTCTTCTGAAATCAATGGGCTTTTGTAATCTTGAACTAACTTTTGGTCTTGTGCGGTTGGCATTTTCGAACAATGAACAGTTGCTTGCTAATCATTACAGCTTAAGCTAGCTTTGACAATATCTGATATGACTTTTGTACTTACCAGTCTATTTCACATGAAAACATATCATGTTGGTTTTTTCTCCCTCATTCTGGATATCTTAAGATGGTTTCTATTCGGGTCTTTATGGGTTTAGTTGTGCTTCTATCTCTGAAGTTTTACTTGTGAACAAATATCTATGCAGATACGAAGCTACCATCTCAAAGAAGAACCGCAGCCTTGCTAAGGAGCTCTCCACTGGAGCAGTGGCATCAGTCTTTCTGGTAAGTTTGCTGGCCGTTTTCTAGTCAGATTTTGCTACATTTCTACCCATATCTTTATCTAACATTTGTGGGTTTGTGATTCTAATTAAACAGCATTTGTTCCATGCAGGGCTTTGGGTCCTTGTTCTTGCTACTTGCTTCTGGGGTTTATGTTTGATTTCCTCGTACTATATTGGTGGGGACTTAGTTAAAAGTGAACGAGATACGTATTTAAATGTAATAGCTTCTTAAATTTTGGGAGTTCTAGTTGTTCATTGAAAAGATTTGCCTAACTTTGTCTTATATTAGTTACGATTCTTGTTGTTTATCCCGTAATCAACTGCCTAGTTTAAGATCCAAACTAGAAAAACAAGGTTTTGCTTGGGCTGTTGGAATATAGTGCCCGGAGGCAGATCATCCATGATCGATGGCTGTGGCTTATTATCTGCAGACTGCAGTGGTATTTAAGGAGAAACTGGAAACAGAGTAATCAGAGATGATTATTCAAAGCTATAAGAAACAAAACTTGGATGATGAACTCAAGAATCTTTCTTCCCCGACACAAAATAGAACGAAAACTTGTGTTAAATTATCAATACAAAATCGGAGATGATTATAAAGATCTGTTGCTTTTATAGGAGTAAAATTTGTTGTCGTTAACTACAAAAGGAGAAAATGAATATTGCAATTAGAGTTCGTCTCAAACTAATATTTTTTTTTGCATATTAGGAACAAGTTTTCACGTTTCCAATTCCAATATAGACTTTTACATTTGTGGTACCCCTGTTCATCGGTTCAAAACAAAAAACAAAAATAAAAAAGCATTTGTTTATAGCCTTTTATAATTTGGTTGGAGAAACTAGAAAGGAAAAGTGAAAAAAAAAAAAGAGAGGGAAACTTTCTTTTCAGAGGATTGAAAATTTTAAAATTATTTTTCGAATGATTTTTCTTTTTATTGTTATTTTTTAAGTACATATACAAAAAAAGAAAAAAAAATAGCTGGCTCCACTAGAAATGAATAATCGATGCAGCGCCAAACTCTCTATTACCCGTAGTCTCTCCCGTACATTAAACACGGGGCAGCTGTGGAGTACTCACTTCTATCAATTTTTACTGCGTGACTGTGTGTTTTGTGTGTGGGTTGGTGTAGGTCCCGGCATTTGTCAAACACAGTAATTGACTGTCTGCTCTCACTTCCTCTCTGTTTTTCGTTGTTTCTTTTTTTTTTTCGAACTTTTCATATAACCTCCTCGGCAATGGAAACCGCCGCTGCTACTCCGACCAGCCAGCCCAAGAGGCGGGGCCGACCAAAGGGCTCCACTAAATCCAAAGCCGACGCCGAGCGCGAGTCCGCCGCTGATACTCCCGGAGTTCCCAGGATGAGAGGCTCCGCCAGCAAACGCAACGCTGCTACCGACGAGAAGTACACGCAGTGGAAATCTCTTGTTCCGGTTCTCTACGACTGGCTTGCTAATCATAACCTCGTTTGGCCCTCGCTTTCCTGTCGGTATGGTCTACTTTTGTCCTTTGATTCTTGTCCGGTTTAATGTGTGTCTGGGGGAGGTTTACTAGGGTTTATGGGGGGTTAGGGTTTTTCGTTTGTTTGTGAAGACTAAGGGAAAATGCAGCTTATATTTTTGATGTGTTCGTTTTGATGTTTGTGTTTTAGTGTTGACTATGGAAAGCGATATTATTCATCTTAGCGTAAACTTGTTTTGTAGTGATATTAATTTTAAAAATTCTTCCCCTAATTTTTTGATATGCAACAAGATTAACTGATTCAGGAGTTTGTATCTGTTTATTAAAAACGAATATACATGTGCCTAATTACGTGTGCTTTCCTTCAATTGTTTGATTGGGGTTTCCAAAAGTTTGCAAGGATAGGTTGGTTTTTAGCTATTAAACTGTAAATGCAAATTATTATTGTGCTTGTCAGATGCAAGGACTCTTTTTTGTGATTGCTCTGTGTGTATGGGTATCCTTTTTTTGCTGCTCTACTGATGATGAACTTGAACCCATGTTAAATTTTCATTTTTGATCTGTTTGAGCAGTTGGGGTCCTCTACTTGAGCAAGGAAGTCACAAGAACCGGCAGCGCCTTTACCTTTCTGAGCAAGTATGTTATTCTTTAATTTTAAAGTATGAAGATGGCACACATGATATTTTTCCAACTAGTTTTGTTTCAGTGTGGCGACCTCACTTGGTTGAAAACATTTCTAATTTTGTGCATCCTTAACGTGTGGTAGTCACACTAAAACATGGGCTAATGTTTGCAACTTTTGGCTTGATATACTTATTCTCTTGGTTTCCAGATGCCTAGTTTTCGAGTTTGAAATTTTCTTACTGGCGCCATTCATCTTTGACTTTTTGTGCCTAGTTAGGGAATAAATTTGTGGTGTGTTAATATCTGTATGCTAATAGTGTCTCCTTTTTTTTTTTTTTTTTTTTCGTTCTGTGCAGACTGATCATTCTGTACCAAACACTCTGATTATAGCAAACTGTGATGTCGTCAAGCCTCGTGTTGCTGCAGAAAATCACATAGCAAATGTATATCTATTTTTTGTTGAATTTCCTATTGTTATCTTGGTGATTTTCTTTGAAGCATTTCTCTCCTCATACTTATTGCTGTTTGTTGATTGCTAGTTTAATGAAGAAGCCCGCTCACCATTTGTCAAAAAGTACAAGACGATTATACATCCTGGCGAGGTATCAATCACTTATTCTTCTTTCCTCTGCATCTTGTAGTAAATGATTTTATATTGTTGTGTCATATTTTACTTTTCTTTGGTCAATGATGTTTTTGTCATGCTTTTTTAATTGCGCTACCATGTTGCAGGTCAACAGAATTAGGGAACTTCCTCAGAACAAAAATATTATTGCAACACATACTGATTGCCCTGAAGTAAGTGGATGACCTATCTGCTTATGGATTTCTGAAGAAGTTGAGAATCTTCTTACCTAGTTCAATATCTACTGTTGTAGGTCCTCATCTGGGATGTCGAAGCCCAACCTAATAAGCATGCTGTTCATGGGGCAGGGGAGTCTCGCCCTGATTTGGTGTGCATTCTCTTAGTCCTCAATAACTTATATCTTATTTTTCTTCTTTTTGTGAAAAAAATCATTATTACCATAATATTCATATTGCATTGTTAATTATGACTTTGCATTTGCTTTTTAATACAATGAGTCATGTTCGGTTCATCTTGCTCGACATTGATGGTATTGTTGTGTGATTGGATGCCAGTAGTATTGGAAATTTGTTTGTCAGTCATATTCTTGTATATGGAAAAATATTTGGGAGCATCTATTGACTTATGACATACTCCTCTCCATTTTTCTTATGTTCTTTTTTTTTTCTCGACCTTTATTTTTCTCATTGCAAGTACTTGACTGAATTTTAAATGATCTAAGTGTGCAATTTCGCTTTCAGTGGTTTTAGTGCCTGTAGGGTTTCATGAAATCGTGCGAGATGATCTTTTGCAGGTATTGACCGGGCACACGGATAATGCTGAATTTGCCCTCGCAATGTGCCCATCTGAGCCCTTTGTACTTTCTGGAGGTTGGAATTGTTTTAATATCTTTTTCGTCTATTTCGAAACTGAATCGGGTCGAATTATTATGAAGCCTTTGGATACATTCTGTTTTTAAGATCTTTTTTTTTTTCCCTCTTTTTCTTGGGTCAATAATTTTAAGATATTCTTGAATTTGTTCAGGTTAATGGTCTGATCTTATTTTATTGCCTTGTTAGTACTTGAGATATGTTGGTTCCAAACTTTGCTAGCATGCACTATTATCAACCAACAAAAAGAATTGGAGAGACTTGATTTTTCAATCCTCTGAGATGTATCGTGAGATATCTTAGTTTGATGAAAGTGCCATGCTGTTATGATGTGTTTTAAAAAGGATTTTCTGGAATGTGTTTGTTTTTCTTTTCATGTGCTTTCTTCGGTTAATGATCATTGGTGGACCTCTCCGCAGGGAAGGACAAGCTTGTGGTCCTCTGGAGTATTCAAGATCACATTTCTGCATCAGCCAGTGATGGATCAAAGGCCTCCGCTTCTGCTGGGTCGATCGTTAAACCTGCTGATAATTCCCCTGTTCAGCCACGTGGTATTTTTCAGGGGCATGATGATACTGTTGAAGACGTGCAGTTTTGCCCATCAAGGTAATCCTCGGTTAAACATTGTTCTCCAAATAAAGCTTTTATTTTCCTGGGAATGTACATTTAAACTTAACAACCATTTATTTCTCCAACGGGAAGAGTGACCAATTATCTACCTGCTTAGAAGCACTGGGATTTAGAATCTTATTAGTGATTACTGATTTCCTGCAATTATGTTCTGAATGGACGTCTGAATGAATACCTTCTTTTATAATTGTTTTTCCCGAATGCATTTTTCTGGTTACGGTGCTTTATTCTCTTATTGCATTCATTTGAAGCCAATATTTGCTGGAACATTTGTGCAGTTCACAGGAGTTTTGTAGTGTCGGTGATGATTCTTGCCTAATATTATGGGATGCACGGTTAGGAAATAATCCTATTTTGAAAGTAAGTTGGATCTGTCCCTTGTTTTTTATTTTAATTAGCTTGAGATACTACTATCCAAAAGTATGATGAGTTCTTCTTTTGACCTATTCGGTTATCAGTCCCTTATAAATTACATTTAGAAGGATTGCACCTCCTGAGAGTGAGCTATATTTGTTTAACTATGAATGGCCCTGATGGCTTCTTATGCTAAATGGTACAGAGTTTGGCATTTGTTAGCTGATCCTTGGAACTTGAATTAGTAGTTGAACTCATGGGTCGGGGAATGACAGTTTAGTCGAGAACTGAACTTTGTGTACTCTCTTTACGAGGTCTTTTGAACCCATTTTACTGAGTCTTCTGTGTTCATATTTACTGGAATCTTGTTTTCCTTGTCAACACAATGGATGAACAAGGCTTCCACTGTTATTTGTTTGGAAATTGGAGTATCTCAAGACTTGGTTCAAAAGGAAATTGGAACTATTTGGGCATGGTTTTGTGTTTGCAGAAATGGCTCCCTTTATGGAAAATAACTATTCTATTCTCCTTGGGTTTTCAAAATAGCAATTGTTTCTTAATTGGATTACTATGAGCAAAAGAGCCTTAGCATCATGCGAATTTATGGTTTAGACTGATCTGAAGTCCTGTTATGATAGGTTGAAAAGGCACACAATGCTGATCTCCACTGCGTTGATTGGAATCCTCACGATCAAAATCTTATTCTGACTGGGTATGTTCTCTCTTAAGTTTGATTCGTCCAACATCTGGAAAGTTTACCCTTCAGATGTCTCTTTAAATTGGCAATTAATTTTCCATCTTTATTGCCACCTTTGGAACTTGGACTTGGATTTTTACATTTTGAATAGCGAAAAGATTATTGTAATTCTATTTTCTTGAAGGTGAACCTCATATGTTTTACTGAATGGTAATGTTTCCTTAGGTCTGCGGATCACTCTGTGCATTTGTTTGATCGCCGGAAGCTAACACCTGATGGGACTGAATCTGTGGTACATAAATTTGAAGGCCATACAGCTGCTGTGCTTTGTGTTCAGGTGGTGATTTTGTTTTTGCATATTTGGGAGTAAATCACGACTCATTCTGTTCTTTCTGACAAAGAAACATCACACTTTTTCTAAAACAGTGGTCTCCTGATAAATCCTCTGTCTTTGGAAGCTCTGCGGAGGATGGTCTACTCAACATCTGGGATTATGAAAAGGTACCGATGCCCCTTTTATTTTAAGTAACCATTGTTTTAGAATTTCGATACTCAAGACTCAAATGGCTTTAGACTCTCGATCTTGTGTAACTGCAGAATTTTCAGTTTAGACCCTCAATTATAGAATGCTCGTCGGTGCTTGATTTCAACTGTTAGTTACTCTTTTCTGTTTTGTCTTGTAGGTTGGGAGAAAGTTAGAAAGTGGGACCAGGTCTCCAAGTCCTCCTCCAGGCTTATTTTTTCAACATGCTGGCCACAGGTTAGGGCCATGGGCCAATCTCTTCATCACAGACAATTCCAATGCCAAATATGATGGATTCTTTTATATTTTCTCCATTTACTATGTTTTTCGAAGCTTTAACGTGCCGTCGATGATGATAATAATCTGAGTTGCAATCTTGAATCGCTAGATATTGTTATAATTCTGGAATTGTGGTGAGTTTACATGGATATTCTTTTTTTCCCTTCTTGGAACTGTTTCAGAATCTGTTTTTGTTTTTCTTCCCTCTTTGAGCACCAACTACTCTTCAATTCTAAATTGTGAATATATCCAATCAAATACATCAATGATGGCAAAACAATTATAATTCAAAATTAGAATATTTATGATCCTTTTCTTTTCACCCCTGAATTGCTCGTTGATTGTCATCTGGTCATGTTAATAAGACAGCAAAGGGGCTCATTCCTTTATAGTTTCCCGTGTTACAGTAAAGCTTTTCTTTGGCAATTTTTATATCAGTGTTTCTAATTGATACCAGGGATAAGGTCGTGGATTTTCACTGGAATGCACATGATCCGTGGACCGTTGTTAGCGTTTCTGATGATGGTGAGAATAGCGGTGGTGGGGGTACACTACAGGTATGAAGTCTAGCTCCTGGTATTTGCTGAGTGTGTGTTGGTTATGTCATTATCCACCATCTAAATATACGTGGTTTTGTCATCTCTGCAGATATGGCGAATGACCGACTTGCTCTACAGGCCTGAGGATGAAGTCCTAGCTGAGCTGCAGCATTTCAAAGATCACGTGATTGACTGCACATCTAAGTCGTAAAAGAGAGTTTGAGAGTATTAGGAATTGCGGGAACTAGTGTGGTGTGGAGAACCGTTTGATGTATGTAAAAGTGTACGACGTTTAGGTTTATGTAGTCCGTTGTTTCCCATGGTAGGAAAACAAACCCGAAAACTAGACATCAGAGTAGCTCATTCTCTCTTCTCTTGTGGAACTTTGCACTTTTGTGTTTGACATGTTATTGCCGGTTTATTTGGCTAGGTACTAGAACTTAAGCAGAATTCGTGTTCGACTTGATGTCTCATCTTAAATGTTGGTTTCTAACGAAGCTTTGTTAAAATGCACGGTGCCTTTCACAACTCACCTTATTGTGTTAGTTGTGAATTTCACATAAATGAGAAATGAACTCGATGAGATGAATATCATAGCGCAAGTTTATTGCACTACGTACAGCAAGATCAGGATTAACAACTTTCAAGCACATCATTAACGTGGAACAGAAAAACCATTTCTCATCCAAATCTGGTAAACCACGATGATGATGATAAGGTGAGATCAAAATTCTAAACAGGATATAGATACATCGCCAACCCAAACGACAAGAATAATTTCTCTCTAGCCAATTAAAATAAATTTGCCCCGTCTAGAGAAGAAGATCCCACTTTCACATTTTACTACATGGTCAAAAAAAATCAAATTCTGGTAGGAGCAGGCTGTGTATCACATTGCAAACTGTAACAGTAAAAAAACTGGGATATAATTTTTCACCCTTGCATGGTAATTATGTTAAAGTGGTAAACGATAAACATGCACACATCTGTACTATTCTGTAGCCGTCTGTCATTTTTCAGTCGTAACCAGCTATTGCTATACGCAACAGCTATCCTGACAGGGTTAATTCATCTTTCCTTTCTGAATGTTAAAACCAGTTTTTACGGCCTTGGTCTTCTTTGACCCTGCCACAGTTACTTCTGGTAATAATGGCGTGAAACTGTGAACTGAGCTTGACCGATCACATTTTCCAATTTTATTTCGGAAAAGAAAGAAAACAACAAAAATCATTTTCCTATTCCTCGAGTGCCACGTCATCGATTCCCCCACCACCAAAAACCACGTCACCGTACCCAATCTTCTCTCGGTCCGTCCTCATTGTTCTCGTGGCACCGCCCAACAAAACCCGCCAACTCCCCCCCGTACTCCATTTATATAAATAAAACCCCTCCATCTCCGGACCCCACCCCCCACATTCTCTCTCACGCACACACACAGTGGGAAAAAGAAAAGAGAAAGCAACAAATCAAAAAAAATGTGTGTTGTGTGACCCTCTATTCGGTATTCGCCCCCACATTTCCCTAGAAAAGTAGTAGAAGAAGTAAGTATAAACAGAGCTGCTAATAATATATTCGCATCACATTTATCACACGCTATCCAGTTTTCTCTCTTTTACTTCCTTCTTTCCTCGTGGAGCGTATGGAGGAAGGATCCAGAACCACCTCCCGGAAGAGACAGAGAGAAAGTGATGGGAGTGAATGCGGCGGATACGATGCCGAAGAGGAGGAGGTGGCGTTGACGAAGAAACCGGCTGCTAGTACTCCGGAGAGCACCTCCGACGATGTCGACGGAGAACGGGAAGATATGACGGCGTGGTTTACCGGTCTGGATGGGGACGCTGTGGCTGAGATTTTTGACCTCTTGGACTCCTCGGAGCCGGCGGCGGCGGCGTCTCTGCCTCTACAGCCGGTCAAGTTTATCGACAATCCTTACTCGTCGCTGGTGATTTTTCAGTCTTCTTCGGCTTACGTTACCATCAACGGCAACGAGGAGTCTTGCGGTTCGTCGTTCTCTGACTTGGATTCATCGGTAATGGCGAGCGTTGACATGGGCGGCGTTCGCGGACTGGTCAGGAGGCTTTCTGGTGAGCTGAATGTTGGTGGCGGTGGTGCTGAGGAGGAAGAGGAAGGGGCGGCGCGGGGGTGGTTAGAGGAGAGGGATTTCGTGGAGGGCATTTTAGTCAAATCAGTAAGCGATTGTGATTTTTTTGGTAGCCCTCCGCCGTCGGGTTATAACTGCGACGAGAATGAGGATCTTGGCGGCGGAGGCGGTTGTGGTGGGGAGGAGGAAATGTGGATGAATTTTGAGGCTGAGGATTGGTTTGTTGGGTCATGGTAAAAAATTCTGACTTTCACTAGGAAACAAACATTAACCAGCGGCGGTAGTTTTTTGAGGATTTACTGTAGAAACTATAACTAGTGGTGGTAAATTGGTAACAGTTAAAAAGGTTAATCCATTTTGGGCATTTTGAGGTTAACAAAGCGATTAGGAAGGCGGTTAGGGGTTTTCTACGGATTTTAGAAATTGCTTTTGGGGATCAGCCCACATTAATCAATCTATGTCTGCAGATAATTCTAGAAGTGGCTGTAGCCTGTAGTTAAAAGTAGTAGTAATTGGTAAATACAATACCTTGTGGAGAAACTGCAGTAAACAAGGAAGTATGAATGCGGATTTTCTTACGCTTTTCTTGAATCAGTGAAATTTTAGTTTTTGCCCATTTCCCCCCTTTTTTATTGACAAAAGATAAATCATTATATTGGTTTTATAAAATATGAATCACCAATTTAAAGGATAATATTTGTTTGAGAATAAGCCAATTTTGGATGTCTATCATCCCTCCCAAGTCTCGCACGTCGAAAAATATTTCACCAGTTATCACTTATTGATTGTAGTTAGCTTGTTGTTTTGTTTTAAAGGTGTTTAGTAGTTTTTCTTTTCAAAATTTTTAATTTTCTACAATTACAATATTTTTGTTTACACTTTCATTACACAATAATATTTTCAACGTAAAAGATGTACACTGAAGTACTGAACAAACGAAATAAGGAGAGCTTACCATTTAAAAAAAATAAATAAATAAAATAAGGAGAGCTCCATTTGAAAAGCAAAAAGTTTCTTTATGCATTGCATGGAACTCACACACGATGACTTGTTTATTTAATCGATAGTAGATTCATGACAGTAAATAACTACACTTATTCATGAGTTTAAAATTGAGGGAGCAATCTAATTGGTATAAAGCTTTCGCCAAGTACTACAAAACACCTCGAGTGGGAGGTGGTTGGTCAAAGCCCCACTAGAGTTATACTTGGGGCATGTCTAAGTAGAATAATACTCCTTTTATTCTAAAATAATTGTCATCCTATATTTTATTAGAGCTGAGATATATCATTTTGATACAAGCAAGTTTCGTTATCGATGGAGGACAAAAACAGTAATTAATGAACAAGCAAAATTACCAGGGCCGGAAGACTTTAGTTTAAGGCCTTAGTGCAAAAATAGAAATGGCCCCAATATTTGTATATATTATTTTCTTAAGAAAACAAATATTTGTATATAATTCTTGTTTATGAGTTTGGGAGCGATTTCGCCCTCGAGTTTTTGAGCATAAATAAATAGTTGTCGGAATTTTGTTGCTAAAACAAATTCACCTATATTGATTATCGAATAAAAATTAATCCGAGTATGATGCTTATAATACTATATACTACATACCTATTTAGGTCCTAGGAGCTTGATTGCAAATGAAATAGGTGGGTAATGTTAGCAATGAGTCATTTGGGTTTTTGTAAGGCTCTTTTAGCCTCTACCTGAAGGTGATACTTCATGGACTCTCAGACTCGAGACTCCAGAAGGAATGGGTGATTGCATTGTTAATGGGCTTTTGGGGAATGATAATCCAATGTGAATATATAATATGCGATGGGCTAATGACTTCTAGTTCTAGGTGACGATGATCATGAAGGGGTACCTTTTTTTTTTTTTTTTTTTTTTTTTATCAGAATGGCATTTATATCATACAAAAGTTACATGCCAATCATCCGTGGATAAGCTACTCCTACACAATATCGTAGTTTAACCACCAAAATACGCCTGGTGACGGTGAGTCCAATCTTGTTAGGCCAGACGGATTCAGCTCTGCCAGCGATGCCATCCAATCGGCAACAAAACTACTCTCCTTAAATACTTGTTTTAATTTAACAGACTAAGATCTATCCATCAGCTCCCGGATTGCTTTCAAAAGACCGTAATGCGCGCACAGCGGTATATTCCTATCTAGTATCACCTTCGTTTCTATCATTTTAAACCCTTTGTCCCATGCTAGCCAAAGTCCCTGAAATAGGCCCCAAAGTTCAGCTCTTGTTATAGTGTAATACCCTATATTCATCACAAAGCCCCCACACCATCTGCCTTGGTTATCCCTTATCACGCCACCTGCTGTTGCCAAGCCTGTTGTGCTATTCACTGTCCCATCTGAATTTATTTTCATCCATCTGACAGAGGGAGGACTCCATTGAACCCAGATCTCCTTTTTCACACTAGTAGAAGCCCCTATGGCTTTTTGGTATGTTTTCACATCCCTAATTTCTCTTTTCTTATGGAAGATCTCCCTTAGTTTTCTATCGATTGGGATGTTCTCTCCTGTAAACACCACTGCATTCCGCCACTTCCAGAGCTTCTACGTAACAATGCCAAGAAGAATAGGCCAGTCCCCTTCAATTTGTGCCCTCTTCTGGAGGTTCTCTATCATCCAATCATGAACCGGACCTGAGAAGAATCGGTACAAAGGATTCAGTGGAACTAACCTCAGCCAGACCTCCCTTGCTGTTGGGCAATCTCTCACCACGTGGATTGCATTTCTTGCAAATAACTGCGGCTCAAGCATACCTCACCATCCGTCAGATGCCGCCGGCTTCTCTCCACATTTGTGAGCAGCCGTTCCTTGGCTAGCATCCAAAGAAACGTCCTGATTCTTTGTGGATCGTCCCAACTCCACACATACTTCCATATGATCTCCTTGAATGGCTGGGATTGATGTTGCACCACCCCATATGCTGTTCTAACCGAGAAACTGCCCGTGGTTGCAAATCTCCATATAAGGACATCCTCCCCTAGCCGTGAATTAGGGGGCAGAACTGCAGCAATCCTCGGCAGAGCCATGGCTGGAAGACGACTTGCAAACATGTTCCAATTCCATCGGTCCTGTGCATCGACAAAACAGTTCACCGGCAGTTGCAAATCTGCTGGTGATATCTCTGTAAGTGCTATAGTATATAGCGGTGGCAACCCTAATACCCACTGGTCCAGCCAAAACATGGCTGTTGCCCCATTGTTCAAAGCCCACCTACATCTTTCTTTCACTCGAGCCCAATTCTTTTTTATTCCCTTGTAACAGGTTATAGCATTTGGTTTGTCAGGAAGCAGTAGCCCATTATCAAACCTTATACCATTTTTTGCCTTTATCACTCTCACCTACAAAACTTGGTCACCAGTCAATAATTGCCATCCCAACTTCATCATAAATGCCATATTCATGCTCCTTTGTTTTTTGAGTCCCATACCACCTTGCTGTTTATCAAGACACATCTCCTCCCTTGGGACTAAACTCATCTTCCTGGTATGCTCATTGCCACCCCAAATAAATCTTCTCATTTCTTTTTCGAGGTCCTCACATACCGCTATCGGTAGCATCGTGGACTGCATGGAATAATATGGCAGAGAGCTTATGATTGACTGGGCTAAAGTAACTCTGCCAGCCAAGGATAACTTTGAAGGATTCCAGCCCCTCATTCTCTTCTTCACATTTTCCAGAACTCCACCATAAGTCCTTTTTGTCACCTTCCCATGGATCAATGGCATACCTAGGTATTTGCCTAGGTCTTCGACAACCGAAAACCCCATCTTCTCCGCCAACGCCTTCCTCCTGTGAGAATGCACATTCTTTGAAAAGTGAATTTTTGTCTTTGTTGAGCTGATCTTAAGCCCCGAGGATTGACAGAATTCATAAAGTACATTTCTAACAATCTCTGCCTGCCTTTCAGAAGCTTCTGTAAAAAGGAGGATATCGTCCGCAAATAAAAGATATGGCACCTTGACTGTATTCCTCCCAAAAGTGATTGGCTGCCATTCACCCCTTTCCACCCTTTCCAGAATTGTGTGAGCTAGCCTTTCAACACATCGTACAAACAAGTACGGGGATAATGGATCCCCTTGGCATAGACCCCTTGTGGTTTTGAAAGCTTCCAAAGGTTCTCCATTCCACAACAATTTCATGGAAGGACTACAAACACAACATATGATTGACCGAATGATCCCCGGTGGTAACCCATCCCTTTGAAGAGTTTCTTCCACAAAGTCCCACCGTACCATATTGTATGCCTTTTCTAAATCAATCTTTAGAGCCATAAACCCCCGTTTCCCCTTAGCATTTCTCATTGTATGAATAACCTCTTGCGCCACAATAATATTTTGATTTATATGCCTCCCCGGAACGAAGCTTGTTTGTGCGCTCCCAATCAACTCCGGAAGAAAGGGTTTAATACAGTTCGCAAGAAGTTTCATAGAAATCTTGTAAACCACGTTACATAGACTAATGGGCCAGAACATCTTTATGGACATCGGATTTTCAACCTTAGGTATAAGCACAATTAAGGTTTGATTGAGCTTATCGGGCATCCCTCCATCTTCCACAATAGCTCTTACCGTCTTGCACACCGTTTTACCAACAATAGACCATTGTTTCTGAAAAAAGACAGCTTGCAATCCATCCGGTCCTGGAGTCTTTAGCGTGCTCATTTCAATCAAGGCCTCATGAATTTCCAAGTTCGTGACCTGTCTCTGTATCATTTGAAGCTGGGTAGGTTCCAGCCTTGGAAAGCAAATGGTGGTGGAGAATCTGACATACGGCAGAATCACTGCAGCATAAACCTCCTTAAAGAATTTTGTAGCCATTTCATCTAACTCTCTCTGATCTTCAATCAATATCCCAGCGTCATTGACCAAAGCCCCAATCCTATTTCTCCTCCTTCTACCTTGTACAAAACTATGGTAGAACTTTGTATTTTTATCCCCATCAAGAGCCCAATCCCTGGTTGATTTCTGCACCAAGAGAGCTCGTTCCTGCATCAACAACATATCCATTTCCTTCTGCAACTCCAATTCTAGATTATCAAGCCACAGTCAGTCATACGATTCTTCTGCTCTCTGTATCCCCGCCAATCGAGCCATCACTCTCCTTTTCTTCCCCAAGATATACCCAAAGACCTCCCAGTTCCATCTGGTTGCCAATCCCCTGAAATTGGATGCTGCCTCATTGAATGGTAGAGTTAAATCCAAGAATTCTTGACAAAATTCTGAAAATCCTCATAAAGTAGCCACGCCGCCCAGAACTGAAACGGCCTCTCCCTTCTGCCTTGAACCTGAGAACACCCAAAATTCAAAAGAAGAGGGTTATGATCAGAGTTTCTTTTCGGTAAATGCCTGCACAAATCATCCTCATACTTTTCCAGCCATAATTCATTGCAAAGAAACCTATCTAGCCTCCTTTGGAGCCCTCCTCACATCCATGTAAATTTCATACCATTATTTCTAATCTCCCGGAGCAGATTATTGAGAATCCACTCCGCAAACAGAGAGCAGGTTATTTTTCTTTTAATTGACCTGTCTCTACTCTCCGACTCAAAAAGAATACTATTAAAGTCTCTCCTCTACCACCCAAGGACCCTCAATCCCTCTGGCAATTATATCAAGTTCCCCCCAAAGCTCTCTTCGTACCCCTGGGACCGGATTTGCATACACAAACGTCGCGTACACCGATTCCAACCCCCTTGTTATTTTTGCGTGGACATAATGTCTATAACAACCCAAGATTTCCACCTCTACCGTATCCCTCCATAATACCCAAATCCCTCCTGCAAACCCTATCGCCTCTACCTTGAAAGATCTTTCGACCCCTCGTTCCCGAATAAATGAGTCCACCTCCTTACTGCTTATCCTTGGTTCGAGAACTGCAATCACTTCAAGTTTATATTGTTGTAGCATCTCATCAAAAGTTAGTCCAAAGGGAGTAGATCCTGCCCCTTGGACATTCCAATAAACTATTTTTAAATTCATTAATATATTCACAAGATTTATAAACAGAGCTACCTTGGCTTATTCCACGGTACTAGGGACGAAAGTCCCAGGAGTATCATCTTCTTCTATGGGCTGCATTTCTGGGGAGCTGGCATCTACCATCTCCTCCTCCAGCTCCAACGACCTACATAACTCTTTGGTCATCTGCTCCCCCACCGGTGAAACGAGTCGATTATTCTCATCCATTACCACCACGTCTTCTAGAACATCACCCCCAGCCTCAATCTCCATCGCCGATGATCGTTTGTGGGTAGCCCGAATCAACACCGCCTGATGTTTTTCCGGGTTAAGACTACGACCGTGGCATTTGGAAATGGTTTTTTGATATTTTCTGGGTCACAACTGGGTTTGTCCTCAATATCTCTGCTACCTGGGTTGGTTCTTCCCTTGTGGGACTTGTTGCTCTCCCCCTGCTGTGAAGGGGTACGTTTTGTTAGATAAAAATTATACGTCTCCTACAAAAGGTTGGCTCAGTTGTGGATGCCAATACGGGATTAAGAAAAGCGCTGGATACTCCCTGTTGAATCCACAGTGGTTAAGGATTGATTAACACGGGCAGGAGATTGAGAAACAAAGAGCTGAGAAGAACGTACTGGTATAGGTTATGGAGGATTTCTGTAAATCTTTTATGAAGCTAGAAATCAATATGAAGGGATTACTTCTACCCACTGGTTTTGTTATGTTGTTCGTTTAATGTTGTTCAAACTATAGATGAAGTGCTTCACAATCAAATACTTCTTCTGTCTTTTGTGAACTTAACATGTATTATTTTTTTGGGGACAAAAGGGTATTGTATTATATGGCTAACAAGTTAGAAACCGGTAAACTTGTTATACTTATACCAGGGAGTATCGAGAAAAAGGTCTATTATGAAGATGTTGATATCGTGTTACCAATATGGATGCATTTGATTACATGAAATAGATTTAAAATATTGGCATCTTTCTTCGCTGAGTAGAATTGCTGGCACCAAGATTGATGAATTTACTTCGAACAAAATTAGGGCAAGCTATACTATTAATTACAAAATGGGAAGACGCATTTAGCTTTGAATACTAAAAATACTGGGGGTGGTGCAGTTCAACCTCTACCTCAATTTTGCTTTATCTTTTGGTATTGCTCCTTTATTTCTTTTGTGCTCGTTCACTAATTATTTACCGAGGTTGGTCTGTCTTTCAGTTGACTGAGAAATCAGCTTGCCCTGGTTTTCGACCATTTCCTTAATTTGAGGTGAAAATAATAATAAGAAAGAAATTATGTAAGAGAACACAAGTAGCTAGAGCTCAATTATTCCGTGTACATATATTGAATATAGATTAGACTTTTTTTTTTCCTGAATATCCCAAATGCATGAAGTATGTATGATGGACCTGTAAAGATGCTGATTCAATTTGCATGCTCTCACCTACTCTGCTTCTAACCAAATATCAGCATAAATTAACCCTCCAACTCAATCTCCTCCTAACTTCTATCTGTACACAATATTGTCACCAACACACCACAAAAATCTGTCCTGCTCAAGAAATTAATGATTTCTTTGATCATTGAGCGAGATGATGATAAGTCTTCAAACTTTCTGGCCACTCTTCCTGCTTTGATCTTAACTTTGAACACGGAAGCTGACACAAATGCGAATCCATTTTCTTGGATCAGAGAAAATGACATTCACTCAGGTGAAGGGAGTTTGCCTATAACGCTGCTTCCTTGCTCGGAGTTGTGATTAAAGCAGAAAGAAGTGGCTAGAGAAAAGGTGCTTAGTTGGTTCCTTTCTCGGTTTGGATGTTACACACTTTTGTTGAATCATTATGAAAACCTTTTTTGTTATATAAACGACATGATTCGATACAATTCATGAATATGGAAATGCATAAAACAGAATTCTACTGTCGATAATGTCGGATGATCACTAGATACTCGAGAATATCATTTGAGTTTAGCAATATCTACTGTATTTATTTCATAGGGTTTGTCGGTATCATCAAGAATTAGCATTTTAATTGCACTCAAGAACCTTCATACAATTGTGTTATTATAATTATATAATATGTGTTTGACTTATTGTTTTTTTCAGATTAATATAGAGAAATAATGTTCGTAATTGTTTGTCTCCGAAATGAATTGAAGATTTGAGTAGCTTTTATGTCCTACGCTTTTCTTTTTTACGTTGTACGCGCACATTGAGAGATATCATTATAAATGGGAAAATGAAAACCGACACTTTCGGTCGGTTCTTGATTATTCAAAAATTACACTGTATAGTTGGTTATTTTGTGTGAAGTTTTCAAATTGAATTTAGCGTCATTATTAGTTTCTTGTTAGTTAGATTAATTAATTTAAATTTCATGCCGATGACTTATAAATTGTACAACATCAAGAAGAATTTGGAAAAAGGAATATGCACGTAATTGACTTACTAGTCAGATTGCTAAACCAAATAGCTAACCAAAACGTGATTAGATATTATTATTATTATTATTATTATTATTATTATTATTATTATGCTCGCACATTGTACATATTTTAAGATATTTTAGATTAACATTTATATATCATCATTATTTTCCTGTGAAAAGTGTCATGTGATTTTTTTTTTGGTATATTACACATCCAATGTCCGAAATCAAGAATGTCATATAGGTTTTTTTTTTTTTTGGCTTTTTGGCATATTACACACCGGTGCCAAAAGTTATTGCTCCGATTAATCCATATTCGAATCGAATAGGTCCCTTACGAGAGATAAATCTCTCCCAACAATCAATACTACATACTCATGCTCAGCTTTAATCCTGAATCGTAGTTAAGTTGGTCCAATACCTTTAGCACTTTGACCAATTTCTTGTTGGTCATATGGGTTTTGTTTCTAAATACAAATTAACATGATCAATTGCCTAATCTGCTACTTGTTTAGGAATATTAGTATACCAAAGTTTTTTTCAAAATAAAAATTAATATGATTAACTGTCTAATCTGCTATTTGTTTGGTGATATTAGTAAATCAAAATTATTTTCAGCAATAGAAATTAAATCATTTATATTTTAAAAATATAATGACTAAAACACATATATTGTTGGAATTGAATGTATTATAAATCATGATTATGTTGTTTTTTAGAAATCAATTTGATTTCCATTTTTACCTCAAATTCAAATATTTAAGAAGTAATTTGACATTTTTAGGAAAAAATTACTTAAGTTATGATATAATCACATCACCACAAGAAAGTTTTAACCTTAAGAATATAGTTATCCTAAATGCATGGTGAAACTAGAAACAAAAAGAGTCTAAAAACATTGAAGTGAAAATTTCGACATAATTCAACAACATTAAATACTTTATAAATTCTAATATTACCACCTGTAAATATAAATAAATCTTGATGGAAAAATCTCAAAATTTTATAAAAGACCAAAATATATATGGAACTCAAAAGAGATCTAACAATAAATAAATATCATAGAATGTAGTGAAAATCGTATGGATTTTTATAATGGTCCAGCACTCATAAACCATAAATCAATTAATTATAATTGGTCGTAGATTGAGGGATGAGGATGATCTTATCAATTAAATTAATTTGAATTGATTCAATTTTAAATGATAATTATTGCTTTTTTTTCCAAATCCGTTCATGCTTATCACTATTATCATATATGAATATATCTAGTGTATAGACTCTAGTGGTTTAAATTATAATTAATTAAATTAGGAGAACTTCTTAAATAATTACACAAAGTTTTTTTCTCTTTCACCAAAAAATGCCACATATGATAAAATACTATGTGACACCTTTAGAAATCTTTTTTTTTTTTATTTCTCTCTCTGGTTTTCTCTTAATATAATATATATATATACGAAAAATGACACAAATATACTCCCAAATTAGTAGTGTAAGCAGGACTATGGCTAGGTTTTCGGAGGTAGAAAGAAATATGTTTCTCGCATTTGGCAAATGCGAACAAATCAACTTCCGCGTTCAGCAAATGCGAAAATGTAGTGGATTAATTACAATGCATTAAAGACGTTGGATTAAAACTGGATAATTATAATTAACTTAATCGTTCGCATTTGGGGTATGCGAAATCTAACTTTTCACATTTGGCATATGCGAACGTATTAAATCTGCATTTAAAAATTGTTTCCTAACTTTAAATTGGTATTAAAATGAAATGTTGTAAATTAAATATTTTGGTTGATAAAATGTTGTAATATTTCAACAAAAAAATACTATTTTAATTGAAAATTAAATTTTCTAAATTAAAAGTATTCATTTGATTTAAGTAAATTTATGTTAGTTCTAAATAGAATTGCAATCCTAAAAATTATATTTGGTGAACAGAAATCGTTTAATGCATTTATAATAAAATTTGAATAAGAAGTAAATTAAAATTTCGGTGAAAAATTAGAATATAATCTTGCGTTCTGTAACCAAGTTTGCTTTTAAAAAAAATGACTTTTATTTGATTTCAATTTAAAAACTTACCATCATTAAAAATATAATGTCAAAAAATCAAGTTTATTAATTTTAGGATAATAATATTTTTTACATAATAAAACTTAGAATCAATTCATTTAAAGTAAGGAAAAAAACTAAATTTTTAGAATCTGACATAATCATTCCTGCTAAACTTGATAAAACCACACTTCCTTCTAACAATGATCTTTTGGCGACATGGAAACTTGAATTTGGCACGACGAAAAAGATAGTATTGTATAAAAGTAAGTTAAAAAAATTGTACATAATATTGTCTTTTTGAGAAATTATCTTCTTTAATGTTTGCCTTTTAAAGTTTTTTTTTTATCTTAAAGATTAAATAAAACCGAAATAAATTGTTAATGAAAATAAATGAAAGGTATTGCTTAAAACTAATAACAAAAGTCATAAAATAGCATAAAATAAAAGTACAATTCAATCTAATAGTTCTACATCTTGCGCTTTTCTCCCGAGAATCATATGCAAAGACTTTTTCTTCTTTTTTATGTTCCATTGTCCCTTACCCAAAGCAATCGGTGTAAAGGCATGGTATCATTACGGGGCCCTGTCACCGATCGCCCCTCATAATGATCATGAGAGGAATGCTCAACATCATCGCATCATCATCATGCTCCCGATCCCCAATATCCTCATGATTTTGATCATCTTCCCGATCATGATGGATATCGTCACCACCTAGATGCGACTATGATGACCACCCTCGTAACTAGTCCGAAAGAAACCCCCGACATTAGGATC